TTTTGATGCCAAAGAATATAGTCTTTGTATTTTTACACATTTAGATGTCAAAGACTATAGTTTTGCATTTTCACAAACTTTCAAGCCAAAGTCTATAGTCTTTGCATTTTTCACATTGTCATGAAAAAGACTAAAGTCTTTGCATTTTCACACATGTTCAAGCGAAATTCTATAGACTTTGCATTTTTCACATTGTCATGCCAAAGACTATAGTCTTTGCATTTCACGCATTGTCATGCCAAAGACCATAGTTCATGCATTTTCACACATTTTCATGCCAAAGTCTATAGTCTTTGCATTTTCACACATTTTGATGCCAAAGAATATAGTCATTGTATTTTTACACATTTTGATGTCAAAGACTATAGTTTTGCATTTTCACAAACTTTCTAGCCAAAGTCTATAGTCTTTGCATTTTTCACATTGTCATGAAAAAGACTTAAAGTCTTGGCATTTTCACACAATTTCAAGCGAAATGTTATAGACTTTGCATTTTTCACATTGTCATGCCAAAGACAAATTTTCACACATTTGCATTTTCACACATTTTCTTACAAAAGAATATAGTCTTTGCATTTCACACATTTTCATGCCAAAGACTATACTCTTTGCATTTTTACACATTTTGATGCTAAAGACAATAGTCTTTGCATTTTCACGCATTTTCATGCCAAAGGCTATAGTTCATACGTTTTCACACATTTTCATGTCGAAGACTATAGTCTTTGCATTTTTACACATTTTTATGCCGAAGACTATAGATCTTCCATTTTCAAAAACCAAGTCTATAGTCTTTCATTTCACATTTTATGCCAAAGACTATAGTCTTTTTCTTCAAGGAAAAGTCTATAGACTTTGCATTTTTCACATTGTCATACCAAAGACAATAGTCTTTGCATTTTCACACATTTTCATGCCAAAGGCTATAGCTCACGCATTGTCATACCAAAGACTATAGTTCATACGTTTTCACACATTTTCATGTCGAAGACTATAATTTATGCATTTTTACGCATTTTCATTCTTAAGTCTATAATTCATGCATTTTCACGCATTTTCATTCCAAAGACTATAGTTCATACATTTTCATGCGAAAGACTATAGTTTATGCATTTTCACGCATTTTCTTGTCAAAGTCTATAGTTCATGCTTTTTCATGTTAAAGACAATAGTTCTTGCATTTTCATACATTTTCATTGTCAAATCTATAGTCCATGCATTTTCACATTTTCATGCCAAAGACTATATTTCATACATTTTATGTAAAAGACTCTAGTTCAAGCATTTTCATGCCAAAACTATACTTTACGCATTTTCATACCAAAGACTATTGTTCACGCATTTTCATGCCAAAGACTATAGTTTATGCATATTCAAACATTCTCATGCCAAAATCTATAGGTCATGCATTTTCACACATTTTCGTACCAAAGACTATAGTTCACGCATTTTCATGCCCTAGTTCACGCTTTTTCACACATTTTCATGCCAAAGACTATAGTTCATGCTTTTCCATGCCAAAGACTATAGTTTACTCTTTTTCACGCAAGGACTATTATTCACGCATTTTCACAAGTTTTCATATTTTTTCACACAAAGACTATAATTAATGCATTTTCACAAATTTTCACATTCCATTCCACCTCCATTCCATTCCATATTCCATTCCATTCCATATTTCCATTCCACATTCCATTCCATTTCCATTCCACCATTCCCTAAATTTTCATATTTTCTAAGACTTCCTCAATTCATGCATTTTCTAAATTTTCACATTTTTTTTCACAAAAGACTATAATTCAAATTATTTTTCTAAATTTTCCATTTTTTCACCTAAAGACTATAATTCACATTTTCTACCTTTTCATTCATTCCATTCCTAAGACCTTCATGCATTTTCACTCAGGACTATGTTCCATTTTCACAAATTTTCCATATTTTCCAGACCCTATAGTTCATGCATTTTTCTAAAATTTCATATTTTCACTAAGACTATAATTCATTGCATTTTCACAAATTTCATATTTTTCACTAAAATTTCTCAATTCATGCATTTCTAAGAGTTTTCATATTTTTCACCAAAGAGACTATAATTCATGCATTTTCTAAATTTTCACATTTTTACCTAAGACTATAATTCATTTTTTCAAAAATTTCATATTTTTTTCACCAAAAGACTATAATTCATGCATTTTCCAAATTTTCATATTTTTTCCAACCAGACTATATCCCATTCCATTCCATTCCATTCCACCCAAGACTAAGACCTCATCCACCATTTCATTCCACTAGACACTATAATCCATGTTCCCTAAATTTTCACATTTTTCACCTAAGACTATAATTCATGCATTTTCCTGGAATTTTCATATTTTTTCTAAGACTATAGTTCATGCATTTTTCACTAATTTTTCATGATTTTCACACAAAGACTATATTCATGCATTTTCACAAATTTTCACATTTTTTCACACAAAGACTATAATTCATGCATTTTCACAAATTTTTTCACTTTTTCACACAAAGACTATAATTCATGCATTTTCACAAATTTTCACATTTTTTCACACAAAGACTATAACTCACGTATTTTCACAAAATTTCGCATTATTTCACACAAAGTCTATAGTTCATGCATTTTCACTAATTTTCATATTTTTTCACAAAAAGACTATAATTAAATGAGATATGATCTTTCGCACTTAGCTGGACAATTTAAGCAATTTTCTCATGATTTAAAAAATCATTTTTTTCAACAGGATTCAACCCATGACCTCTGATTTTCATTTCCTGGGATAAATTTCCAATTTTTCTGAATCACTATCGACTAATTCAACACCACACTTCGCCAAAACATTCACAAGACTATAATTCATGCATTTTCACAAATTTTCACACTTTTTGACACGAAGACTATAATTCACGTATTTTCACAAAATTTCTCATTTTTTCACACAAAGTCTATAATTCTTGCATTTTCACAAATTTTCACACTTTTTCACATAAGGTTTATAATTCACGCATTTTCACAAGTTTTCATATTTTTTCACACAAAGACTATTCCATTCCATTCCATTCCATTCCTCGGATTCCATTTCCATTCCACCTCCATTCCATTCCATTCCTTCCATTCCATTCCACACCCCTCCTCCACCATTTCCTAAATTCCACCTTACCTAAAGACTACTCAATTCCATTTTCCACCTTTTCCATTTCCATTCCTTCCATTCCTTCCATTCCATTCCATTTTCATTCCATTCCATTCCTTCCATTTTCTAATTTCACATTGACTAAGACTCAATTCCATGCATTTTCTAAATTTTTCACATTTTTTCCTAAGAGATTCCTCCTTCCATTCCATTCTTTATTCCATTCCATTCCTAAAGTCCTTCCATTTCCATCCATTCCTCTTTATTTCCATTCCATTCCTTCCTTCAAGACCTCATTCCATTCCATTCCATTTTTCACACCTCAGTTCCTTTTATTTTCCTAAATTTTCACCTCAAGACCTAATTCCACATTTTTCTATAAATTTTCCTTTTCACACCTAAAGACTATAATTCCATGCATTTTTCACTAATTTTCATATTTTCCACAAAAGAATATAATTCATGCATTTTCTGAATTTTCACATTTTTGACACAAAGACTATAATTCATGCATTTTCACAAATTTTCATATTTTTCACACAAGACTATAATTCATGCATTTTCTAAATTTTCATTTTTTCACTTCAAAGACTATAATTCATGTTTTCAAAATTTCTTTATTTTCCACCAAAGACTATAATTCATGCATTTTCATAATTTCATATTTTTCTAAAAGACTATAATTCATGCATTTTTCCTTCAATTTTCCTTCACACAAGACTATAATTCACATTTTTTCACAAATTTCATATTTTTCACACAAAGAGACTATAATTCATGCATTTTCCTAATTTTCATTTCCACCATTTATAATCCATTCCATTCCATTCCATTTCCTTCCATTCCTTCCATTCCATTCCTATTTCCATTCCATCCATTCCATATTTTCTAAGAACCATGCATTTTCTAAAATTCCACACTTTTCACTAAAAGATTATAATTCATGCATTTTCCAAATTTTTCATATTTTTCACACAAAGACTATAATTCACGTATTTTCACAACTCTTCATATTTTTTCACACAAAGACATTCATGCATTTTCACAAATTTTCATATTTTTTCACACTAAGATTATAATTCATGCATTTTCACAAATTTTCATATATTTTCACACAAAGACTATAATTCACGCATTTTCACAAGTTTTCATATTTTTTCACACAAAGACTATAATTCATGCATTTTCCCAAAATTTTACAAAAAGGTAGACACAAACATAGACATAAAGGTAGACATAAAAGTAGACATAAAGGTAGACATAAAGGTACACATCACGATAGACATAAAGTTAGACATAAAGGTAAATATAAAGGTATACATAACGGTAGTCACAAAGATACACATAAATGTCGACATAATGGTAGACATTATGGTAGACATAATTACACACGAAGTTGGGAAAATACGAAAAAAATGCCGAGAATTACTTTTCGAACTATGAAATCTCAAGATTCCCAACTGCTTTGATAAATCCCAAGATCAGTTGATAAAATCATGAATAAATTCCGAAGCTGCCAGTGCAAGCTGCTCATTGGACAATAACATTGATGGTGTTTCCATATAATAAAAATCGGGTATCCTGTCTTCGTGATACCCAAGATCTAATGGATTTAACAACCAACTGTTACCAACTTTCTAACTGGATCCAAATCACTGATCCAAATTTCCTAACCTGTAAGGTATAGTAACGTCAAACAGCCTGGAAACGATGGTGGAACGGGAGGCATTAACATTGGTTTTTACCAGCGTAATTTGAAATGAAATGATAAATAAGTGTATTATAGATTCTGTTCGAGATGTGAAGTGAAAAGGTTTGGACAAGCATTCTGGAAAAAGAGCTTAGTAATAATTTTGAAGGATTTGAAATTATCATTCGTAAATTATCATGAAATTATCATTCATTACATTTACAAGCAATGTAAACCAACCCAATTCGTGCACAAAATAAAGAATAAATTTGATGTTAGTCGATATTGCAGTGTCTTCTTAATAAGTTTTTCAGCAATTCTTTTGGAGAAACCACGAGAACAGAAACCACGAGTAGATTTTTTGTTGATTTCTCGTGATTCTTCTCGTCACTTAAATATATTTTAAAATGTCAAATCATAAAAACTACAAGCATTAAAATAGCAAGATGTTTCACATCTTTCCAAAGACAAGAAGATGGAGAATACGTTGATATTGTCTGTTATTCAAGTTGCTCTTAAGGATAGGTCAATTAGACTTAAAAGTAAACTTTCTTTTTGTTGGAAGTAGTTTCCAGTTGATAGTGATGCGCACGCATGGCGGGCAACTGTATCTTTATGATCAAGCATTGTCTTACTGATCATTTCATTTTGTAACATAACATACACTGGTTTCATGTAGATTCAATCTTCATATAGTTTTATACCATGTATAAAATAAATTATTTTTTAACATAAACTACTTCGTTGAGTATAAATTTCACGAAAGCACATAAGATTGCATAAAAGCAAAAATTCTTTTGTCGTAGTAAAAAGCCGATACCATTTTCTTCATTGTGTGTAACTGCGGTCTCTTCTAACTTGAGCAAAAATAGAGGGGACGCATATACTTTCGACATTCTTTCGCATGTTGAAGTTAATAATGATTTCGAGAAATGAACAGGCTTGCTGATCTGCCCACGAGCAGGCGGCAGCGTAACCTTGATAAAAACCACAATGACCTCCCTTTTCACAAGTCAAGAGGAAAAAATTTGATGAATTTTTGAATGAAGAATATGGAATGATGTCAGCATTACATATCGGATCATCCAGAGCGCTAATGCATAAAATAGGAACACGTACACGCGAGATGTTATTGAAGTGACTATTTAACTGACTTTCATATCCATAGCGGCTGCAATTTAAACGCGTTAATGGCTCGAATACCCGTTGATTAAATTCGTGCATGTTCTTACATTTCAACGCCGTTTCCATATCGATAAAATTTGCAAGGCCAGGGTGTTCCCGCAGGAAGCACGTAAGCCGTTTGGTCATAAGATAGTCATAAAATGGAGGTAGACATTGCTCAAAACTTTTCTCTGTTTCGTAACTTGGAGAGATGCAAACAGCGCCACATAAAGGCGTTTTTCTAGTCTCTTCTAAATAATATAACAGCAACGAAGCGCCAGAAGAATATGCTACAGCAACTATTTTTGCATATGGGTAAGTGCTATGTAAATATGTTAGGATCTCGTCAAGTTCTTTGCTATGACATGCATTCTGTAAGCAGGCTGTAGTCAACACAGAGCCAGCTTGTCCACGGCGATTGTAAACAACACAACGAAATGAATATTCTTGTGCTTTACGACATATAGTCGAAATCTCTCTGACACCACATGTAAGTGCAGGTATGACGAGCAATATGGGACTGGCTGAATTTAAAGTAATATTGTGTCTACACTCAACTGTCTTTGTTATCCAGTCCAGAGCAACCACACCTTGGTCTTCAACCTGCAAATACTCTCTTTGAAATCGAATGATGCTTCTGGGCCAAAACAGATGCAGCAGAGTCTGTAAATGACCATTTGTAGCCCAAAATGTTGGCTTGTAAGCATCGTTTATAGTAGACCATTTACTCAAGAGAAATTGCGACAGTCTGCAATGCTTGTGATGAAACACGCCTTTATACACCTCGTCTTTACTCTTGTCATATTTAAGTTTGAGCAATAAAAATATGACCAGTGGAAAAACAAGCAACAGAAGACAGAACATAAGGGCTTTAAAGCCTCTGCGATGGTTCAAATGATCGACCTTACGTTGTTAAGGTGTCGATTGAAGCTTTAAACCTATAACATTTCCTACACGACTTTAATTGCTTGCTTGTAATCGATAGCAAAACGCTTCCGCTACATTCGTGCCTTTGTGAAACGAATTAGTACTTTCTCTTGTGAACGATGAAAAATTCCTGTGTTGAGTTGGACTACTTACTCTCGAAATGCGAATGGGATTATCACCGCGCAGTTTCAGTGGCCTAAACACAAGAAAACCAAATGTTATCGTAAAAAATAATCATGATGCGATAATGACAACAATATTATGGCAAAGTCAGTCGGACTATAACATGTACTGAATTTATTGTACCTAATTAATAACATAACATTACATCCTCGTTCATAACATATGGTGCGACATGAAACATGACTAAATTTTTCATTAAATTTTATCACTAACTCAGACATATTGTCCTTAAATTGACTTGTTGCTAATTGCTTCAATGAGAGTTGACAGTAAAAAATATGAAACAGAAGAAATACTTAATAAGCTGTTATGGCAAGTGTATAATATGGGGAAATTTTAAATCCGCCCAAACAAATTACTTTTACTATAAAAACTAAGTACCGTTCAACATGAAACAACCAGCAAAACAAAACAAGGGGGGTGTTCAATTTTTCATAAACGTTAACCGGTTTCATGTACAAAATAGGAAGTATGTAAAATATAAATGCAAAGTTATTGAGAATTTGTTTTCAAGAAAAGTAACATAGCTACCACTAATCATATATATGTATAATTCGCATTAGCTACAAAAGGACCTCTGTGCCTCATAAGGAAAAATAGAGCAGTCTTCTATATTCCCCTGCAAATCACCATTACCTTATCTATGATGAAACTATGAAAGAATCTATGTTTCGCTTTGAACAAGAGGAAAATATATTGCTGTGGAATCATACAAGATACAACAGTTTAACATTGGTGGGAACATACTAATTTCAAAAAAAAGCCTAGTTCATTTGCAATAACCTAAAAATGTAATATTTGACGTCCAAGCCGAAGTTTTTTTGTCAGTAGAGTGTGTTCTCGCGGGTAAACTATTATTGCATGAAAAGAATCTCATAAAAACGTCAGTATGAAACCTGAAAATATGTTATATGATTGAACAGCTTCACACGGAAAAGTTTGAAATTAGACGAATGATATAAATTATTTTCAACAATGATGGAACGAAGTTTATTGTGATAAGGAAATAATGAAGTCTGATGTTTGTCAGTTATCTTTCAAAGTTAAATGAGATTGAAAAAACTCGGGCCTAGACAATCTGCCATTGCACGAAAGATTGTTAGTAATTGTTTTTTTATTATTAAAATATTAGAAGCCAATAATCGAACACAAACATAATTCGTCAATCCACTTGTGAAGATATACTTTGAAAAACACATACGCACTTTTGATAAAAATTTTGCCGATGGAAATGTTATGATACATGTAGAAATTTAATCAACTAAAGGACATAAAATCAGCAAAACTTTGAACGCTAAATATTGGCTATCAAAACTTGACAGTATTTGGATGAGCATTTTAACATGATCTTCGTTGTTTTGTTCATCTGCACAATCCAAAGATAAAGAAGAACGCTGTGGGTTATTTTCGTTGAATATAGATTAAAGTAGCCAATTGTTGAGATAAAGCAACATTACATAGATTCTGTATTTTATTACCTTAATTTAATACTTGAAAGGCAACGGTTCCAAAAATCATTTCACTGCTGAAGTTCTTCGTCTGTGTAAGGCAGTTGCATTTGCTTAAGATGTTTGCAATATTCTCTCGGCACCTGCACCTGCTTTTGAGTGAACGAGACAAGTGACATCTAATTACTTTGCGGTTTCCTTTTTATGATAAATCGATATATATGATGTTTATAAAACAAATAACCGATTTTGAAAGAAAGAGCAACCCGCATTTCAAAGCTTTGCAGCAAGTGGCAATGAGAGCTGCGTCAGATGAGCGTACGTGTTAGTGCTGGGATACCAGTCAGTTACATACACAGCCAAAGGATGCAAATTTTATGTGTTCGTTTGTTACAAAAACAATATTTCTAAAGAAAAATGAATTGTGACAATCTCCTTTACATAGCAACACAAACTTGCGAACATTTAACAAACTTGCGAGGTGATGCATAAACTACAGCTGGGACATATGATCGGTCATACAAATTTTTTGCCCATTTTTTGCATCCTAGGTAGAATTTTACATTATTTTAGCACCTTTTTAATGAGTGGTTTAGCGAAAATTAAAAACTGAGCTATCCTATCAAGGGAATAAACGATAGCATGCTGGAAACCTTTAAGCTCCCCATGATTACGCATATTTTTAAGGTTTAGATAGAAAATCTACTGTCTATCATTCTATCAAAGCAGACAGTGCTTCTGACTTGTCCCACGCATTTTGACAGCTAACTGGAGCATCGTATTAATAGCACTAATAAAAAACATGGCGAAAAGGAAATTTGAAAAACTGAATTAACAAATCAGTATTCACGCGTTGCGAATATACACAGAAACACGTCGCAGTGTGATTGATAGTCATTTAATTAAAAGTTTAAAAATGATATTTACTGAACAAAATATCGCAATATTATCATAAAATTCAGCTGGAAAAACTTATCGATCGATCACTAAAGTTTGAAATAAATAGAAAATCAATTATTATTTGACTCACTAAAAAAATAAATACAACGATGAAGGTTAAGCTAAATTAGAAGAATTCAATCTTCGGAAATATTGTAACAACAAAGAACTAACCATAATATGTGTCTAACAATCGTAATGTTGTTTGAAAAGCCTGGCATTACCTATTGCAATGTTTCCTAGCAATTTGAAATCTACGACGAAAAATTAATGTATAGCAAAGAGTAGAATCCTACGATAAAACTTTACAAAAGAGGGGATGAGAGATGAGAATAGTGGAGTTTTTTCTCTCTCACATGTTCCCTCAACTCCTCGTGTAGAAAACAAGGCAAGAGCAAAACTTTTTAAATGATTTTGTAGTTTATCGTTACACTATTTAATTTATAGCACACCTACATTCTATTTTTACATTTTAATATATTTAATGACGTTTCATTAAATAAAGATGTAAACAAACTTAAGTAACTTCCCTGGTACGAATCTTACAATTGATACAGACATGTGCACGTTTTAGAATTTATTTTTGCTGTTTAAAAGGGGGTAACTTCCCAAGAACAATTTACTAAGCAACACCTCTAAGACTTCTCACTCTCGATTTAATAGTCTAATGATTTACATTTCATTAAAGATTTGAGTAGTTTATTAATAAGTAGGCTTTAATGAAAAATGCAATGTATGTAAAACTGACGAAAACAATTAAATAGCAATTTGGGACACCAGTTTGCGTTTGTTCTCCCCTCCCTCTCACACCCCCGAATGTTTAGACGTAAGTATTGCATAAATTTTTAGGTACCAGTAATTTCATCTATTTTACGAATAATTACTATAGCGCGAACAAAAAAACAATAGAATTTTTCTGTTTAACTAACTTCAAAACAATTTTTAGGGTTCTACCGAACCGGTTTTTTTTGCCATCTCCAAAAGAGTTGTTTTGAACGCAAGACGGTTGGACTCTAAGGACTATTGTATTTGTGCTCAGAATACCAGTTATCTTTAGTTATGTAACGCTCGCCAATTTGACAACATGCGTTTCCATTTTTTTTATATAAGTTCAAAAACAAATCATTTTATTTTTGCAGCTTTTAATTCAAACGCATTAGTCCGTTATGCCTCCCTACGGGGCATTTGAAACGTAAATTATAAACAACCTTAATGACGTAAAATTGCCCGAGGAATAATCAATAAATTTCCACATATGCTAAGCATACCAATTTTAAAGAGCAGTTAAATTTCTCACCACCATAAAATTTCACACGGCCACAAATTGTGAATTCACAGCAAAGCCTGCTAAATACAACAAATATATCATAGTTAAAATATTTCGACTGAGAACAGCCGAGTGCGCCGTCTTTACTTAAATGCGCAACAGCTCGTACTTCGTCTGATGGCCAATTCCGTTCAAAGCAAAAAAAACTTACCGATTTTAAAGGCCTGTCTTTCATTTAAACAACTGACTGACAACAAACTCAATTGTCTCACAAAGTAAAGGGTGTGATAAAAAGAGCTGTTTGTCAGGCCCTGTCCATAAACAGCTTTGCTAACCGAACCAGATGATTTTCAAGCGTGTTTCATTATCCTCTGCATAATTAGACTAGATAGCACACCTTGAAATGCAAATTTACATAACACAGTCATTCTACCAAATTATTCAAACGATCATTTGCCTTCAAACTTAAACTAACGATAACAACTAATTACAAGCGAAAATCAAGAAGTTAGCATTAAACTTTGCCAATTGAATCGAGGCGCCAAAAGAAGTCTAAGATCGTGGTCTACAAATCTTCACTAAAATCTTTCCTGACACGCTATAGAGATGTTTGTAACAACCACAAAAAACGAGCTTTCGCTCACTCTCTCAATCATTGCTCTCCTCGTAGGCCGTGTAACATTATTATTCAATTGTTGTATATTGTTTTATTTTATATTCCTTCTCTCAAAAGAAAATTAACAGAGAACAATTTATCAGAAGCATTATTTTGTGGACAACAAAAGGTTTCCACACAAGAAATGATATCAGTCACGTTATTGAGATCACGTGTCAACAAGCATAAAAACGATCATTACTTGTTAGTAACATTGAAAGCAAACCAATACCACTTTACATGGCACAAAGACCAACAACCATTTCCATCTGGGTAATCATTTGCTTTTCTACAAAGATTTGCCACCGTGTGAATAACAGATTTGTAAGTTAAAATACTCCAAATGTCTTAATAGATCCATCTCCTATGTGCTACACGTCAATTCACAAATCAAAGAAGAAATCAATCTAAAACAATCATCAAATATGATTGAAACGCGTTGTCTATTATTCCACAGAGTTTGTACTATTGTTGGAGCTGCTCGAACTGTCGCTGCTTTCTGAGCTGGAGGAACTTTCCTCACTACTTGATGGTTTATGTTTTCGAGATTTTGTGTGGGACCGACTTTCTTTTGCACCACGTTTTGAACTAACAGGAACACAAGAATTTGTAAGGGGAAATGAATTGTTTATACTATACAGCACATTTTAGCATACACACACAGAAAAAGAAATAAAATAGCACAGCGATAAAAAAAGTGAATGAAAATGCAAAATTGTTGAGTAGTGTCATAAAAACAGATCATCACATTCATTCCCATGGAAAACTCGTTTTTGAACGTAAAGATAATTGTCCACAATACTTGGAATAGATTTACCAAGATTGTTTCGGAGGATTTTAGTGGAAAGATATAAGAAATATCACTTTCAAGTAAATGGTTTGAACCCGGGAGTATCGTTACATGTTTGTAGATGTAGATTGTCCAGGTTAGTATAGTCCTAAGAAGGACTGTTTTTGATGTTGTCGAAACGTCAGTCAACAACAAAAACAGTCCTCAGGACTATACTAACCTGGACGATCTACATCTACAAACATGTAAAAATATCACTTTCCAGGATAAAAAACTACATTACACAATGTTTCAATCGGGGAAGATAACTTTCTTTCTCGCAAGCTCTAAAATTCTTTACCTTCGTATGTAGAATACAGAACTTACTTTGGTTTCTTGTTTTTATCTCTTTTTGATGTTTTTCTCTTTTTCTCTTCAACTTTCGGTTTCTTCTTCATAATCTTCTCTTCTTTTGACCTGCCTTTGTCACGTGTAATCTTCTCGTTTCCATCATTTTTTATGTGACGTTTTGCATCATCACCTTGAATGTTAAAATGAACTTGAAAATTAATCAAAGTAATGGATGCATTTTATTATTTTAAACGGTGTATTGCATTTATATAGTAAAAGGGATGGTGCGAAAATGAAATGAATAATGAAAATAAGCCACGCTTTAATTGATTGAATTATTTTCTAACACACAACAAACGATCTGAATTGTTCATTCATTACAAACAGCATTGGCAAATCTCTATTTTACTTCGTTTAGACAATGTTACATTTCTGAACTGTGTTAATTACCATGCATAAAAATATAATCCCTTTACTGTTTGTGTCGTTCAGAGAAGAATTGAAATAAAACATTAAAATTACCTTTGTGCTTTCTATTACGAGAAGATGTCTTCTCCTCAAAAGATTTCGTTTTGGCTTTATTTGAAAGATGCTTCCTGGTATTAGAGTTTTTGCCCACTGACTCGGAACTTGAATCTGAGCTGGAATCGGAGCTGCTCGAGCTCTCTCCGGATGATGACGACGATTGGGTAGAAGTTTCTCGATTTTTCTTCTTTGTTCTTGATTTCATTTTCTCCTGGACAGGCGTCTTTATCTTTTCTGCTTTCGACTTTATCTTTTTCTGCGATTTACTACTGGGAATTTCAAGGGAACGTTTAGGTGATGCAAGGTTCTTGGAAGTGCGTTTAGAACTTAAAGAACGTGTTTGACTAGGGCTTGGTTGCTTAGCACGCGACCTATTAAAAACAAAACAAAAACTTATATGATTGTCCAAGAAAATTTAAACAATGCCCAGTGTCGAAAGAAATATATATCTGTGACTGTGGGATAAAAATTTTGATTCACCAGCACAATATTTAATTTTAGGAGTTACTGTTTATATTGTGTTGTTAGAGAAAGCTGAAGCTAGCACAAAAAACATCGTATGGTTAGAATGTTTAGTGTTGAGGAAGAACATTTAAATATAAAATAATATAAAATGAAAAACGAGTTGCTGCGTGGAAATTTATTTACTACAAATTTGCTTCGTATGGCAGTTGTTAGAACAGCTATAAACATCAGATAAACTGCCATATTATTGATATGACAGACTGATTGGTTTATGAAGTCCAACATAACAACTGTCATACTAAATGAATTTGCAGTAAATACGAATTCAATGAAGTAACTCACGTTTTATTTTACTTTATGTGCATATCATACATTGTGTTATGTGTATAAATCTAACGCTACCAAACTATCACGAATGCTATTGTTTTTACACAAAGGAAGAATAGCACGCTTCATAGCAGCCTTTCAATATTTTCACCACACACAGATATAAAAGAAAAAGTGTTAATCATCAACTAGTTACAGAGCATTTCATTGGGATTAAAAACTTGATGATAATGTGGGACTTTTTTCTTACAAACCTCTGAGGTTTCTTAGGGGACTTGGCGAACGACTTTGGGCCAACTTGATCGAACTTGAAGAACTTGAGGACGACGAGCGATCGACTTTTCGACCAGTATTGGAAGATGTAGATCGCTGTTTTCTCGGTGAATTTCGTGAAGGCGGGGTACTTGATCTTCGCTTTTGTGTGGGTGAACCACTTCGAGGTTTCCTTCGGGGTGAGGGAGACTTGGTTGGTGACCGTTTTCTTTGGCGACTTGGAGAAGGACTAGACGTCCGTTGTCGAGGAGGGGGTGACTGAGATGGGCTGCCAGGCACTTCCCGTTGTGATGGCGGGCTTGTTGAAGGACTCTGAGGTTTTCTATGTTTAGAACCAGACTTATTTCTTAAACTAGGTGATGGGGTACGGCGTTCTTTACGACGTCTCCTAGCAGGACTTACAGATTGATCACGTGACGAAAGGGTTTCTCCTTTGTGGGAAATGGGACTCTGCCTTTTACGTTTTCGAGAGGCAGGTGAATCTGATGGAGTACGCGGCCCTTTCTTTTTGGGTGGAGGGGAAAGTGTTTGCGAGCGTCTTTTTGGTGACTGAGACACGCTACGAGAAGCCCTCGACTTCAAGTTGCTGCCTTGTTTTGCAGGACTTGGAACAAATGAAGCAAGAGGCTTCCATTTCCCCTTCGGCTGTCCATTATCCTCCTCTTCTTCCTCGACAACAGGTTCTTCCGATTTTGGCGGTGGAGGACTAGAAACAGCTTGAGAAGGACTGTATCTGGTGTCATCAGGTTGAGGAGACCTGAAGACAAGAGACAAACAATATATTACATACGTACTTTAGAATTTGTTAATATATCTCTGGCATAAGGCAATATATCTAAGTTGGCATAAGGCAATAATAATCATTTTCAAAAATGAAATATATCTCAAACATTTTCGAACAAAAACGAATACTATCTCTCTATGCAATTATCAGGTCTGCTAACTCACTTCAAAATATACCCTCATAATGTCATTCTACTATATACAGAACATGCCAACGTACCTTGATGGAGATGGTCTCTGCTTTCTCTCCTCACGTGTTGTTGTTTCAGGACTAACCGAGCGTTTGGAATGTGGTGGTGTGCAGCTCTTTGAACGTGACACATTTCTTCGTTGGACACGCCCAGTTGACGTGGGCCTGGAGCGTCTGGGACTAACGGGACGACGTTCCCTAGATCTTCCAGGAGGGGGACTTTGCGATCTGGACACACTACGTGGACGTCTTCTTCTCTCTACATACAATAAAATGTCTTCTAATCACATCGCGGAATTTAAAATATCCAAAGGCACTATCATTTAGAAGAACAAAAGTATCTCGTGGAGATGCGAGTAAACATGCAACAGTTGCACAATCATAAACATAATTTAAAAATAAGATAAACTGTTAGATGTTGCTAAACATTGTTCACATTTGGTTTGCCTTAACATGGAATTATTAAAACTTCAAAACACAAGACCATTTTAATGTAAATACGTCGTCTACGTCAGGGATGGTTTGAACGGGGGGGAGGGTGTTGCTTTAGTTAGAACTAAATAGATAATTTCATCACCCCCTTTATCCAAGGTGAGAAAAAGAAGTGCTAACCCCCTTACATCCAGTAAGTCCATCTACGTTTGCCTGCTCCAATTAGTATCGAAATGTTGTTCAATGTAACAACAAAAGAAATGATTAAAATTTACAAAACATAATAAAGCGGTATAAAAACATCTCACATTTTACAAACGTATCAATTGAAAAATTACCTTTACTGTCTTTTCTGCCTCTGTCATCTTTAGAACGACGACCGCGGGGACTAAATTGTTTCCTTCGAGATGGACTCTGCTGTGGGCTTGAGCGACTGCGCCTTACCTGAGGACTAACAGATCGACTATGGGAAGAATCATGACGCCTTCGAGCTGAACTTCTTTGTAAGCTGAGCTTCCGCTGTCTGATTGGACTTGCAGAACGTCGGGAACTTGGTGACCGCTGTGGACTTTGGCGTCTGTCAATTGAACGACTACCTGAACGTGATGAACTTTCGCGTCTTTTGTTTGCTGTCCTGCCGGATCGAGCTTTAGATCTTGATGGGCTGGGAGATCTACTTGAACTGGCGCCACTATCTTTTACATCTCTTGTGTTCCTAGGATCTGGGCCTCTAGATCTGGACGACTGTCCTTTCCGGGTAGGGCTAATAGAGTCAGATAGACTACGTCTCTTGCGGTTTTCACGAGAACTCCCTTTCGGTTCTTGTTTAGGAGGTGTATTTCTGTGTCTTCGTGGGATAGGCTTATTAACTCTACGTGTGAGACTGGGTGACCGCGTACTAGAACGTTTAGATCGGTGTTTTCCAGCTGGAGGAGTCATTGATTGTGTTTTCAGGGACTGGGGCGAACTATTGAGACAAAGCGCAAAATTTAAAGGATAAGAGTCATTGTTAACGTAAACATTATTATTAAAACAATATATATATGAAATGATTTAGCTGGCAAATTCTCAAAAGCTACCACCGCCTATGTAAAAAACCCCGCATTACATAAAGTGTAATAAAGTCTTCGACACTTTTCAACAATTAAACTTTTTTTACAATAAACATACACAAACCTTTCATTTCCGGACTTGGTGATTTAGATGAAGGAGATTGTCGATTGTCGTTGGCATCCGATTTGCGACGAGTTTTTGATTTTTGATCAGATTCAGAAGACGAGCTTTGTCCACGATTTTGCGGTGAACGCTCCCTGCGTTGTGGTGAACGCTCCCTGCGTTGTGGCGAACGCTCTCTACGTTGTGGAGAACGCTCTCTACGTTGTGGAGAACGCTCTCTACGTTGTGGTGAACGCTCCTTACGTTGAAGTGAACGCTCCCTGCGTTGTGGTGAACGCTCCTTGTGTTGAGGAGAACGTTCTATACGTTGAGGTGAACGCTCCCTGCGTTGTGGCGAACGCTCCTTATGTCGAGGAGAACGTTCTATACGTTGAGGTGAACGCTCCTGCGTTGCGGCGAACGCTCCTTATGTCGAGGAGAACGTTCTATACGTTGAGGTGAACGGGTCATTGGTGGAGACCCTGGATGAGAACGATGCTGTTTTTCATCATCTGGAAATGATACATGAACAAACCAAAACGATTAATAATCAATTTTTACTTTCAATCACACAGATCCTTCAAAAAAGACCTCTAACACAGGCGACTGAAGATATTTTCGACCTTCATAAAGTATGATCCAGAACCATTTTTCACTTTAAGAGTGTTCGTATTAACCTATCATCAATACTACGAAACAAGAGGAACCAACTCATCATACTAAGAACGGAAAATTGCCGTTCACACCATGAGGATAAGAAGCAGTAAAAGTACAATTGTAAAATGTAAAGTTTGCAATATTTAGATAGTGAATATTCACTAGACAACAACAGTAACATTTATATGTATAGTTATGACTTACCCAAATCTCCTTTCTGAACTTTTTCATCATCAGTGGACGAAGAAGACGAGCTACTTCGTGTCTTGGGTTTCTGGGAAAGACGACGCTTGCGTTGATAATCAGCTATCATGGCCAGGTGGATTTGATCCTCTGGTTTCAGTTTCTTTGCTTGACCTACATCAATCTTGGCCGCCATTGTGGGCATATTAGATTGTTTTTCATCTTTCTTCTTTTCATGTTTCTTCTTTCTCCTTTCTTCCTTGTCAGCTTTCTTTTCTTTCTCGTCTTTCTCAGAACTATAAATAAATAAATATGTACAAAGTAAGAAATGTCTCTTAACAAATTTTTTTAGAATTAACAAGATAAACTAACACCACAGCAACCAAGTATTATCAGCAAACAGACAATAACGTGAAGCTAAACGAGAAGTGAACATTTTGGCATTACACACACACACACATATATATATATATAAAATGAAAGTACTTGTAAGTATATTATAAAGTACGAAAAATAAAACACCTGTAAATATTCATTTCAATTCTCAAATAATTTTTAAATTGTCAAATTGTTTACTTTGGCAAAATGCTACTTTACTTGGACAAAAGTAGTACTGACTTTTTAAGAGCAATGTATGCTTCATACTGAATCATATTACCACGAGGTATTTTTGAGTGAATATTAAGTGAATGAAATCAACTTTGCAAGATGTAATTGAAGAATTTAAAGGAAGATGGATAGTAGCCTCAGATCATATAAAGCTCGTATCCATTATCATCATAAGAGATAAATAAGAGTTGGATTTTTATCATCATTGGCCAATTTTGTTAACTGAAAATAATTCTCTATAGTGAATTCTCCAACAGGTTAAACAAATGACATTTACATACCCTTTGCCATTTTCATTGTCTTTCTCATCCGAGTAGTTTTCCTTTTTACTTCTTGTCTTTCCATCAGGTGAAGCTGAAGACGAGCGTCCTCGATCATGACTAACACAATGAAAGATTTTCAATAAAAAACGAGACAAACTTGCAATTTTTCAACCTTAAAATATGTCATCTTCTCGGAGTAATGACAGTTTTTTGTAAATGTAGTTAACAGTACAACATACCATATTGAACAGCATGTGTTCTAAAAAGATGTTGACATGGTAGAAAAACAACACAGATGTCAAACACAAAATCATTGACACTTTCAAATCTTAAACATTATGTCTTTGGTTTCTTAACACCCACCCTCATAAAATTCAAAATTGATGTTCTTTCTGTGCAAATTCAACATAAAATTCACTTCACTATTTAGCAATAAGATTGTCAATGTGCAGATACGAAGGTCATTTTGATGAACAATGTCTCCTTTCTGTTTAAAGTATATGGAATTTTGCACAGAAAATAACAATCAGACTGGAATCAATAAGAAATCAAAAACATGATTTTCATGAATAAAATATTTTGGCAACTTGTTACCCTCTCTCCTACATACCAATGAATAACATCCTTCTAACTCCATACTGTAATATGCTATAAACTACTAAACCCATTAATTCTTTGTTTAATAAGGATCTGTCATACACAAAGTAAAGAAGACTTAAAAATCATAAAAATGTTGCATAATACCTGCTAGAACGATCTCTTTTACTGCGTTTCTCTTTTGCTCTTTTCCTTTTCCTCTTGCCACGATCGCTGAAAAGTTGTTTTCACATTTAAATACACTAAAATAACCACAACTTAATGTGTACAAAATCACATAGCAACTTGTATTGAATTAGGAAAGCATTAAAAGCAACATAAACATTATATTCATACAATCTAGTGAATAAACTAAACATCAATTATAAACTAGTTTCATTCAACAAAATTTAAATGTCTTTGCTACGTATGAGAACATTCAATTTACACCATGTTTCAATTTAGCAATTTTCACTGTAAATGTTGCTACATGAAACTAATTCAACCGGAATCTAATTAAATTGAAAAATTATGAAGTAAAAGAATCTTAAAGTAATGTAAAGCTGCATTATAAAATTTCATGACACAATTATTTACCTGACATCAAAAATCTGAAAACATAATAAAAAAAATAAAAAATAAAGTAACATTTCTACACATCCAATTTTTAACACTGGATTTAATTTTATTTCCTTGACAATGAAATGCATAACACATTCGCATCACTACTCCAATACCTTTCAGATGCACTTGAGTCATCTGACTTGGATATGCTTCTCTCTGCCTTGCGTTTCTTTGATTTTTTTGATCTGTTGAAAAGAATTCAATGTAATATGTAGTTTGGTTGCAATTTTTAGATCTTTTCATTTCAGCCCACCCATTTTTGATCTTCCACGATTCCCATGTTTAACACAACACAACACAACATGTGACACAAAAAGAAGTATTTCAAGCAAATACAAAAATTAAATGCAAAAACATTTCAACTGTATACATTCTAACTTACCTACTTACTTTAGTTATAATAAATAATGCCAAGAAACAAAGGACTAGATTATTACACTGTTGCCTTATAACTATTGCTGGGAAATGGAAAAATGCATTATTTAACAAAAACACATCAACTAAGCAAAGTGATTGTCAAATTTCAATGGCATAAACCTCCAATAATCACCTCAACTTGTTGAGCTGAGTTGCTCAGTAGAATATATCTGTGGATGACAACAGACAAGGATTAAAAAAATCATTAGATATTTATAGAAAGAGTGACTTTTCTATTCTTAATGGTAACACAGCAATAGTTACAATAAAACAACCAGCATAAACTTGATTATTGTGAAAAAATAATCACCCTATTTGAAGATGAGAAAATAGTAAACAATAACAAATAACATTACCTATACTTCAAACAAATCTAACGAGAAATGAAAATACAAAGCTTTTCAAATTTTTAAACGGGTTTGTAATAAGCATTGGCTGCTGGCAATAGCCGACTGTTCTAGGACCTTGCTAACTATTTTTGATTCAAAGCATAGAAAATTGCCAATATCTTTTTCTTGATAATTTACTTGAAAATGTAATTAAAGTAGTAAAACTAATTACGTAAATATAATTGTCAGAACAACTACGTATCTCATCAACAATAAAATGTGTAGCTGAGTAAATCATCTTCTAAATGATGTTGGTTTATCTGACAAAGTTTTGACCTATAACATGCTAAGACAGCAATTATTTTCTTCAACAAAAATGGCCAACAAAATTCAATGCATTTTTAAAGCATTATTTTGAGCCTTGTTGATGGGCACATTAATATCAAAACCTAATCTCTTTTAAAACATTCAAAATTTCTAAATTTCTTGTAATTTGACCACTCTACAAAAACCTATATACAAAGTTCACACTAAAAATGCTAATACCTCAAGGTAACTATAAATGGCTGGCTGCTTTCATACCTTGACTCTTGTTTGCGAGATTCTTTTTCTTTCGCCTCTTTTTTTTTCATTCTTTCCATTTCTTGTAATTCTTGATTGAATGCAGAGCCACCTTTATAATCATCTTTGATTCCAAATGCTGCCTTAAATTTGGCATTTTTTTCCTCATTAGCCTGGGCAATCTGATGGGTTTCCGTTAAACTACATAGATGGAAATATTGCGTACTCAATGAAAACAAACATTTTTTGATAACTTACATATTACCATTAACCAAATACAATTCAATACCATAGAATACAGATGTTGAAGAACTTTGGAAAAAAAAAGAAAGTATGGAGATTATAGCAAGATAATATTATCATTAAGAATATTTAAAGGATATTAGGATATACGACGAATATGATGTATGTTATGTTGATATGAAATACCTGGTATGATACAAGATATTGGTAACCAAAGATTACATCTTACATCAAGTAAAAGTGTGGTAAATGCACACAAGCCGAAATGCTCATAGAAGTACTAAAAATGCACCTTGCAAATATTTATTTCTCCTTTAGAAAAATCAAATGTAATATTTAAGATAATCAAGTATTTAGTGGTAGAATTAGCAAAAAAGTGCTAGATAAAATTCCACATTTCATTAATTATGAATATGCCAAAACGGTTTCCATCAGAAACACAAGTCATGAAACTGAGTGATCACACTGCAAACATTAATAAATTGTGGGAAAGAAACACTTTAAAATATTGGTATACCTGATCTCTGGTGCTCTTTGAGCTCAAGAAGAACTGAAGTGCAAGTACATAAAACATTCAAAAAATTAAACAATGATACAAACATTCAATACTTACATTCTTTTGTTAGTCTCCTTCTCTTCATTAAAGCCTCCTTCATCCATTAATTTGTCACGAAGTTTTGCTACTTCATTATCAATCTCAATCTGTGAAAAACTACGTTGGCATGGAATATGTTAAATAAAGTACAATCCTCTAAATTTATTCAACTAGCCATACTTGATTAACTATATAACAAAATCATTTGATCATCAAACACATTTCCAATTTTGGCTAAACAGCAATAGCTCTGTTTCTAAAAGATAGCTGGCACAATAAATGTTTGTCAATTTTTTATCATAGTTCAAGTAATGATGCTATTTTATTTCCATTCAAAATATCCCATGGTCAAGCAGAAATATTTGTCCATAGGTAAGGATCATTTTGAGCAAAGGTCATATGTAGCAGCACCATAAACAAGAAATTGAGAATGTTTATGAAAAAAATATCTGAAATATTTTACATTTTTCATAACCAATTTATAACATGCACACAAATAAATTGAAATAATTTGAAACGAGACAAGTTGACATACATTCTCTAAATGTTCAAAACTATGTCCACTATTCTAAAATAAGATCAGATAAAAGGGAGAGTAAAAAAATCAATATTCAACGTTATCCTAATGCATGCACGTGGGCAGGAGTAGCTACGCAAGACAGAAAAGCTAGAAATCTCAATGCTAACCCTTGTTCTTCCAAAGTATCTTGTAATTTTGTGCATTCTACTTCAATCAACCGCTTTCGTTCGTGCTCTAGAATCTCTTTGTTCGGCTTTTTTGTCATCGTCTGCTCAAACGCTGCCATATCTACATCAGGCTTATAGCTCACTCGTTCCTTCGCGTTTGCCACGAATGACAAATTTCGTGTAACGTAACCATTTGTTCCCGACCCTCGAGCTGTTTGAAGACCGATATTGTTGTACATTGTTCCTTAACCTTACTATCCTTGTATTTCAGTCGCGTAGAAGACAAATAATCAAGAAGATTTACATATTTTAGTAAAGATATCAAAATGGCATGAAAGTCTTCGTTTAAACTATCAACATGTCGTCCTTGTTAGCCTTCCCAGAAGACTTTGTGACTCCATCTTGATTCTGATCTGAAAGCGCAGCCTGGATGCATCGTCAATAAGAAGTGAATATAACGTCATGAGAAGAATAGTTTTTACAAGAAAACGTAGGCATTACATTTCAACTTTATATTTCTATGTTCCAGTAATTTAAAGTTTGGATGTATTCACCTTATTCTACGGTATAGGGAACAAAACTTAGAGCTAAATCCATTAAATTTCTAGTACCTCGGATATCTTATATTGCATCTGATAATCATCGGTCAAATACATATTCTGTCCAATAGTCGCGCTGAGAGCCCCAGATGGCTAAGCACAGATAGGAATCATAGTCACAGATGGGACATATCAATTGTGCATAGTTGCTTGCAGTTTCACAGACTCAAATCCAAGGCATGTCTTCCCATCTTACAGATTGTTAAAAGAGCCTCAAACACTTTGAGCGCTAACCTTGTGAAAATATATAGTTGATTATGAAACATATTTATCGCTCTAAGAGTTTCTAATAATCTACAAATTCCCTTTTCTCATAACTACAACAGCGAGTTTCCAAGGGAAAAATATTTGATGACAGTTTATAGTTCTATTAATTTTTTGCTCCAAGAGACAAAGCGTTTGATAAACTCGATTGAGACAAATTACCCACATGAAAGGACAGTTTTACCCAACTTCTGATGCTGTTTCATTCACAACATAGTTCTTTTAAATGCAGTTCTTTCATCATGGCAATTTTCAAACATTTATTTTCTACAAATAAATGGATCAATTACAGTTAAACAAATGTTTCTCTCAGAAAATACTTTGGATTGAAAATATAATCCTCACCAAATTATATGGAATGGTAACTTTGCTGTGGTTCTGGTATTTTCGACAATAAAACATTTGTTAATGCCGAACAAAATGCCTACATGGTGAGAAAGTCAGTTGAATTAGATGTCAAAATTCTGCAAAACTCTGTTGAATGAAATGCGAATCAAAATAATGGTTTGATGTTTCTAAAAGCAGTGTATTAACCTCGTATTTCGCCTTTTCAAGAATGGGACTTGCAACTACAAAGTATAAATTAACACATTATATACTAAAAAAATTTTATGTTCTGGAGAAAGAAAAGAGAGTAAAACATTATACATCTCGAGGCGTATATACGTACAATAAAAAAACGCGTCATATGTTTTTGGAATTTTCAAAATACCAATCGGAATTATATGTGATTTCCAGAACAGTTTTAGAAGTTTCAAAATTGATTTCAGAGAGATTTTCTTGAATATTGCTAGTCTGGCTTTTGAAAATACATCTTAGTTGTTGTAGCTCTCGACATCGAACATTAACATCTGGTGGATGGTGCTAGGCCTGTTTCAAACGTTGAATTTTACATGAGCCGAATGCATTTAAAACAAAAGATAATGTGAAATTTTATCTCATTTTCTTTTGTCTTTAATGCGTTCGGCGCATGTAAAGTTCGACGTTTGTAAAGTTCGACGAAACAGGCTTTAGTCAACTTTACTGTAAAACAAGCCCCACAGTAAAGTCAAGTTTAATAACTTCTGCGCACGTGCAAGAACATGAACTTGTACCTTGTGCTAACATGGAATCTGAGCTAAAAATTCCAACAACATAAACTGGCATTTCAGTATATCTGTAGCTGGAATACATCAACCTAAGGTTAAAATAATTAAATCGTAATACTGACCGATATCGTGGACACTATAGGTCTGTTGATAATGTAAATGATTGTTTTTTGTCTCTACTTATAAACGTTGCGTCTTCAGAGGTAGGTGATATGATATGAACATTTGAAGTTCAAGTTTTACACTTCAATCTTTGAAAATATTGCAACGAATGATTTTTTTACCTAGCAACAGGCTTTTCCCTTTGCTGTTCTTGAAGCAAAGACGTCAAAGACAACTCTGGATTTTTGAACTTTACGACCGACTCAAGTTCTTTACCGTACAACTGAGATATCAGAAAATCCCGCACAAAAGAACTGGACTGTGTTTCACCCTATCAACGGCATAAAATTATAATTTAATACTGCTATCAATGTAAAGATATAAATGAGATAACAAACTTGCATTCCCAAATCGAACTGATTATTTATGAGATAATTCTACCTCGTGTAAATGAATCGCGGCAATTAAAGCTAAAAAAGAGTCAGCGATTATATCTTCTCTGCTAAAACCATGTTGTGATGAAATGGTTTCATCGCTGTTGAAATCAATCTGAGAAAACAAACAAAAAGTTTTACTGTAACAATCAAAGTAACGAATTAGGTCACTAACAGGCAAAAAATACCTCTGTTTTTATAAGTTCGTGGATTGATAAAGATTGAGCAACGTCTGCTAGAGTTTTTTGCTGTAATAAATGTTCTTGTAGACTCCTGAAACATTGACGATGAACTTAAAATGAACAGGAAGTTTATAAAAAATTTTCTCACGTTGTTTCTAAACTATTAATCAAATTCAACAGTGAGGTAATATCTTTCATTATATCAGCTCAAAATAAGAGCATCTTTAATTTCTAACACATAAAGTTCTTTCTAAAACAAACCAACAGTAGATCTTACTGTTAAAATGAGACAATGGCAAAAATGGTATTATGAATAGCACTATGCTATCCATTCTGACGGATGTTTAAGTTGTTAACAAAATACGTCCTTTTAGGTGAGAAAAACACCAAAGAAAAAATTGTTTTACGTTGTAGCTTTGCCTAGATTTAGCATTTATGCGTTCGGACGAACTTCGCAAAAATATTTATTCTTGGTATGATAATGCAACTTTCCTTAGAAGTTAGAAAAAAGTTTTTCTTTGCACTGGCATGTACACAATTCACAATTAGTCTTCTGAATAAAAAAACACCAGCAGCTCATCCAGAGTTGGGCATGTCTCCAAAAACTACACAGTAAAATCAACTTACCTTAATCCATGACTTGGTAAGTTTGGGTAAGAAAAAAACAAATAAGAGATGATTATCTGGGAAGTGATGTTAAAACCTAGAAAAAGTGTAGATAAAAATAACAGTACAAAGACCCAATTTCAAATTGGACGCGTTTAATGGTTGGTCAGGTGATATGACGTTAAATTATTTAATGATAACAAATTCAATTTGAAATTTTCAAAACTTCTGCAATTTCAACTTTGCTTGTGATTTACAAAGTACACACATATGGATTGAATTTCCTACCTAAGACAGCTAACTTTCCATTATGTTCAATGGAGTTGTCATCACACTGAGAAGTTTGATGTATAAAAGCCTCCCACAACAGTGGGTTGTCAGGATCAAGAGAAAAGCGATGTACAAATGCTTTGAATTCCTTTTCGTAATTTAAATACATAAATTTCTTGAAATCAAATTTCCTAGAAAAATGAGCAATGCTTGTGACCTGTATGATTTAATGCTTTTTTTCATCTTCATTGAAAAAGAATTGACTTGACTAGTTAGTAACTACAAATAAGTTCTGACATATTCTCAAAAGCAACATAAAAGTCATTTTAATACTTTTTGCTTTGGGAATTAGCCAGTTTTATAATGAACAATGAAAGCATTCTGTGAAGTGAATTTCCATGTTATACTGAGTTTATTCAAACAAACTGTAGCGCGTTCAGAACGTGTCCCTAAATTTTCTTGGAACGCGTTCAGAACGTGTCCCTAAATTTTCTTGGAACGCGTTCAGAACGTGTCCCTAAATTTTCTTGGAACGCGTTCAGAACGTGTCCCTAAATTTTCTTGGAACGCGTTCAGAACGTGTCCCTAAATTTTTTTGGAACGCGTTCCAGCCGCGTTCGAAACGCAAATGGAACGCGAACACAGTGTTAAGTTACTGTATATCTGAGAAGTACTGTACATATCAAAAGTGTAGAAAATTCTGTTTACAATACTCGCAATGCCATATAGAGATAGTGAAAGTATTTAAAACTAAGAAACCAGTTTCGGGGAAACTGTGCTTTTAGGTTATTGCTGGCCAACCAGCTGCCAGGCAAAATCTTTAAAGACTTTAATGAAGTATATAACATCCATTTACCGTGCGCCCTTTTTCCGAGTATCCTCCATCTTTTTGTTCCATTCTCTCCTTTTGATATCGCGATTGCTTCCCTTATAATACCTACTGCCTAGTTTTAAAAAAGAAGATACAAGCACATTGCAGTGATCACACAGTTTAAAGTGGTTGAACTGCTTGAACAGAGCAAAATATCGACAAATATAAAATAAATTTTAACCTTAAAACGCTAAAAATGTACCTGAAATTATTCCTACACAGCTGGGACAGAACGTTTGCCAAATACGTTCGCTCATTGACGATTTTAGACTAAGTTTACTGAAGCTCTTCAAAGTCGCCATGATGAATGCTGATTTGCTGACTCAACAAATGTGTGAATACTTCATATAAGCCTTTTAAAAACATCCATAGGCTTGGTGGTGTTTCAGAATAGCTTATTTTCTTTGGTACAACAAACTACAAAGAACAAATTCAAAACACCGCTAAAAGTTCTAAGAATTGCCATAAAATGTGGATAACGGCAATGTTGTGCCGTCGACATGTCCCAGGGCGAATTTTCTCTGGGCAAGTAATAATTTTCCATAGTTAATGTAATAAGGTTTGTGCTTAACTACATATTGTTGGTATTACATGTTTGATTGTGTTCAAACTCTATTTTTACAGAAAACATCGAGTTGCTGTTAAAGGTACCAAATTCCAAAGAAAGCGAAAAACTTTGAACAACAAGCAAATTGAAAATAATGAAAAACTGCTCAGTTATCCATTTTTTACTGTGGTGAGAGTCATTTTCAAATACACAACATTTACACAGAATACCAAAGATGGTTAGATAGCGCAATTGTTTCCAAATTCACATACCTTGCCACAAAGGCCACAATGTTCTCAGAAACTACTATCCTAGTTGATTTGTTGAAATTATTCACTGGAAAAATCTGTTAGTCCTCATGTATGCAAACTAGCCTCCTTGAAAATTAATCCTACAAGCAGTCCTTTATCAAATATCTGACAAACTCTATCTATATGTATGCATATATGTATATATGTTTTCTATATTTTTAGACCGAGGAACATGCACATGCAACCACAAGAAATGAAGAACAACGAAGAGAATTCTTTGCTAATATTAAAAGAAAAAGAAATTTTGGAAAGCCTACCATACTTAATACAACTTCTGCAAGAACTGGCGGACACTTAAAACATTTGGATGTGGCAAGAAATTAGTTTATTGACAATTTTAAGTTCGCATTTGTCAGTTTTCAAACAATGAAACAATATATCAAAGCTTTCATGCAGCATACCTGATATTTGGTAAGAAACATCACAAGATTTTTCATTGTATTTCTCAGGAAGAGCCCCATGTCTAGTGTCTTGTCAACATGAGTTGAGTTGTGTTTTAAAATTTATACCTCATAATCTTTCATTGTAACTCCAATGTATCAAATGGGTTTGATGATTAAAGATCTTTCCTTATGATGGCATAAAGTATGCGAAACATGTCTGCTTTAAAGAAATTTGTTGTTCATTTTAAATGTCTTATGACTATTGTGCTTTTACGAAATTATGGATTCTCCTTATCCTCTAACTCAGTTTCAGTTTCTTAAATTCTTCATCAAGATACATTTCAAACTTGTGTACAGAACTAATAATCTTCAGTCTTTAACTTGTGGAATTCTATTAGAGCATCTGAGCAAATGCTGAAATTTAACTCATTTCAAAATGTACTATGGTACCTTGAAAAAGAAGATCATGTTTAATACAATAGTTTGAAGAATGTACCAGGTTTTGCGATGCAGTAGCATTGTTAACGTATTACAAATTTCAAATTGGCTGCAACGACAAACACACGATTCATTGACGCGAGATTTTTTTTCAAATTGCACATTTTTCATAGTTAATTTAACAATTCTTAATTAATTCGATCACGACCTAAAATCTTTCAATTATCAGATGAACATGTGAAATAGTGTTCAATATCTGGATTAAACAGTTCGTCATAGTTCCAAAGAAATAACAGAAGAGACACCGCGAAGCATGAGTATTGGCGGTAAATTATCTAAAAAAAGATAAATAAGAAAATATATGATCTAACTCGATCTAACTAAGTGTCGATAATTTGTATTTTTAGTTTTTTTTCGAGAGGGGATCTTTACAAAAAAATACCCAGTAACAGATACCACATAACAGATACAAAAGTAGTTGAAACTTGAGTGGCTATGGTGAATGAAACCGAGGTATCGTCAGGAATGAGGAGACTGCGGAGAAGCAGGGGTAATCCCCTACCACAACATTTAATATCTTAATTGAACTAATTATAACAACAGCAACTTCGTGTGTTATGAGGGTAAATTGCGATAAATGGGGTGAAAGTAAAATTTATGGATCATTTGACCCACCCAATACCTCCAAAAACAAATATGAATGCTCCTCGGTTCTATAATAATGTGCTTTACCTGATAATACAGACATCTGCAACATAAAGTTATTGTACTGATTTTCCTGCTCAGGTAGTCGTGGTAAGTTAGTAAAAATCACAGCTGAAAACACAAAGTAAAATAGTCATTGTCATTGAAGAGTAAATACCATGTCGGTAGTTTGTGAATTGAGAGAGCAACAATTGAATAATTTAACCAACCTGCATTTCCTGAATGAACTTTCATCAGACTATTGAGATGTGCGTACCATTCAACAGTCCCAATTGGCTAAAAAATCACAAAAATCAAAATAATCAATGTAAAATTTACCTAAACATCTTTATCGTAAATAACTGTAAAACATCACGGTAAAGATTCAGCCAATATAATCATTGAATGGATGACTGGCCAAGTTTGAATAACAATGATTTTCATCAAGAAACGAAAAGCAACTTTCTCAAAAATTGAGCTATACGCAGTAACCATAAATTTGTTACAGTTACGTTCAACTTAGAACGGGAAAAACATACTCACCCTTTTAAAGGATTTTTCGCTGGAGTCTTGAACTATCTGTAAATTTATTTTAATCAGAAATAAAATTTTTAAAGTCAAACTGGTTGCCAGTCAATGATGTTAAAGTGCAGAAACAAAAAAAGGAACTTGTCATAAAAAAAACAATGAAAGCATTCAGGAGAGAAAGAATGGAAAGAAAGGAATTAAATGCAATGATAATGTCTAAGTAAAAAAATCAATAATAAAATACAACTTACGTGGACTTCACCGGTGATTCTAAGTTCGTGTAACAAATTCTTTAATTGAATCTTTTCCTTCTGTTGACTCTCATCATCTTCAAAAAAAACCCACCAGTTTGAGAGAACAGTTTGAATTGAAAAGAACACGGATGAACTTAAGCTACTCCTGGGGACATTGACCAGGGATGACCAGGGAGAGAGGAGGATATTTTATTAGGGATGTTAGGGCGGGGGGAGTGTGTGGTATCGACTTCCGAAGGTGCATAAGCTGGTTGCAAATAGAGGATCTAGAGTCAAGGTTGAAAAATTCAAAAAAGGAAGCATATAGCTCCGCAGCTCTCCAATAACGTTTGAGAAACTTCTTGAAAAAAAGCAAAGAAAAATTTGATGTTCCTACCACGTGTAATTGATATAAGTCGTATCTTTGTTCGCTTTTCCCAAAATGGCACCATATTCAAAATACAACTCAACTGCAACATGAGCAAGTACGTCTTGTCGACGATATTCTCCGTCTCGGATGCTGTAACAAAACCACGACACAATATAGTTTTCTTATGCAAACATTTTTTGATGTTAAATATAAAAGCTGCATTCTGATTAGTTCTTTTCGTATGCACAACGTACTCGTTTACCTTTGACTCGAAGCTTGTCTACTTACTTTGGTCAATTTCACTGGCGTTCATTGGCCAAACATCTATATATAATAAAAATAAAAGAATTATCCTGGTTTACACAAGAAAAGGTGTCCTTCACTAATATCATAAAATTCTCAAGAGGTCAAACAAAATGGTTTCAAAAAAGTGAAAAACGTTCCATTTGTTGTCAAAATGAATTTTATATATTATTCGATATTAACTACTGATCATATTTTGCATGTCAAGTTTGGGTCTGTGCATAGCCATTATAATTTCCAGTATAAACCATTGTAAAATTAACACAGTAAAACGCGCGCGGTGATTGGTCAATAGGTAGTTTAGTACTTTATCTGAACCATCCTGAAGTGTATCAATATGTTGTTATAAAGGAACACACGTAATCCCTTCCTTCCTACGCAATCTTAATCATACTTAGCCATACGTAGGAAACCTTAGCCATACATAGCCATACGTTGGACACCTTAGTCATACTTAGCCATACGTAGGACACCTTAGCCATACTTAGCCATACGTTGGACACCTTAGTCATACTTAGCCATACGTAGGACACCTTAGCCATACTTAGCCATACGTAGGACACCTTAGTCATACTTAGCCATACGTAGGACACCTTAGCCATACATAGCTATACTTAGACCACGTTAGATATACTTAGTCCTTTTTACGCTACCTTAGCTATACTTACACTACCTTAGCTATACTTAGAACACAAGGAAGGTATTACGTGTAAAACAACATAATGATACACTTCAGGAAGGGTCAATAGACGTGTTTACATTAGCATCAACAGTTTGGAAGAATAAGAATTCTATACATACCGATATATGATGATTTGGGAATCATCTTTTTGTCCAACGACACAAAACTATATAAAAACATCAACATCTTATGTCTATATTCTGCTTTTCTTAAACTCAATAGTTACGTGTTCAACATAAGATAGTTCATCAGATCGTGAGGAAACGTTCGAGAATTATCCAGACAATACAATGTTTGATGTAAGTTGTTTCAATGGAAAAAACAACAATCGATCTCAGTTCTTTTCGTGACTAAGGTAGGAGTACGGAGAATTTTAACAAAATCGTAGAAATATAGAGGATGATGAAGTAACTTAGCCTTAACTTTAACAGAAATTTCAGAAATTTCACAGACATTGAACCCAATACAAAAGTAGCAATATTAATGAATACATTAGACCAGCAAAGTGGTTGAAAGCACCAAACTTACTTTCTAGCAACACAAACATTTTTCCCCAGCATCAAGCTATCCTAATGTAAAACACAATATAACATCAACAAAAACTGACCAATCATAAACGTTGGAACAGACGTCGTCGTAAAACAAATAAATATGCTGCACATACATACCTTAATGATACCAATATAATCCGCAATTCTCATCGGTTGCTCATCCTAAGAAACAAATGCTCTTATATTCATTCCTCACAAGAAAATATAAACTACAGGCTGTCCTGGTCAACCAAGGTTACCTTCGATCTTAGCTTTGGTAGATTTTCCATTACTTCAAAATGTAATTGCTCTAAGAAAGAATTTTTAAAAAGAGTCTTAAAGAAAGCTGCACCATGTTTCACGATACAACAATTATGTGCGAAGCAATGGTGGCAAGTGGGACCAACAAAACAATTATAGGTTAAGCAATGGTGGCAAGTAGGACCAACACAACAATTAAAGGTTAAACAATGGTGGCAAGTGGGACCAACATAACAGTTATAGGTTAAACAATGGTGGCAGGTGGGACCAACAAAACAATTATAGGTTAAGCAATGGTGGCAAGTGGGACCAACAAAACAATTATAGGTTAAACAATGGTGGCAAGTAGGACCAACACAACAATTAAAGGTTAAACAATGGTGGCAAGTGGACCAACAAAACAATTATAGGTTAAGCAATGGTGGCAGGTGGACCAACACAACAATTATAGGTTAAGCAATGGTGGCAAGTGGGACCAACACAACAATTATAGGTTAAGCAATGGTGGCAAATAGGATCAACAAAACAATTACAGGTTAAACAATGGTGGCAAGTAGGACCAACAAAACAATTATAGGTTAAACAATGGTGGCAAGTGGGACCAACACAACAGTTATTGTTAAAAAATGGTGGCAGGTGGGACCAACACAACAGTTATATGTTAAGCAATGGTGGCAAGTGGACCAACACAACAATTATAGGTTAAACAATGGTGGCAAGTGGGACCAACAAAACAATTATAGGTTAAACAATGGTGGCAAGTGGGACCAACACAACAGTTATAGGTTAAGCAATGGTGGCAAGTAGGACCAACACAACAGTTATAGGTTAAACAATGGTGGCAAGTGGGACCAACACAACAATTATAGGTTAAGCAGTGGTGGCAAGTGGACCAACACAACAATTATAGGTTAAGCAATGGTGGCAGGTGGGACCAACAAAACAATTATAGGTTAAACAATGGTGGCAAGTGGGACCAACACAACAATTATAGGTTAAACAATGGTGGCAAGTGGGACCAACACAACAATTATAGGTTAAGCAATGGTGGCAGGTGGGACCAACAAAACAATTATAGGTTAAACAATGGTGGCAAGTGGGACCAACAAAACAATTATAGGTTAAGCAACATGATGGTAAGTGGGACCTGCTCCAATAATATCAAATTGATGAATTATGCAGAAAACACTCAAAAAAGAACACGTCAAACGGGCATGTCAGAGTTTGGAAGAGTAAATACAGGACAGCACTGATTTCTGTTACACTGCCACGTAAAAGCTTCGATTCTCTAACTTTTTTTCTTTCTTTCAAAAATGCCATAAGCTCTTTGCCAGACTCCTTGACCAATTAAATCTTCAGGCTCTTGATAATCGAAGTATCCTTTGAAATGAATGTAAGAAAAGATTACGCTTATCGTAAAAATAAAATATGAGGAAAATCACACAAATTATTTTGTTGTACACAAACCTAAAATGACCGTGTTCGGTCTCATTCCTCCCAAACCCGAAGACTATAAAATTATAGAAATAAAAAGTGAGTGAATGAAATTCAACACTGAACGCGTTAATTAGTCCTATGTAAGACAAATCTAAAACTGCTCCTCCATTGACATTTATATCAACATGTACATGTACGACAATTTAAACGCTACGTAAGAAAAACTTACCATCAGTAAATTTTGAACACCAACTCGTATAGATGGTGCGACAATTTGATCAACAAACGCTTTAATTTCAGCACATCGAACAAAGTCATACCATTGGTTGATCTCTAATTTATGACGCTCTATGGCCTAGAGATGTAATCAAAATACTTACATCATTGTTTCCCAATAGTATGATTGCATTGCCTCCCAAAACGGAAAGCTTTCACGTCTCACTGCTTCCTCATGACAACATAGTTACAGTGCATCGTAATCGTTACAGGACAATAAAGTCGTCAAAAGGGGTATGGGATAAATAGATCTAGGACACTCCAGTTTAACAAAGAGAATAAAAGAAGCAAAACGATTAAACATAAAGTGCAATGCAGATCATTGACAGATAATAGTCGCTACGCACGATTGATACGCTAAATTTAAATTCTTCGTAGATTTTTCCTTTCTGCCCCCCCCCCTAATAACAACATAACCCTTTGTGTCTATTTCCATTACCTTTCCATCAAAATCATCCACAATAACATTACCAAGTATGTAAAGACCACTCTAGAAATGTATAATCGACAATAACCATAACATTGTATGAAACTTATCAGTGGGTCCCACACGAAAAAAGCTCATATACAAAACAAGGGAGGGCCAGAACCTATAGGCAACAATATTTATCAAATCGAGCGAGTGTTCTGTTTTCCAGAACTTTTAATTTTATGTAGGCTTGAGATGGACGCTTCCTTCACGGTTATAGGAAAAAATAGAAACTTCATCATTTATCGTTGTCATTGATTCCTTATTTGGCAGTTAATTTTTAACTCGGAGCAGCAAACTGGCAATGAATTTTAAGGTCAGCTGCTGTTTATAACATACATTCATTGTACCTTTTTAATATCGTTAACAAAATCTATAAGCGGATAACAAGAGCGAGGATTGGAAACGAGTAACAAGATCTGAAATGGAGAAGTCAAAACACGTCACAAAAAGATTGATGAACGTGGAGGCTGCGAGTAAAAATGCTGACAACAACAGAAAAACCTGGTTTCAAAGCAAGATTCAAAGGAAAGTAAATGCGCATACTGTATATAGCGCCCAGACTCAATCCCTTTTTCTACGTAATAATCACCCACTTGAAGGGTAGCAAACAAAAAAACCCCCGGGAAACTAAACAGAAAAAATACGATAGTTCTTAATACCTGAGGTCGCCAGTACTTCACATGACTTTGTCGAGGACTCAATCTTAACAGATATTTTCTGACCTAAAATTAATAAACATTAATGAGGTTTCAATGTACTGAACAAAACAAAAATTACATGCTTAATTCATAACAAATGAGTGTCACGTGAATACCTGGTGATATATAACAGCTTGGCTGACGTCACCCCAGGGTGTTATCGGAGCGCGGTATGTTATAACCAAAAATATGATAATCATTATGGCTAAAATAATACACATCAAAACGGATAAGTAAAGAATTTCTTTTTCCTTAGTTTGACATGTTTCGTAAAAACTATTATATAATTCAAATAGGGTGATATGAGCAAGTTTTGAGAATTAAATGGGTGAAAACCAGTCTAATAACAAAAAATAAACATATATTTTGCCAACAAGCTTTCTGGTTCTAGGAGATTGAGTGATTTCAAAGAATATCAACGTCGTTCACGTTGTAGAATGGAGCTACAGTGAAATGCCCAAGATTTTACCACAAAACATGTAGATGGTATAGCCACTTGATGTTCGAATTTTTTGATGCCAATACACGTTTTCGTACCAGTAAACGATTCATGGATGTCAATAAATTTGCACGTTAACGATGAATTGTAAAAACCTTACCGACAGAGATCAATGCATAACGAGGATCAACAGCGATCATTATAGCAAAACAAGACACCATTCCTAGAAAGGCTGAAAAAATAATTGATTTTCTTGATGTTAGCGGTGTTTTCTTGACTCAATTACTGGCAATGAACGATTTTCCAGAAAATTGCAAGTTTTTACGTAAATTTAATCACTACCATACGTAGTCATTACCTGTTCCTTTTGAGTAGTACTGGAATGTCGGTCTAAAATTGTGACGATAAAAGTCATTCAACAAACACAATCACATTCACTCAAACTTCACAATATTCAGTGGAACAGTTACATAAAATTGACTTAAACTATTTTTATTAAAAACTAATTCAGCGATAATATGAATTTTTTGTTTACTACCGCTAAGTGTGAAAAAACATTAAGACAATGAATAGCTTTACCTGAAATTGGGCGCTGACGAGACTTTAAGGACAAAACAAGCAAGATTTGTGACACCATAGGAGAGAAGAAAGAACATGCTCACTATTGGAGCCAATGCATTCACTCGGTTTTCGAGAATGACCAACTGTAAAAAAAGAAGACAATTAAATTGATTTAACTATATATAACTGAACAATCTACGAAAATAGGAACTCAACAGCACATTTCATGGCAAATTTTTCAAAAATCGCACGCTATTGCGAGCAAGACAGTTTAAACTAATATTGAGAATGGATAAAAAACCTGAACAAAAATCCAAGAGACAAGAACAGCCCAGATTGGTTCATTATTTTTACCATAACCTCTACCAAGGTAAGCAACGTACGAACCTAAAAGCAAAGCAAAATGCCGAGGAGAAGAGATTAATAATAAAAAAAACATACGACAAAAATAAAAACATTGAACATTAGGAATTGATGAAGAAGTCAAAAACAAAGAATGTCTCGGCCATAGCTACATACCAAGCAAATTGTCGTTTGCAACAGCTTGTAAAACTCTGGTTGCGCCTTTAAACGATGAAAAAAATAAACACAAATTGAACCACTATATAGTAATTTGTCTTAGTAATTTCAGCGAGTAATTTGATTACTTTACCTATAAGACAGCTCAATGATGCTGACAGTGTTGCCAAAAACACACCAATGGTAGTCATTACAGGTTCTATGTTGATAACCTGGATATGTTGAAAAAAATTCCCTCATATTTATCCGTTACATAATGCTAGAAAAATCTTCTTAGGCTAAACAAAATCAAACATTGACGATATCTACCTACTGAATGACTATTTAACATTTACAAAATGGACGATTTATATGACATAGAGGTTTTTATATATCGCTGAAAATCGCTTGCTAAAGCCACAAAATTTTAAAAATAGCGTAACCCACGCATTTCTGAAAGCTTTTTCCAATGCAATGAAACTAATTTAGGTCAGCTCAAACCTAAAATTATCAGGAAAAAAGTAGCAAATTACACTTAGTGAACTTGCAATACAAAACTCCCAACGTCGTTCTCAAGTCGTTATGCAATTTGTACATGGAATATTATACAAAGTTAAAGAAGAAAGTTAATATAGACACCTGTAGATAGTTGTATTGATTAACAAGTAAAGGTCTTGTGCATGTGGCACTCGTAAAAAACACTAAAACGAAAAAAAGAAAGTACATAGTTGACAATATTTTTTCAATCATGCTCTGCAGAAAATTAATTTCCATGCTGCTCTTCGACATTATGTATTTTCATCAGCAAAATTACAAATGGTCTTTCACCATTTCTCAACGACCCCCCCAATGCAGAGTTACGCACGTTTTGATTACCTAATAATAAATACATAACAAAAGTAAAACCAGACGCTTCCAAAGTTCCCTTGGGAATAGATTTAGCAGCATTCTTCAAATCACCGGACATATTGGCTCCAGCTGTAACAAATTAAACATTATCAACATCAGACTAACACAACGTTAACCGCGAGATGCTTTATAGCTAGAAAACGAGCTGGTAGAGTTTCATATGAATTCCCTTTTGAAAGTATTAACTCCTACAGGAAAGTGAAGTGAAGAACGTGGGAAGGAGTGTTGTTAAGTTACACTGAAGTTTTGATCCTTTTATCGATGAGAGATTTGAACAGATTTACGATTCCACACGCTTGTAAGAGTCTGCATCAAAATAATCGTTTTTCACATTTCATTCTTTCAATCCAAATTTCACCGAGCGAAGGTCAGTTTACATCATGGCAATCATACTTCATCAGAAGATGTTCTTAGAACCCTTAATGGTAGAGTTTCGTACCATTTCAAAACTCGACTGCTTTTTCGTAAGCTAAATGTAAATGATGTCATTCTTTGACAAACTTTCAGACACTAACCCATGACTCCAGTGACTCCATTAAAAAGGACGCCAAAGATGGTTAAAATTGTAGGTACATGATTTGTCTGATAATCTACTGTGCTTTCAACCTAAAAACAGTTTTTATGTTATATGACATAATTATCGCATCGAAAATCAAGCAAAAGAACACGTTTTCCCTTGATAAATACGTATTTAATATACACGACAACTTTTTCTAAAATAGACATGTTTCGACATCTCATGATGCCATCTTCAGTATGAGTGAAATAATAAGTGATACAAGGTTTATATAAAAGTAAGATGATAGATAAATTTTAAAAAACTTGTCGTGTATATTAAATGCGCATTAGCAATAGTGCTTTTATGAAATTATGGAAACTTGATAAATAGTTATTCATACTTCGCAACACGCTTAGCCGAAAACAAATACAAACAAACTGATGATTTTAAAATAAGAAAGCTCATTCTTTATCCTTTTTCAAACCTAATCATTGCATTACTCTTGTGCAAGACGCATCTTAAACAGAACTTATATGAAAATTATAACTTTTCATCTTGTTACTAAACTGTTTATTATAAAATATCAATAATGTATACGTAATAAAATTATCAATTTGTTAATCGTAAGACGTAATCTACTTGTAAAATTTACCAACGCTTTAAAGTAATAAGGTAACCCTCAAAACGTAACATTTCAAAAAAAATTCACGAAAATTGACAAAACCAATCTTACCCAGAGATTTCCCTTTAGTGTTGTCCAATTAAAACCGGTATACAATAAGGATGGAGTATTATTCTACAAATGTCATCATTATAGTCATATCATGTAAGAGGTACGATTGTAAAGCGATATAAAGACAGGATTGATAGCAGTTACGATGTAATATGTTTTAAACTCACCCCAAATAAACAATTCTCGGTGGGGACGTCGTGGAAGTACTGCGACTTGTGAATGAAAAAACTTACCTAAAACAATGTCAAGTTCATGCAAAACCATAAATCTCACATCTCAAGACTTCATGTAACTAACAATAAGGGTGTTGAATGTGCTTCTACTTCAAAACAATCTTAATACGCAACTATCGAAAAAGATTCATTGAAATATATCATACAAGTAGTTTGAGAATGTTTTCATGCAAGCTATATTTCAGAGAATTGCCCACACATTTTCTCAACATTAGATCGAGCAATGTTTCCTTCAATATAAGAAAATTGTTTGAATAGAACAGAGTAGGACGACTTACGAATGATGAACCTAATGATATCATGACTCCAAGAAAAATGAAGAAAGTTGTTTTGGCAAACATCCCTAAAAGAGCAAATAGTTGAATTTGAAATGTTGAAATATACGAACAAATAGAGGAATTTGATCGGACTATATTTAATAAGTTGTAATAAACTGCAGACATACAAACTGAAGACTCAAGATTTTACATCTATTTCGTATCAAAATTATTTAACGTAAAAATGATTGAGGTACACACAACAAACAATGTTACAAACAATGATGTTTATCAATTTATCTGCTGGTTGTATTTGCTTGTGTTTCTAAAAATTTCACGCACCTGCACCAACCTAATACGAACGGGCTTTCGATTGAGTACACTAATTGTGCTCTTATTTACATTTATCATTTTAAAAGCGAATTGTTCTTCATTGAACAATTGAACGAATAATCATAAACGTTTATCATATAAGTAAATATAGACCTACCTGCACCGACAAGACAGATGATTAAGTTAAAGAGCAACGCAATCGAACGATACAAAAAGCCATACCAATAACCAGTAGGAATATCTAAATAACCCCAAAAATAACACCCATCAAAACTAATTGCAGTAAATGATCAGCAGATATACCACCAAGTGGCATAAGGAGACACTGAGAGACGTAAGATGATAGAAGGTGATGGGAAGCGACAGCCATACACCAAATGACACAAAGAAACACAAAAAGACTTCCAATGATAGAAGGTGATAACAAGTGACAGAAACAAGTCATAGAAAAGTGAAACAAAATGACATGAAGGCCTCTCACCTTGTTTTAGTGCTCCTGTGTTTTTTCCAAATGCACTTATGATAGCTTCACTAAAACCTACCATAAAATATCAACAGATTAAAAGTTACCAAAAAATTTTATAGATATAAAAAATCCTTCAGTTTTATTGATACATTCAACTACAGTAATGGTAGATCCAATTTAAGTTGGATTAATAAATTAGCAATTTGAGATGTTTCAAGTACTGCCATTTATGTTATAAAAAATTGTTTTTTTATGAACTTGAGTTTGTGCACATTCTACACATGAAAATTTTCCAATTATTTTTTATTTAAACTGACATTCCCTGTTGTTAACTCTCCTCCCACCTTAAAAAAAAACGAAATATGTTCACTAAAAAAGTAGAACGATCCATTGTAGCTTATTACATCCTGCTATCACAGTACTTATGAACAGTGTGAGAATTAGTTCAGAAAAAACGATGTGCAATTTTTTGACAAAAGTGTTTCTTTAGAGGCATAATCAAATCGATATTACGTTAGTTATTATATAGCGCTAATTGCTAAATTAATATTTTTAAACTTGAACAAATTCATATGATTTACGACAGTGTTTTTCGTTAAAACCGCTGATTTTTGCACATCGTTTGAAAAAGTGATGTGCAATTGTTTTCATTTTAGCGAAAACGATGTGCAAATTGCACATTGCACACCGTTAATTTGCACACTGCTTATGAATACCCAGAGTATCAGAAATATATGTCCTTACCAATAAGATAAAGAGAAGATGAGAAGATATTTGCAACATAAAATATAACTCCAATAGAGCCACCAAATTCAGGTCCCAAAGCTCGACTAATCATGACTTTATTTAAGGTTAAGAACAATTAACTTGTTAGGTAAGTTTTATTTTTTAAATTATATTTACGTATCTATTATCAACTCCGATGACTTATTTATGGTTCATCTTACACCTAAATTCTTGTTATTACCAAGATTCAAGTCAATCATACATCAATTAAGCAGTTATCTCTTGGCTAATACAACAATTTACCATATCATTATGTTTTGGAAAGGATACAATAAGCACCACCTCCTTTTACATTACCATTGGTTGATATGGCTGAGACAGACAGTGTTGTGAGGCCGGTCACAAAATATGCAACAAACAGTAGCAAACATGAAACAATAAAGCCAACCTGAATAAATCATTTAAACATTTTTCAACATGGATTGATTTGCTGTTGCTAAAGACTTTGAAAAAATAAGAATAATAAAACTATCAATAAGATGTGCGCAGATACTGGAAAAAGTTAAGTGAAGAGATCCTGCCGGAAGAAAAAAATATGTTGAAGTAAATGTAGATGGAGACTATCTCCAATGCATTTTCAATGATCTTGAACCACAAGCATTCTTGGAAATGTTATAACATTACATGACAATGGAATGGAAATAATAAATCAAAAAACTTTACCCACAAATCCCCATCCCAAAACTGGTATTTATTTCTAACAGTTCTACTTCCAGTCATACTTTTTGCAATGAATACAAAACAGAGCTGAAAATGTCACAAGCGGACAAACACCTTGGCCTGCAGTGAGGACTGTTCAAAAGGTCAATCATCACTTGTTTAATCAGACCTCTATACATAGATCAAACTGCTTTATTTATCATTGTCCCAAGTCACTCACAAATTTCTTAAAAGTCTCTCATGTATATAAAGATTTACCTGACCAATGAGGTATCCAATACGTAAGAAAAGGATGATGCTAAACATGGACAGTATACATGGAATGATGACACCAAAAAACGTAGATAATTTCCCATGATTATTGTCTTTTAAAGTAACAAAAAAATATTATTATTTGAATGGGCATTGTAAATAACAAAATACAAATTTGTCTAAACAAATAGCCATTGATGTTATAAATTTGGAGTTCAGCAATATCTGAAATATCTCTTGTTTAGATTTCATAAGCAATTTGCATCAGATTCTTAAATTCAAATGAACAGAAGCAACATGTAATGCTGAAAGACCAAATGATTTGATATTTTCACGTAAGTCACGAGATACAATAATGATAATATACCCAGGTAAGATAGTGAATAGCTATCATTTTGTGGTAATATCATTACCATTCACATATGTACGCAATGTATTATGGTATCATGATATAGTAATATCCCTTTAATTTTGTTTTGAATATGATATTTTGTCTTTTTTACTAATTCTTGGATTAGATATTTTTTATTATCTAATTCTTGGATTAGATATTTTTTATTATCTAATTCTTGGATTAGATAACCTCCAGGGTTTTAGAAAGCAAAGCTTGCCTATCTCGACTGGAGCTCACAATTGCTTTGATAAACATTTAATTGTATAAAACTAAATTACAAATTGTTCTTTGGTATTATTGAGAAATCAATTGTTCATAGTTTCAATTCTGAAACAATTATCATGTTAATGATTCACAATATGTTGAATTCAAGTGACCCAAGAACATTACATTGGAAAGAGAATGCAACTGCAAAATATTGACTTTGAGTATGGAAAGACAACTATTTTTACTAATTCAGAATGTTCAGTCATTCATACCTCTATTGTGGACATTTAACAGCGACATCCCGTCGTCAACACATCCCATAATAGCTCGTACACCGCTATCGCTTGTTTCTTCAACCATTCGATTCAAATTAGGCATCGCTTTGAAGAAAATTTAAGTGTGGGAATGAGACTACCTGAGGAAGAGGAAAGCCTTCATCTTTTATATTTGTCTTGAGATTTTGTCAATTTGTGTTGCAATTTTGTCCCCCGATTCGATTGTTTAAAATTGCGGCTGTGTAAATAGTTTGTGTGTGTACAAGGTATGCGGGACAAGTCAGATAGACAACTTTCATACCATGGTTCACAGATAAATAGATACACTTATGAAAAATCCTCTTCTACTAATCAATAACTAAAAATTCCTCAAAGTGAACTTGCCGTGAGTTGCTTGACTCAGCTTGAGCAACCAAGAGTAACTTGTGCATGAAGACGGATGCGAATGAAGGGGGAAATAAGAAGCAAAATAATGAAATCTTTCTTTTTTTGCAGGGGGAAAATGAGCAAAGGCTCAATTTTTGTTTCAATTTCACCACATGATTTGCACGAGAAATTTGCAGGTATTTTGTATTTACAAAAGCATGCACTGTAACACGCTAAAAATTGTCGCATTTCTGTGAAAAACTATTTAATATTATGCTGGTGAAATTAGTACATGCTCGTAATACATGACAAGAATATGCAATAGTTTCGTAAAATTTGAATAGCCAGATTTTGTCAATGACTAGGATACATCTTCATCTCCACTATCCCCTATCTTGTACCGTTTTGACTTTTGTATATTGATATCCTCATTTTTCGACTTATCGTGATCCACTCCATAGAAAAACTCGGCCCAGACCATACAATGATCAGACGGCACTCCTTCAACACTTCTGCTTCCACCACATGGGATCCACTGATGGCTCTGATTGTCACGTCCAACACCTGATTGTCATCCGTTAAAAAAATACACCAGCATTTAGCAAAACCACACTTTAAGCACAATCAATAAATCAATGTTGACCATATGTTGAAAGGCAGACCGGTAAAGTTCGTAACAGTTCGGGCTGTTAAAGCTTGGTTCAATGGAAAGATAAAATATAATATCGAATCAAGAAACAGAACTATAACCTGAATAACGTATGCATATGATAAGTGATGAATAAGTGAATGAAAATGTACTATCCATAAAATGCTAGTTTTATAATGTGCGCGCACGCGCATAGCCTGGAACCAAATCTCATCAAGGTTACTAATAAAAACAGATCATCAATCACCAGTTTTAGATTCAGTTCAGATGTTTCGTACGAGAAGATATCATATAATTACAACACACACAAACCTGATCGACCAGTATATTCCTGCTTGTCAGGTTTACCAGATTGCTTTATCCAAATATTGTCATACGTCATTGAACCTTCGAGATTCGTTGGGCTAATGTTGGTTGGGACGCCATCCTCAATAGCGTTTACAAAACCCGCTTCGCGAAAATCATCAAATGCTAAAAATGATAAATAATCGTTACGAAAATGAACAATGCTCTCAAAAACGTAAGACATGACGATGACACTCATAATTGAAGCGTATGTGAACATAATTTTGAACATTACATCACTCGCGATGAAGAATGAAATCAAAATAAGCAACCGGTACCTGAGTCAAGTGGCGTCAGGTTAAAATCACCAAGAATCAAAATGTCATCTTCACCTGCACAAAAAATAAGTTATGAAATAAGCTTTCAAGCAAAATACCAAAATAAATTTATGTCATAGGTATGTAGAATGTAGTGACCTACCTGGCATGCTTTCAGTAATTGCTTCAAAAATATCAGGCATTGTATCAATTTCTCCCTAAACATATAAACACTCAATAAACACAATCATAATATCACATACAATGCTATTGCAACTGTTTCAAAACAATTATTAAAGGAAGCTCTTTTACCTGAAGACGTTCAAGGTCTTCATTTTCCAACCCTGTTGCTTTCAAATGAACACTGAGGACAATAAAATCAAATCGATACGCCTAGAATGTTCAACATCAAAAACACGATTTTGAACCATTCGACATTTAATGGAGCTTAAATGGAGCATGAATATAAAAAAAACCCCTATAATGTATCCAAAACGCCAAGAATAAACAGTCAAGTTTTTTTCCAAAAGTCAAAAACTCTTACCTTAAAATAACCAATAAAAGGTCTTCTCACAAAATCCTTCTTTCTTTGTTTTGTTTTATCCTTTCTTTCAAGCAAACCATTGTCCATAAGTTTAATTTTACGACTTGTGTCCCAAAGGAAACCATTGCGTTCGGAAGCCTAGATTATGAAAAAAGTCAAAATAAACAAGTTTTTTCCCTTCTTTTTTGACAACTCAGGTGCGTGAATTCATCTTTATCAGTAAGAGCATTTTCCATTTTAAGGATTTTATTTCGACTAAAAACCAAAAAATTGTAAAGCAAGCCTAGTCCAAACTAATGAATATGGTTACATTTAAACGAAGTTTTCTAAAATATGTAAGTTATTGCGCTCAATTGAATAGTTAAATCAAAATTATTTTCGCATCAGCATATTGGGAACGTTGAAATGGCTAAAAACAGCAAGTAATCTGATCAACATGCAGCACTGAGTTGTACAGTAATCTTGTACACTAGGTACAGTGACCCTTTTCATCCAGTTTCATAAGATACGTATTGTAAGTAATAGATATACCTAGCTAGCAGTCACCCCCCCCTTGCTGCTGCCTCTGCTGCCTGAAATTATTACCTAATTTATGCACATCTACAAAATACACTATGTCAGCAGCCATTACATCATATGCTTGCCTACCCGATACATTCTGCCAGCAATTTCTGACGTGATACATTCCCATTTGCCTCTATGACCTTTAAACCTTCTAAGATTAGGAGTTGTTGGATTATTTAGTTCATCTCTTATCTAGAAAAATACCAATATTATTGATTTTGCAGTTGAGAGAAACGAGAAGAGGGCTTGTGGTGGTTGAGGGACAAGATTACTGGTTTTGACAAAAAGTGAGAGGATTTAACTTTTAGGACAAACTCAGGCATATCACTTTCCATTAAGAATCATGACATAGTTTCAGTTAATTATCATACACCAATACTGACGGATTTGCCTTAGCCTGTCTAACAAATTTGGTTAATTGGAAAGTAAAATATTAGTTTAAGAAATTGTCCAGAATGATAAAGCATGTCACCTGCAAGGGCATAGGTACAAAGATGGCAATTCCTCACCTGTTTAATGACAGTTTCAAATTGACACTTATAAGTTGCTGTAATGACTTACCCCTCGATTCATAAATCCTGCGTGCACCCTTGACCTGTATGAAAACTTTGAATCAGCTCCTATATCATAAATAAAATCCTACTTAAACACAACCGGGCTATGTATGTTTAAGTAGAATTTTAACTATGATTTAGAAGATGTATGACAAGTTGTAAGACAAGCTGTAAGACAAGTTAAACAGTTAATTAGCAACTTTACCATTTCCAAAGCACCATCTTCAGCCAATTCTTGGGCAGCTAGAATATTTATCCTACAAAACGGAGCACATTAATTGGCTATGTATAGACAAGGGAGGTTTTCCAAAATTATACTTGGTAGGTACAACATTGGTAGCACAACTAACAAGTTTATAATGAAAATATGATAAAGTAATAAAAAATGCCGATCACCATATGGCACTTACAGGACAAATTTTTTGCTACCATGGGACAATACAAATATTTTCTTCACTATCCAACAAACAACATAAACAGTTACAAACTTACAATGGAACAGAAAAAAGAAATGTTTGAAGTAAGTTTAAACATTTAAACAAGATCAATCATCAAAGGTAAGGGCCTGCTGCATTACCGCTTTTACCATGGAGGTATGGACTTTTACCACTGACTTTTGCTTAGTTACCATGCCAGTGAACTCTATAATACAACTGGAAGGCTAACTCTATATTACCATGCAGACTGATGCAGCCAAACTCTCACTTGCTAAGCAACCTACAGAGGTAACCAAATAAAATATGGTGCTACACACTTTCTGAAAACCTTTTAGTTTAAAAGTTTAGTGCGCAAAACTTTTCAGTGTTTCTCAATAAATTTCCTATTAAAGTATTTGAAACACTGAGCTTGTGATAATCAGCTTCCAAAAAAATTTAAATTCAATATCCTGTGGAGATTGGGGAAGCGCAATTAAGAATAGCCATCCCCGGACAATATAATTATGAGCAAACAAACATTGATTAACTTTAGTTACTTCACACATACCCATGTTGTAAAATGGTCATACATATCACCTCTCGTACACCAGGGTTTTTTGCCTTCTGCTTAGTAAAACTCAGCAGATTCCAAGAGCCAATTCTGATCACAGTTCTCCTTTTATATTTGGAAGGCACATTATCGAATTCCGGCCATTTACGAAGTGAGAGAGGCAATTGAAACGCGTCCACAATTTCTGAAGCTGTTAAATGTATAACATCAGCGTCATTTTGAATTTCCTCTGCCATACTCAAATGTCAAACATCTAGTATGAAGTTTAATGTTGGTACTCTCTCTTTATAAGCTACTATTCCAGTTTCTGCCTCATTCAACTATGCTATCTGCTTTGCTCCAGTGATTCACCGCCTTAAAATTTGTCACGCAATGCTTGCTGTGAATTGTAATGAGAATCATTAATGCTTACACGCCATGAAATTTTTCAAAAAAGCAGGTTGTTGTAGCAATGGTAGTAGCTACGTTACGTGTAAGCTGATGATTGATGATCCATACACAGAATATGTTCTTGTTCTTGGGCTACTTCACCCACCCTACCCACTTTTTAACCCAGCGATAACGCTTTTCTGACGATTAGTAACGTTTGCGGATTTTATCTCTGCTATCAAGTATCAACTTAAAAAAAAGTTGAAAGACACATATGAAACGTTACCTATTGCTTATCACCAATGCACAACGCTTACTTCTGTTGTGATTGGTTGTGCGCTTTTGCGTTGTGTAACTTGTGCTGTGACCGTAATGTAACCATTGAGCTCTATAAGACCTGGAGGGGCAAAGGGGCCTGGGCCTCGTGGTCAAAAACATGGCGGATTTTGGTTGTCAAAGTCAGCGGAGAGACGCGGGCTCATACAATGAAATTTTTGTCGCCCACCCGGATTTTGACAACCACTTTATTGCGATTACAACAGTGATTACAATTGCAATAACATTGGCGATATACTATACCTTTCTTTTCGAAACTTATTGTTCAATTTTATCCGCAAATATGCCTATAACTTGTGTGGTGTATGGTTGTGGAAATAGTACAAGAAATGGAAACTTTTCATGGCACCGGTAGGCAAAATAATATTATTTATTGCTCAAAAAAAAGCACTTTGTTTTTGTAATTTTGTCGTTTGATGACGTGATACATTTCGTTTGTAGTTTTTGTAATTTTTTAAAAGCATAATCTTTAATTTAAATTGTATTTATCTCAAACTTTCTTCTCATTATAGCTTTCCAGATGCAGCAAAACACCCACATCTTTTGGAGATGTGGGTGTCTAGCATTAAGCAAAACTCTCGAACTATGATTGAGTTTGCCCCAAATAAATGGAGTCGGATTTGTTCAGAACATTTTTCTGACCATATGAAGGAAACAGTCGGGAATAGAGTTGTGTTAAAACTGAATGCGGTGCCAACTATATTCAAAAATGCTGTGGTATGTATCATACAATAGAAGTATCTAAATTTATAATGTGTCCTTGAAGCTTTTTGTTTTTGCACAATTTGACAGAATATAGACTACAGTGATGAAGGGGCTAAAGGTTTACTAGATGCTGCTAGTTATATAGAAACACAACTCAATATTCCTGTGAATGAAGTATGTATTGGAAAATCTATTGTAAGTGAGGAGGTTGAATTTGAAAAAAGCCTTGTGCCCATGCCAGATTTAGTCATGGATGATAATCAAATAAATTTGACCCAGAATGACTGTACTATTGAAGAACATGATAGTCAGGTGATCAATTTCAACTGTTTATTGCATGATCATACATACAGTTGTCAATCTCCTTATAGACTGAAGCGTCAGTTAGAGGAGGTCATTGAGAAAGCTGAGTCACTTAAGAAAAAACTTAAGAACAGCAGAATGCAAAATGGTAGACTGAGAATGAAAGTCAATGATATGTCTTCCGTTGTTTCAAGTTTAACAGAGGAAGGTTTTGTTAATGTTGATCAGGCTGAAATTCTTAACAATACCCTTTCAGGAGTGTCAAGGGATATATTTAATAGGTTAACACATGAAGATAAAACACGTGTTTCCTACCCCCCTGAGCTAAGATGGGGACTGGTGGTGGTCCATCCCAAAGTATGACATTAATATTTTTCTACTGAATATGTTTAAAATGTTTTGAAATATAAAAATTTTTTATGACCCTACTTGATTAATAATATTTTAACATTGTATTACCTTTGTTACATTACAGATAGAAGAAACAAATTTCATGGTATGGTACATAATATCATTATTTGTTAGAAACTATGTTGTAAGAATTACAATTTTTTCAATTTCCATAGGCAGATGTCAGAAGTGTGGTCTTTTTGGTCACCACATAACCGAGTGCAGAGCAAGTAGGTTCACATTTTTGTAGTATAGACTCTTGTTGTTAATATAACAATCTGAAACATTAATATTTTTTTAGGAATGATGTGTCGATATTGCAAAAAAAAAGGGCATGTCAAACAAACATGCCCTATTTTAGCCAGAAAAATTTCATCTAGAAGAAGGGTGACAAACATTTTCAAAAATTGCCAATTTAAAGGCAAATTAATGTAGTTTATTGAAAAACAACGTTAAATGTGTTAATTGTGTTATTACTATATTTCCTTATATTTTATTGGATATTACAATTTATTTTATTTATATTTTTACATATTTCTTTTAATATATATTGGATTCATTTCTACCTTGGCAAGTTCATTTTCTTTTCAATTTCCTTTGATTGTACTTGGTACAACTGCTGTAACAGCTGCACCCTGTTATAATAAGATACAGACCAACATTGACACAACATTTAATACATACATATTATTATATGGATTGCTTTTACCTTTTTGCAGAAATTCACAAATTTCACTAAATAGTTGTATACAGACAAGCCGTATATCGCATGTAAATCTTATTCACTTAATAAATCTAAAAAAAATTTAAGTTTAGAGTAAGTTTATTGGTTCACTTGAGGCTAATATCCGTTAAAGGCACCTGTTTTTTGTTTGCATTATACTTCACTACAGTGCTCGCACTCTAAGTAAGTTATATCGTGAGAACAATGGTTTTATTTACGAGTAGTCTGCCGAAATGCATAGTGCCTCTTTCTAGCTGTAAATAACGATTCCTTTGAATTGTTGGATTAGTGTTCTGGTTAAAACAGTTCTTTTAAGAACTATTACATTGTTATTATCACCATTCACCATGGTATTTGCCATTTTGAAATCCATCTTTAAATGGTTTTATTTTATAAAAACATGTCATGAGCTGTTTGATAATAGGTAATTGCCCAAATTTTAAATTATGACCAATCAATTTAATCATGAAAGGCAGTTAAAAGAAAATATTTACCAACATTTGTAGTTAAGGTGAGTATTGGTGTTTTTAAAAATCGTTAAATATTGACATCTTAGATTTTCGCAGGTTTTAATCACCAGCTATATAACCGACAAGATTACATCTCAAAATTTAAAACAACTTTACTGATTTCTATCAAAAATATTCAAAGTTTCTTACCTTGAATTTTATTCGTAATATCAATCTACATGTGCCGTGATACTTCAACGCCATGTTTACGTAAAAACATATAAATCAGGAGGGAGTGAATATTGAAAAAAATTTTTAAAGTGGAAGTTTTGACAACCAAAATCCGCCATTACCGCCATGTTTTTGACCACGCGGCCGCGCGATTATAATTTATAGTAATTTTGATGACGTTTCCCCTCCAGGTCTTATAGAACTCAATGAATGTAACCTGTGTAAATTATGCAAAAGTACTATTGACTACACCCCCCCTGATACAGCAATGGAAAAAAACAATAACAAATCACGGAACTAAAAGTTAAAGAACAAATGAAAGAGAAATGTTATCAAGTTTACAATGTGGCAGTTTGCGTGAGACAAATGGCATGTTTTCAGTCGGTTGTGGAGATTATATGTGGGGAAGTGGCATAAAAGGCGGTTTTGTTCGGCTATTTTATCCATGTGAAGAGCCGGACAAAAGTGAATTCAACAATGGTAGAACGACAGCCAAAAAACCTCTTTGGTTAGCCCAAAAAGAATACGCGGTTGGAATGATCAAATACGCTAAACTACCTTCATGGCTTTTAGGAAACGCTTTCTATTGGATTTTAGGTTTGATACACTACGTAACCACTTAGCTGAAATGCTTTTTCACGATTTCTTTCGCTTAAAAATAAAACTTCTCTTAAAAGCTTACAACTGAAGTCATTTAAAGTGACACAATTTTTTTATTGTTTTAATTGAACGACCAAAAATTGTGATGCACTTTCTTCTCTTGTCTACTTTAATAAGTAAATTAGAGAATATATGTTCAGTCATTTCCTGTTATAAATATTTTTTGCTTCTCATGAGTAATATTAAAATCATTTGCGTCATATTATGTATGTCATTACTGATAAACTATAATCATGACAATAATTGTTTTTCAATGAATTACAATGAGGTTTGTCCCACAACAACAAAAATCAATATGATTTTGAAACAAGTAGAAAAATTCATAACCAAAGTGTTGAGAGCATTAGAAGTTTCTTGCATTGATATGAAAATCAGACTGTATAGTGCAACCATGTATAAAATATAAATGACATTAAGTTTCTCATTTGTCCAATCACAAAACACTTATGTTCAAAAGAAACTCCATTAAAGGTTTACAAAATCTTTGATTTAAAACAATATAAATTTTGCATCATAGACACTTAATTATTAGACTTTCATTGTAAGCTTTTGAAAATGTTAAATAAATGTTGGCTGAGTATTTTTTTGTATTCCAATCAGGAAGAGTTCAAATGGACTGTTATTGGAACAGTTCACTGTATCTGAGCGAGAGCTTGCCAGATGAAACTGACCAGAACAAAGAAAATTTCTTGAAGAAGTTTCCATGCGTTCTGTTTTCTCATGGTTTGGGTGGCAGTCGATTTATGTATAGCAGTTTCTGTCTTGAACTTGCTTCCTATGGCTATGTTGTAGCTGCTATTGAACATAGGTTGGTATAAAAACATGGATTTAGGTCAAGCTAAGGCATGCAATCTAAGGTGTGCAAGCTAAGGCAGATAAATAACTGATGCAATCAATACAATTAACTCTGATGAAAAATAAAATAGATAAAAAAGAAAAAAACATTTGGTTCTGACATAATCTATGTCTGCACAAACTAAGAAGGTTGGGCTTTATACACATATAATTATGTCAAAAACTCCTCAGCTTGTCGGATTCGGTAATTTACACTACAGGCACTAGAGGATTCAAATGTAAATTAAGAAATTCATCCAGGCTGATGCTTATGATGAAATCTATTTATGTAACGGTTTCGTTGCTTAGCGCTCATACTAAAATTTTATCCTAGAGACAAATCAGCATCAGCAACTTATTACCTTAAAGAGAAATCTGCAAATCTAATTGATCCATTATGGGTTCCCTACCACAGACCTAAAGAAAATGAGGACGAATTTCAACTGAGAAATAACCAGGTTGAACACGGAACTTTGATTTTGAGATAAAACACGTGTTAGAAAAGTAATCATTTAACTAATCATGCTCATCTACGCTTCTATAGTTCACAGAAGTCAAAAAAATTTTTCTAGTTTACCATATTATGCGATGGAAAAAACTATTGTGCATACATAAGAACAAATTCAATGATTTCGCAGAAAGACGTGTAGTTGATTCGAGTTGTTAACTGATATTAGCGTTGTGAAGTATATGTAATTACTACAACAATATTTTTAATTTTTCTGACAAATAAGTAAGAGAAAGGCGGGAAAACTTGGTGTGTTTGAAGAAGTAACTTTTTAAGCAATCATTCGCACTCGAATCTCGCTTAAAATTCCGTGTTCTACAATACGTAAATAACCAATATCTTGGTCATAGCATATGAAGGGTTAGCATTGGGTTAGGAAAACAGAATTATTACTCAATACTCACTGCGATTTCCGTAATTATCATTAAATAAAGGTCCATCAAAGAGCAAAGGAATGTATGCAGACATTAAATTTTCTGGAACAATTGAACGATGGAAAACCACCAAAAAATTTATTGGGAGCGGAATTTGACAGTCCACAGTTTAAGGTATCTCTTATCTTGTGTCTAGCAATATGTTTTTACTTATACAGTGGTTGAACGAAAGTAATGAACGTCACATGAACTTAAGCTGTACCCATTATAAGTTCATTATGAATATTTTAACTATTTATATATGAAACTGGATGGTCAATGTTTTTGAAAAACCAAAAGCTAACGATGGATGAGTAAAAATGTCTTTACCCCATTTGAGCAACTTCTAATATTGTGTATTTTGTATGTAAAACATAGTAAAATGACACGCATTTTACGGCTAAGTTGATGTTTGTGAACAGGATAGGTTAGATCTCGATAAAGTTACTATGATGGGTCATTCATTTGGTGGAGTAACGACGATAGCAACTCTTGCAAAAGACAAACGATTTAAGTAAGTTTAAGTTCTATGATAAGTACTGAAACTGTCTGGTGTTTCGATTACACTTTGCTTTTTTCTTGGACGAGTAAATCATTGAAGTTAGATTATTTAAGATCTTCATTTGAAAGAGAGAGATTGGAAAGTGTCGCGAGAATGATGAAATCGAAGATATAAGTTTTAGTGCAAGATCTATGTATGTATGGTGACTGCAGATTGTTTTTCTGGAGTGATTAATATGTATTTGAGAGATTGCTACAGCAGAGGGAGATGTCGGTATCAAAAAGATGTTTTTGTTTGAGAAAGATGTTTTTGAATTACATTGGTGCGATAAGGGAAACATGTGTGTTTTTATGAGAGAAATGTTTTTTTCAGAAGTATGTAATTAGGAGTTGGGATGTTTGTTGTTGTTCACATGCCCGAAAAAGTTCCACAATTTAAGAAGACATGATTTTTTGAAAGTTTAAGATACGATTTACGTATGTTTAGATGTGGAATAGCAATGGATGCGTGGATGTTTCCACTTGGAGATGAGCTTTACCATCACACAATTCATCAACCAATTTTATTTATCAATACGGAGACCTTTCATTGGAAGAAAAATATAAAACAAATAAAAGAACTTTTAAATAACGACAATGGTAAGATATCAAGTTTAAATAGGAACCATTTCTCATGTAGAGTAAAATACAAATATCTAACATAATTTTCTCTATTGAGGACATTTCAATATTCTTATCTAATATGCATATCTTTCTCCAATAAAATACAATTCTCACTACGAGATGTTTCTTTTTAGATTTTTTTCCTTATTTAGCATCTTTATGACAAACATTACGTGTGTTATTACAGATATACTTCTTTAAAGATATTAGTAATTATGCAGATTTATTCTACAATGAGTATTGTTTACTTTTGTAGTTGAAAGAAAAATGGTGACAGTAAAGTAAGTTTCTTTTACATGAAAATGTACGCTGTTTCTCGTTCAACAATATTTATACATACGTGTATTGGCCCACGTAGGGGTACAAGTCACGTCACCCAAAGTGACTTGCCTTCTATTATCCCGTCTGCGGCCCTGCGATTTCTGGGCGTAGACCCGCAAGCTTTGGATGTTGGCAAAACAATAGACATTAACAGAACTCTCATAGCCACTTTTATATCGAAATATTTTGGTAAGTAATACGTTGTATCCATTTAGCCAGGAACTATTTAAAAAATACTCCCATGAAACAGTTTCTTGTATGATTATAAAAATGTATAATTGATAGAAAAAGTTAATTTGTGCTTTTCGTGGACACTAGGCAAGCGCTGGCAACAGCTAAAAAGTCAGGTGTATGGCTTTACATACACGTTTTAGCACACATGCATGTTTTCTATCAAACAATTTTACGCAAAGCGGTTCTCCCCTAAGGTCACCTGTTTTAATTCTCAGGTTAGATGTCGTTTCCCCATGCGACACTGTGTGCATCAAGTTTTTTAAAATATTTTTCCAGAACTTGGCAAAGAATTCGGTGACTCGAAAATATTGACAGAGGATTCCGAACACGTGATCATAGGAAGCAATGTTGAAGTTTAATCTAAAATTACTCACAATAATGATATCATAAAAATGACTACTGTATGTATTCATACGAATAAGAAATTTCATATATGCTAAACTATGTGCACGCATAATTTAATTCATACACTTATCATTGATTCGAAGTGTTCACTGAGAACTTGCACTAAGAGATTTCCATAATTTTGCGCACGGTATGATCATTATCAATCGTGGTATGTTCCTTGTTTATTCTTACAATCTTACAATGATCGGCAATTATTAGGACGTATGTAGCTAATTTCAACTATAGACTAGAGCTAGTTTTATCAACTATAGACTAGAGCTAGTTTCATCAACTATAGACTAGAGCTAGTTTCATCAACTATAGACTAGAGCTAGTTTCATCAACTATAGACTAGAGCTAGTTTCATCAAATATAGACTAGAGCTAGTTTCATCAACTGTAGACTAGAGCTAGTTTCATCAACTATAGACTAGAGCTAGTTTCATCAACTATAGACTAGAGCTAGTTTCATCAAATATAGACTAGAGCTAGTTTCATCAACTGTAGACTAGAGCTAGTTTCATCAACTATAGACTAGAGCTAGTTTCATCAACTATAGACTAGAGCTAGTTTCATCAACTATAGACTAGAGCTAGTTTCATCAACTATAGACTAGAGCTAGTTACATCAACTATAGACTAGAGCTAGTTTCATCAACTATAGACTAGAGCTAGTTTCATCAAGATGCCACATTCGAAGGAGTGCCCATTCAACTAAGGAGATTATTTTCTCATCTGCGACCTATTTTGTTGTTATTTGATCAAGAAATCTAAAACGAATGCAGCTGCATAAGATCTGGCAACATTGGTAGACTTGACGAGTTTCCAAGAATTGGTTACTTCATCGTAGCATTCAACACTGTTCTCAACTGACATGTCCTCGCTCGTACCATTAATCGCAAATATCTTTCCACAATATAAGGCCACGGCAAGGCAACCACGTGGTCGACTCATGGACGTCATCGTTTCCCACGTGTCAGTAGCATGGTTGTACCGCTCGACCGAAGATAGAGAACCATGGTACTCGTTAACTCCACCGACAACATAAATGTAGTTCGATAACTGAACAGCGCCAAAATCACATCTTTGATACGTCATCGAGGCTTTGCTCTCCCATTGGTCAGAATTTGGTGAATAACTTTCGACAGATGAGATATAACCCAGATCATCATCAAATCCGCCCACGGCATACAGACTTTCATCCAGCGGTACAAGGGCAAACCGTCGTCTCTTGTGCGTCATATTAGATACTTTAGTCCACCTGTCTATCACAGGGCAGTACTTTTCGACGTAGCTGAAAAAGCATTTAAACAGGCATCATTCTTAAAAGTTACTACCCAACCTGGTATAAAGTCATTTATCACATTTCATTCTCCTTTCGTTTACCTGCATGTATTTTGACGGCTACACGACCCTCCAGCAACATAAATATTCCCGTTGAGGGCAGCAGCCTTCACCTCACCACAGCAAATGACAAGGTGAGCAACATTCTTCCACTTTCCCAGAAAGATGTCATAACATTCAACAGAGTTCAACTTGGTTTTCCTTTGAATGCCACCAATCACGTACAACTTCCTGTCAAGTACTACCACGGCGCATGAAACGCGAGTGCTTGGCAGCTTCGCAGCACCTTTCCATTTTATGGTTTGACAATCGAAGTACTCTATGGACCTTGTCTCCTTCATAAAAGACCTTTCACCGCCGAGAATATACAGCCAAGAAGAGCAAGATGGTCTCATCGATATTCCGGCACATTCACAATGACAGAACATGGCTTTCTCTATCACGTTTTGCAAAGCTAAATCGTCCTGGATAAGTGACCTTCGAGAGATCTCGCGCAGCTTTTTCGGAGGTATAAAACACAATTTGACAGCGGTCAACAAAATTGCTATCAACTTCCGTCTTGCTTGCATGTCGGTCTCAACCCATTCAAAAATGAATTGCAATAATTGAAATTCGCTGTCGATGCAAATATCATCACTCTCGATGATGGATTTCAGGCACATGGCATCCAAACTCAAAATCTCACCATATTTCGAGACGGCTGCAAAGTTCTTTTTCATAAAAGATTCTGCTTTTTGACTTAGTTGCATACATGAGAATCTTTCAGCCAGTTGGTAAATCCCAAGACAATTTTCTGTCACCAGTTGGTCCATGAGGTAATGTGCGCAAGTTTCTTTAACGTCAGCAAAACCAAGAAGGTCTGCCGCTTGTAGTAGATCCTCGACATTCTCATCCGTGATGATGATCTTACCCGTGTAACAATAATCGAGAAGTAAAGCCATCGAATCACTTGTGACACCTTTGATATTTACCTAATTGAGGTAAATTTATATATTTTAGAAGGAAGTATCTTACATTTTAAGGAACTTATTCTTTCGTGAGGGAAGTGTAATTTTGAGCAACAACTGTACGAGTTACGGTCCAATCCAAAGACCGGAAAATTTGTAAATAAGCGGAATTTAAGTGTCGTTCATATTATTGGATCATTCTGGTAAAATTCATTGACGACTGAACATTTATTACTTTTAAATTTTAATGAGCTTTTTGCCCTTGAAATACGTTTTGCTCGGACTTTGAACGCGGAATGAAAGCAAGTTTAATAGAGTGATATTCAGTGCAACATAAAATAAAACAAGCCTTACTTACTTCGGCTTGATGTTTTTCACTCATATCATCACTAAACATGGCTCTAAAATAAGCACTTGACGAAACCAGCACTGCCTTGTGTACAGTGAAATTGTCGTTGTCAACATGAAGAACGACATCACAAAACTCCCCATTTTTCATAAGTTCATGCAAGTTTGATAGCACCTTTGTTGCAAAACGAGCCTCCACGTTAGCTTTCAAATCGCACTCAAATTTTTCTTGGCTATTTCCAGCCATTTCTAAAGAATCAATAACATTTCATTATTCATCGTATCGAAACCAATTTTATCAGTTCCCGCTAGCAATAAACCTTGCTATTTGCTAAAATTTATTAAAACTTTACAACGTCACCACATTTTTCTTTACCTCAAAAAAAGAATGTCAAAAAGTTAATCCTCAACAAAAAGAAACTCGACACAATTTCTGATAATGTAAACCGGGTCCTAAATAGACAAACATTGAAAAATTATAATAAATCGCACTAATTTCTAACTATTGCAAAAATTGTCTTCAATAGTAACAAAAATAACAATTACCTAAATTCGTAAAACTAAAAAATACATTTTAAGCAAATGCTCTTCCATTATATCATGTTTGTCATAGTCTTTGCTGTCACTAATTCACAATTCCCCAATATTTATTTGCATTATGTATTTCCATAACGACATGACGACACGAAGTTGTTACCACGACAACAATAACATGACGTAGAGGCTTAGATCCAATCTTCCAGCTGCGCGACAAATTATTCAAACGTAATGTATTAAGATATTTTGCGAAGTGATTGAAAACGTCAACTAAAACTCAAGTAAATAATCACAACGAAGAAAAACATAACCGCTGCTTTTTTCATAGGTTAAGCTTTAACTATGGGTGCCGCTCTGGGAGCCATTGGTGGACTGAGCTGTTGCTCCTTAACTTCGTGTGCAGCTCCAGTAAGTATGGAAAGTAATAGGAAATGGAAAAAATCAGGAAAACTTATGTTGATCGAACATCAACTTGTTTTTCTCATTTTATAATGATTAAAATTGTCCTTTACAATTATGTAATGCTTGTACAATCCATATGGTGATACTTGACCGACTTTTGTCTTCATAAATTGAATCGTAATAAGATGTTGAAATTCGAGTTCTTAACATCTTAATACTTCATTCAGTTTTACGCGTAAATAAATGATTTATCTTGCTGTGTTACAAGGCTGCCTTCTGCTGTGGTCCATCTGCTTGTTTTGTTGTTGTTCACGATGTCCACCATGCAAGAACTCAACATCAACAAGAATTGTCTACAGTTTCTTTTTATTTCTTGGAAGCATTGTCTCTGGTATCATGTTGACTTCTGGTATCAAGGAAAAACTTAGGGAAATTCCATACTTGTGCAGTGATGAATGCCCCGCCAACAGTTTGGTTGGTTACACAGCAGTATACAGAGTTTGTTTTGGCATGGCTGCCTTTTTCTTTCTGATGACTTTAATGATGATCAATGTTCAAAGTAGTAAAGATGGAAGAGCAAAATTTCAGAATGGGTTGGTATTGCATAATGATGTAATGTAATGTAGTGAACTTTAAACTATAGACATCGTTGACATATAGACATTGTTGAAGGTTCATTTTTGAAACCTTCTCATCAGCCACGTAACATAAATCTTTTTTCCTTTGAAAAAATCTGTTTTTTGTCACGTAGGTTTTGGATTGTGAAAATTCTTTTGTATCTTGGCTTGATCACAGCTGCATTCTTTATTCCAAAAGGCAAATTTGTCCAAGGTTATATTGACCGATTTAATGTACAACTGTGATAGATTTAGGCCTCATGGATGAATATTTTTGTGTTGTTGTAGCTTGGATGTACATTGGACTTTTTGGTGGATTCATTTTCATTCTCATCCAGCTCATACTACTGATTGATTTTGCTTATAAATGGAATCAATCGTGGTAAGAAAAGAATTATTCAATTCAGTAAACACAATGCTGGATTGGCTAGAAATTTAAAGATCATGTATACTTGTGATTGAAGGTTTTTTGTAAATTTTCTGGAATTTAGGATGGAGAAATGGGAAGTAAATGGCCAAAAAAAATATGTCTATGGTATGCAAAGCATATTTAACTGGACAGAATTTAGTAGTGAAAAATATTACATCCATAGTTTTTTTGCTGCAATGAGTTAATTCTCTTATTGTTTACCATCATAAGCCATTAAATTTCAAGATATTTCAAACATAAGACCATTTGCTTTGGATTGCAAAACATCTATTCAAAGAAATAGCTTCTTTGTGCACTCATACATGATCAAACCACCTTGATTGTAAGATGATATTATAATTAGCATACACAAAGAAATTTGTACAGGTCTGTGTATTATTGTTATCATTTAACAACAGGTCTTGCCATTGCAACTGGAGCTATGTACCTGATTTCACTGATTGGATACATACTTCTGTTTGTATTTTATACCAAGGTACAACATATTGCTACATTTGTGCCACATTAGTCTTGTCACAGAAAACTTCAAATGCCATGGAATATTTTTAAATAAAGTATTGTTTATATTTAGACATCTGGTTGTGGTCTGAACAAATTTTTTGTCAGTTTCAATTTGTGCCTATCATTACTGGTTTCTGTTGTTGCTATCTTACCAAAAGTGCAAGAAGGTAAGAAGAGTCTTAAAATTGTAATTTCTTAGAGATATTATCATTTGGAGGTATTGGCAATAGAGATTTTTCTTATACCATCCTTATTGAAAACAAACCACTATTGATGGATTTTGTTAGTCAAAGTTCTGCTTGAGTCGAAGTTCTTAATGATTAATGTATACATATTTCTATAAACTCAATAGGTCAACCAAACTCAGGGTTGCTTCAAGCTTCAATAATCACTTTGTATACAACATACCTGACTTGGTCTTCAATCTCAAACAATCCAGGTAAGTTCATATATTTTGAATGTGTTGTTTTGCTAACAGCAAGGTAATACTGAAATGTAAAGTTTACATACATGGTTACAAACAAAAAATATAAGTTAATGTAAATGTGATGTCAGTCTTTAAACTCACCTAGTTGGGACAACTCAATTTTACCAAGTAAACCATACTAAAACCTTGAATACATGTTTCTAAAGATGGACAGGTCAATTATTCTTAAAGCATTCTACTTCAATGATTGTTATAACGTTTCACAATTTTTTTCCATTCACAGACGAGGAATGCAATACAGGCATATCGTCTGGATTCCAAAGTCACTCCGTTTTTGCCGCACTCCTTATGTTTGTGATGGTCGTGTATTCCTGGTAGACACAATAAGCTTTCTCATTAGATCCTAGATAAATTTCCAGACATAATAACAGTCTAATGTGAAAGGAATTAATGATCTAAAGCAGGGGTCTCCAACTACGGCTGCGGGCCAGATGCGGCCCGTTGGGCCTCTCAATCCGGCCCGCAGAGGCACTTAAGAAAAAATAATATTATTATTAAACAAAATAAACTTTGTGCAGAAAGTTCACGTTATGTCGCAAGCCAACTAGCAAGAGTGGCTTACGTCAATTTTTCTCCCAACTTCCTACTTCCGTTTCAAGCACATTGTGAAATTTAAAAAGCTGAAGGATAACATGGAAATTTTTTATATTCTTCGGCCCTCAACATGCTGGATGAAAGTTCATGTGGCCCTCTGGCTGTAAAGTTTGGAGACCCCTGATCTAAAGCAACAGGGACCCAAATCCACGAGCAATTATTCATAATAATAATTTGCGAAACGTCGCCTTTTCTTCGTTATAAACGATTGCTTTTAATGTATAAACATGGTAATTTTAGTCTGAGAACAAGCAGTTCATCCCGTCTTGGTGAAATAGGAATGACAAGAAATACGGAAATGGAGGTACGTATATAAACTCTCAACTGTGGAATGAATATATTTTCTTTTCGCGAAGTTCATTTTCGCATGTTATTTTCTGTATTTCCCAGGAAGTTCTTTTACCAGATTATGGCGAAGGTAAGAGTATGTTTTACGTCCACCATACACATATCTGGTAATTGAAACGAAATCCCTTGCGTTTAAAACACAATGTTTGTTTTGTCTCACACTACAGAAGAAAATGCGGACAGAAACGAAGATCCTGAAAAAGGCGAACAAAAATATCAAAATGTTCATGACGACGAAGCACTTGGTGTTACATACAACTATTCATTCTTTCATTTTACATTTCTACTAGCATCTCTATATATCATGATGGTGTTGACAAATTGGTACAGGTATGTACAAATTAGTACATGTATGTATAAAAATACCTCATGGGGGTGAACATCCCTAAAAATTCGCTTCTACTTCTTCTACTTATCGACCAATAACCCAACAATGGTGACGTATATTTAATGTATGGTGTTTGTTAGGAGATATTTTCCTGAATGAAGAACATTGCCACGCAAGACATATTCTTACTTTTGCAAAACAATTTTATACAAAAACATGATAAACAGTTCGAACATAAGGAGACAATGCTCGCTAAATTGCCATTTTCGTCTTCTTGTAGCCCTCAACATGCCGATATTACAACTCTGAACAGTAACATGGCTTCAGTGTGGGTAAAAATGGCGTCAAGTTGGTGTTGCTTGGGCCTGTATTTATGGTCGATGGTTGCACCCATTGTCATGCCTGGAAGAGATTTCTCCTGAGATGCAAAAGAAAACTAACTACTTTTTGCTTTATTGGCACAAAAAAAATATATACAACAGGTCGACACTGTATTTGTAACGATAAACTTAAAATTATTTAGTGGAAACCTTCCACATGCCAAGCACAGCAAGGCTTCATTTTAACGTTCACTGTCATGTATCAACATTATATGAAATAATAAAAAATACTATGCAAGAATGTACCTTTACAATATAGCTGGAGTGTATTGGACCGTTGACAAAAGAAATAAACGTACATAGCCTTAAGTGTACAAGAGATACGGTTGTAGACGTGGTACTTCAAGTAAGCAATAAAAATCATATGCATCATGGATGTCCCAATGTCGTCATCACTAGATATTGGGCAATCGTGATTGGCTATCTGCCGGAGCATTTAAGAGTAAAACTAAAAAATTACAGCTCTACTCAAGCAACAGTATAAGTTAGCAAACATTCCATCAACTCATCTGATCTGGTGATTTCCGCATCCACGGGTTTCTATGTATTTGTATTTGTTTACTGCAAGTTCAGTATTACCGCAAATGTAACTCTCCAAGATAAATCTTTTTATCACTTCCAACAGATAACACTAAAATATGAAATTAAGTAACCAATCAATGACAATCCAATTATGTACAAAAAAAACTTGTTATATAACTTGTGCATAAGAAAAAACTCGCCACTGTAAATAGTTTTTAGTTCTTACATATTGGTTCTTTCGGATGAAAATCCACATCATTGACGGAACCATCGTGACCTGGTAACTTATATAATATCCTTCGTGATTGGGTGTCCCACACGTAGACAAACCTAGGAAATTGGATCGCAAGATTAAAAAGAAGGATGACACAATAGTGCGTGTAGACACTTTTGATTGGTCGTTTTCTTAAAGTAGAAGGTATTTTCTATAGATTAATCTCTCCTATAGAAGCTACATTGGTGTTTGCTGTTGGTGAACAACCTGCCTCCGATCGAGCCATCACATTTTCAACACTACCACCCTAAGTTAACCGTTTTGAAGACAATTGGCTATTTTCTTTGTGGACAGACTTCATCATTTGACAATTGCTCTACCTATGATACAAATAAACAACAGAGCTTACCTATCACCTGACCCAGATGTTATCATTTTACCATCCGGTGACCAGGAGCATTTTATTAAATTCTAAATAGTGAAATAGCTTATTTCAAAGAAACGCTAATGAAGAATGCACATATACACTCAAGTTTGAATAATAGTTAAATCCATACGAAATGATAAAATTGAAAGGAAATATTATATCACAACTTATGTTACTACTGAACTAATACATGATACAAGAATACAAAGCTAAACACCGTTTTGACACCATATCACTTCAGATGAGACACTAGACTGGAGTATACAATGACTGCATAATCAGTCCCATACACTTGTTGATCGAAGGTATAAATATGGCTACGTCATCTCTTACTTTTTCAAAATTATGTTGTGCGCCCATGAACACTTTCACACATCGTTCAACAGGAGCATATGGTCTAACATCCCAAATACGAACTAAAATAATTTAAGGAAACATATAAAACAACGCGTACGTAGTTCTTTAGGAACAACAACAATTTGATTCATTTCACAAAAATCCCTGTAGATCATTTTCGAAAGTTCAACACTTCATATAGCTACAGACGCAATTGACACAAAAAGACGATATAAAAGTGAACACAAATTTGTCGGTGTAAGATTTTCGTCAACTTCCAAATATGATATATTTTAAACAAAAACAAACCTGTGTTATCCATAGCATTTGAAAGGAGGAATGATCCATCTGGACTCAGTTTGAATCCCGTAATGGTATCAGTATGTCCAGGCATTTTGTAAAGAATATCATTTTTACGTAAATCCCAAACCTTAAAAATTTACACGAACGTCAGCGAAAGAAAACATTTTACTGCAACATCTGTCCCACACATTGGGGGTAATTTTGTTAGACTGCACAACGGGGAAACTACGATGATTGAGAAATAAAATACGTACATCAACTTTACTGAGTGTTATAAGCATATTTAAAATATTTTATCAGTTTCGTGTAGTTCATGAACAGCAGCTTGAGAAAAATTATATACAAGATCAAATTAACAACAATTTTAATCTCTTAGCTTGGCAATTCCAAATTGGCAAACCTTGGATGTGAAAAATCACCTTACAAGTTAAATGCTGCAACAAATATTAGCTGTTGGTCAACATCAATGTTAGAGTAATATAAAACATTTTTACTACCTTTACTTCATTATCAATTCCACCAGACAATATTTGATCTGATGTATCATTGAAGCTAACAGCTGTGACCTATTTTGATATATAAGACTTTAGTAAAGTACAACGGTTTGGGGGGGGGGAGAAAAGGAGGCGCAAGTACAAAAAAAACATCAATACCTGATAAATGTCCTGGAATGTTTGAACAGCTCCTTTTTTTCGAATGTCCCAAAGCTATAAAAAAATTTTTGTGTTAAGACTATAATGGGAATGAAAAACTCAATATTTTCATGCTATACAGTATCACATTTATGTATGCATGCAAACACACGGCTAATATTTTAAGGGAGGTGTGTGCAGTTGGTAATTTCAATGTTCGATTACGAAAGTGTTCACCTATATATCATATGTACATTCCATTGAATATTGCCCAACTGGCCTTGTCTACAACATGGATATTCATATGATTTAATAAAAACTAATTTTAAAAACTTTAAATGGTGATAAGTTTTTTATTAATCGATCTATATTTATGCCAAAAATGACTAATCAACAACATTTAGAACCACAATTTTGCAATTTAACCATTACAAACTGACCAACATAATATTTCAACAAAGAAAACATATTCAAAAATGGGTCAACAGAAGTTAAATTAATACCTTGATAGTACTGTCATCAGCTCCACTAACAATCATTTGATTTCCCCGTCTTGATGGACAACACGAATTTACAAAAGATTGGTGCCCCTTGAATTTTTTCAACCGACTTCCAGTTTCGTAGTCCCAACAACAAACAGTCTTATCAGTTGAAGCAGTAAAAATCATACTAAAAGAAAAGTTAGAAGTTAAAATCAATATATCATTCTCAAATACTTCTTGACCATCTTGAACATTACAAAAATTTGTCTGATTCCCATACAGAGCATGAAAAGATCAAAGGATACAAGAAAACATAAGAATACTTAAACATCCCAATCCCCCATAACAACATAGATACTCAACACCTCCCCACTCCCACAACATTTTAGATTGACAATTTCAATGACTACATTGGCCTTTACGTACCTTCCATCTATATTAAAATGAAGTTCCATAATAGCACCAGTGTGTCCTTTTAAAACAGCAAAATTTTCACATTCACCGTAAACATTCCATAAATCTGGTTAATAGAATATAAAGACCATATAATGGCTGAAAAACTTTGCCTACCAAAAACTGTTGTCCCTTCCATTATATATTATATACAATTGATAATGTAGAAATTTAATAACTCCCAAAAGTTCGTTTTTTGAAATCCTCCAGTGGTCTGTTCCCAAATACTAATATAAAAGACTTAAAAATAGCACTTGATGAGGAAAGCCATAAAATTCGGCAAAATTTGTTTTACGGGTTTGTGCATTTCGAATACATAAGTTATTCTAGAATAAGTTATCCAAGATGTTGGTGGATGACATTAGGGGCAAAACTAATGAACAAAGTTAAAAGAACCTACATATCAAGCGATCAAATCCAGCAGAGGCAAGGATATCCCCATCTGGATGAAATTCAGTGGTAAAAACTTCACTCTAGAAAAAATCACAATCAAAATATGAATACCACATCAAACTGTTTCAAAGTTCAACCCGTAAGCTATATTTTGAAATTTAAATGGTAAAATTTAAAATACAGACAAAAAAATAAAGTTTGACTTCGATTGCTAACCTCATGGCCAGTCAATAACATAATGGGAGCCATCAAAGAACTAGACCTAGGTGGACCCTACAAATAAATCAGGAGATTCTAAGCATATTAAATAAAGAGCCTTCATATACCAGACTGGAAAATCCACAAACTGTGCTCCCAAGATTCTAACTCTGCACAAAACATAAAAAACCTAATATTCTCAAAATAAATCACAGCACAAAGTTTCCAGTCTGGTTTATATCCATTATCTCTATCTAATACATGTTACAACTCTTTGTATCACAAGTCTCTGTGAAAGGAAGGTACAGTTTGATTCAGAAAATATTATGTATTAATTTCAAATTCGCTCAATCAACATGCCTTATTATACACTGCACGTTAACATATAATACGTAGCTAAAGTACTTGCAAAAAATCAAATAAGTTAAGTCAATGAATAAGAAAGCAAAAAAATAACAACCAAATAACGTAAATTTTACAGTGAATATAAAACAAGAAATACAGAGTAAAGGATACAATATAATCCTCTCTAAATTTCTCACCCTTTGCATGATACTTTGCTGCACGTTTCTAATTGCCAAGTCATTTTGCTTCGGTCTTTTAGAAGCAACAATTGCAAAGTCTTCTTCAGGTTTTCTTTTCACCGAACTTGTAGCCATGTTCACCATCTTTGTAGTGTTGTGACTGAGAGAACTGGTAACGAAATTCATTAGTCCCATAAATCACTGTGATAGTTGAAAGTTTATATATATTTTGTATAAATCAAAATGTAAAATAAAAACAGAAATCAAAGATTCATGATTGATTATTCCCTCGCTTTATTGGTCTGTCAAATCAATCTTTTTGCTATAAGGCATTTTTGTAAAGATTAAATTTCATGTAATACTTAAGAAAAATAAAGTCAGTTCTTGCCTGCCTGCCTGCAACCCTTCTCGCCTCAAAAGCAGGATAGTATAAAATATATTATATAAATGCGGGAAAAAATCAAAATGGCAACCGCCTCAAAAGCTACCTCTCACTTGTATTGTTGAGGTATTACAATATTACTAAAAATTTCTCAACTCTTGGCGGATGCTGTTAAGGTATGTAGTTTTTGAATGCAGTAGAAAAGAGATATCATGTTTTTTTATGGAATCAATTGAAAGATCGTTGTTAACAAGTGAAGGCTAGGTTTCATGGATCATCTTCATCTACCTCTAATAGTAATCTTTTGCATTTGTACTCACGATCGACTTCGTTTCAAAAGCTAAAGCACCGATTTCTTTTTTTTAAGCTTAGGTTTTTCGTGGAATGTGAAGTGTTAATCTTGTCTTGTGCTATTTCGTATAGTAATCAAATTAATTTAACTCCAATTTTCATTTATCATATTTTTTATCGTGGCACTATTTGCAAAGTATGTTTTAGGTAATCTAGAAAATTTTTAAAAATTGTCCAAGTAAGCACATGCAGAATTGTTTACACTACGTAGATAGAGCCAATTACAATATTCAATAAAATTTGAACTGCAACCAAAGAAATCCTTTGTCAAATTTATGTAATACTCTGACAAATGTATAAACAAAACTGAGATAATTATAACTCATGAGTGACTGTCTATAAGAGAAATAAACACACATAACTCACAAATGTTAAAATGACTTTAGCACTTTTCAATGTGTTACCCATGTCAAATAAGAAGAGTGACAACTTAATGGTTCCACCCTTTTATTATAGAAAGTGATAAAATGTCGTACAGGGTTCTTAATGTGGCAGAGAAAAATGATGCCGCAAGGGAAATTGCACGAATCATGTCCCGTGGTGGAAATAGTCGACGGGAAGGGATGTCTGTATACAATAAAATCTATGAGTATCATTATAATTTATTTGGGCGACAATGCCAGATGACAATGACGTCAGTATCTGGACACTTAATGGATGTAGAATTCTCTGCTGGCTATCAAAAATGGCAAAGCTGTCAACCTTTGGCCCTGTTTACAGCACCTATTGAGAAGAAAGTCCAAGAGAAAATGGACAATATTAGGAAGACCCTTGAGAGAGAGGTTCGTCGATGTCAAGCTTTGATAATCTGGACTGACTGTGATCGGGAAGGTGAAAATATTGGTTTTGAAATCATTGAAGTTTGCAAGGCAATCAAACCCTGTATCGAAGTGCACCGCGCCAGATTCTCGGAAATTACAGCTTCATCAATTACTAGAGCTTGTAATAATTTGATCAGACCAGACGAGAACACATCATTTGCCGTTGATGCGAGACAGGAACTAGATCTTAGAATAGGAGCAGCATTTACTCGATTTCAAACTTTACGACTACAGAAACGTTTCCCTAACGTTCTTAGCGATCAATTAATTAGCTATGGGAGCTGTCAGTTTCCAACACTTGGCTTTGTCGTGCAACGTTTCAAGGAGATTGTTGCATTCGTTTCTGAAACCTTTTATAAAATCCAAGTAAAACATGTCACTATTGATGGAGAAGCGGAATTTCATTGGAAGCGAGTTCGTCTTTTTCACCGTTTAGCATGTGCAGTATTACATGAATGTTGTCTCGAGAATCCTTTGGCCACTGTTGTAAATCAAACTTCCAAACCAAAAAGCAAGTGGCGACCACTACCTCTTGACACTGTGGAATTGGAGAAACTTGCTTCGAGAAAGCTAAGGATAAATGCAAAGGAGACAATGAGAATTGCAGAAAAGTTATACAATAAAGGTTTTATCAGTTACCCGCGTACTGAGACCAATATCTTTCCTTCTTCTCTTGATCTGACCGATCTCATTCGGCATCAAACCGTTGACAACAGTTGGGGACAATTTGCAGCTAACCTATTGACTGAAGGTGCTAATCCACGTCAAGGTACAAAGACAGACAATGCCCATCCGCCTATCCATCCTACAAAGTTCACAGGAACATTACAGGGAAATGAAAAAAGGTTATACGAATTTATTGTTCGGCACTTTCTCGCATGTTGCTCAAAGGATGCACAAGGAGTCGAAACAACAGTGGAAATTGATATAGCAGGAGAGAAATTTACAGCGAAAGGATTATCTATCACTGCTAGGAACTACCTTGAGGTTTATCATTATGATAAATGGTGCGAGAAGACAATACCTGTATATCGTAAAGGCGAAACTTTCACGCCTTCTTCAATTGACATGATAGAAGGACAGACAGAGCCGCCTTCATTGCTGACTGAGGCAGATCTTATCGCTCTGATGGAGAAGCACGGTATAGGTACAGATGCGACGCACGCCGAACATATTGAAAAGATAAAGCAGAGAAACTATGTCGGTGTACAGCCGGATGGCAAGTTTATTCCAGGAGAGCTTGGTATGGGTCTTGTCGAAGGTTACGACGCAATGGGTTTTCAAATGTCCAAACCACATCTTCGTGCTGAATTGGAAGCTGATCTCAAGAAGATTTGTCTTGGCCAAAAGAATAAGGAGGTAGTTCTGCTACAGCAAATCGATAAATATAAAGAAGTGTTTGTACAGACTTGTGAGCACGTCAATCAGTTAGACAACGCTTTAGCACGATTCTTTGGACATCCCGAGGAACTTACAGAAGATCCTATTGCCTCTCAAATAGTCCATAACAAACCAGTGTTTCCATGTCCCACATGTCAAGCCCAAATGTGCACAAAGAAGACGCAGGAGGGCTTTTTTATTATTAGGTGTATGCGCTACCCTGATTGCAAGTCGGTTGCCTTTCTTCCTCGTTTTGTGCTTGATGTTGACGTAACGGAAATAGAGTGTACACGTTGTGTTCCAAGGCCCGTGTATAAAATGAAATTTACGTTTAAACCAGGTTCGATTCCACCCATGATGAATTTAGAATATCATTCATGTATACTATGCGACCAAGATCTCAGAGAACTTTTAGATTTCAGAATTAAGTCTGTGGTTTCATCCACTAGAAGTCAACAAAATGTTTCTAACAACATCGCTAGAAATGCACGATATAACAACAGTGAAAATCAACGAGGCGGTAGCATTCGACCGCGTGGACCAAGACACAAACCTCCACCTGGACCAAGATATGCACCTCCACGTGAACCACGACACGAACCATGTCCTTCACAACCACGTGAACTGCAACGTCCTCCATTACAAACACTAAATAACAGACCAGGATTTACTCACAGCTCTACGACAATTTTGTGTAATTGCAATAAAACGGCAGTCGTGCGCACCGTCCGTAAAGAGAGCGCGAATAAAGGTCGTAATTTTTATTCTTGCGAAGTGAAGGGATGTGACTTTTTTTTGTGGGAAGATAACAACCCAGGAAATAGTCAGCAGATCAATGTTCATACGCCAAACAGACGTAAAAGAACTTTTGAAGCTGCAAATCAAAAGTTGTGTCAGTGTCGAAATGCAGTTGTTGTAAGGACAGTCCTAAAGCACGGTCCAAACAAGGATCGTCAATTTTATACTTGCTCGAAGCCTCCAGGACAGTCATGTAACTTTTTCGAATGGGTCGATGGAACAAATGCACAACAAAACCCGCATTCTTCTAAGAGAGAAAGCAGAAAACCAAGATGCTGTGGTATTTGTCGCCAACCAGGACACACTCGCAATACATGTCCACAAAATAATTGATTCGAGTATGAAAGAATGAGAGACGAAGTATATTCTTTTCGCGTTCATAAAGACAATGCATACACGTTTATTAATTAAGGCAATTGATTAGAAAAGATGGTTTAGTACATAGCCAACACAAATAAAATACAAACTTATGAATGGACGAATAGATGGATTGTGTATTCTGTCGCTCCCGCGTGAGTTCAAGGAAATGAAATACGCAAGACAGTCGCTTTTTTGAACTCGATGTTAAGTTTAGAGAATCAGTATTTTTTGAACTCGAGGTAGTTATGTTTAGAGAATCCGTATTTCAAAGCTGTCTTAGTAAATCTCTTTGATCGTTTGGCGACCTCATTTTTATAAAGTCTTTTACATAAAAAGGCCTTATAGAAAAAAAACGTAAAAAAAAACTTATTGGCATATCGACGAGTTATGTTAAAAAAAAGACAAGTATTTTTCCCAGCTACAGCCTACATGACTGGAAATTGGTCAGTTACACAATTACTTTGTACCAATAATAAACCATTTTGGATGTCAACCAACTAAATGTGTTATCCAAATGTAGAGCATATTTTCCTTTCGTCACGGAAACCTGTGAGCGAAGAGTGAAAAATTGCAAAGCAAATTATTATATTTCAGTGTTTCCATGGCAAAGTCAACAGAAATGTATTTGTATATATAAATATTGATCCAGTGGGAGTTTCTGGGTAAGTCAGTTATTTGTCCACTAGAACAACATTAACAGTACAAAAACAATTTACGTCCAGGCGAAAGGCAAATTAACGAAAACATATTTGTGCATGGGGTAAATAAATAGAAGAATGTGATTCCAAGCAACATTTGTATAAATCTTATTCATTATATCAGCTTTTGTACTCACTTTTCCATAAACAGGATTCACATTACAATCATAGCGTTTGTTAACAGCCCAATTATTGTCGTCTGGCACACCAAGCAAATGAAAACTGGAAAATAATTGATATTAAATAGCATTTGTTCCATTGGCTTTACTAGACTATGCACTTAAACAGTGAATAGGTTTATTCCGTTGGTTTGATTTACTATTAAAGAGACAAAACGTACCTTATATTATTTTTCTCAGAGCAAAAACCAAATATCAAAGAGCCAGATACATCGACATTGATGTGAACATCGTAAAATTGACTGCGAGGTACGAGTACACCTTGTACTGCAGCTGAAATGAACAGTTCATGGTTGAACCGTGATTTTCAATAAACATTCATTCTTAAATCCAAAGTTCATTTCAAATCTAATTGGATTCATATTTAGCCAATTGCAAACAGAAATTCAGAAAAAAAATTTCTTTGCGTAAATTGAGATGCCTTTATCCGTCACCATTCAAAAAGTTGTACAAACGAAACCAAAATATTTCGAGAGAGCTGATTCAGCAATGTCAAACTAGCATCATGTTCACGATATATAATTTTTCTAAAAGGTTTGGCTTCTTGTTCCGATTATGTTCAAATATTTACCTCCTTGCCTGTCGTGAAGACGATCAATTTTTTTCATTGCTTTCATAATACCCTGATATAAAATATATTGATATAAAGCATTATGAAAAACTAATAAAGTCAGTAAGTATCTAGACGTGATAGGATAAAATCATGAAATAAACTAAATATAAAAATTCCAATTCAAGAGGAGAATTTGCAGCCCAACCCGTTGACAGCAATACACAACCTCATTTGAGGTTAGTGCAAAAGTCAAATCTTTTATCAAACTTACATTACACTCAATCAAATGAAAGAACGACTATTTAAGTACCTCGCAACTCGATCTTATTCTGGCTAAGTTTAAAGCTTCTTGCCAGGCAAACAGATTAATAGCCCAGATTGGGAGCCAACCTTTAGGATCTGCTTGTATTATGTAGGTCACCTACAAAAAAATTTTAATATCACTTTTTAAACAAATTCCAATTACCTAAAAAGCACCAAATGTTATTATCGCCAACCAACTTTATCAATTTTGATCATGACAGAAAAATATAGTATTTCCAACACATATTATTTTTAATCAAGACAAATAGGAAGGGAATATGAGAACTCTAGCTGTTGCACTCATAAGAAAGCTTCACTAACATGACCATAAATATCCAAAGTAAATTATACTAACATCAAGTATATCGGGTTGATCACTCTGTCGGAATACGTAGCCTGAGCAGAGCATTTCAGCACGAACCAAATTTAAATGACTCAATTCTGGGCATTCGGGTCGTTTAATAGACGATCCCTAGTAAATAGAATCAAAATTAGTGGAAAGTTTGTTTTCCAGCCATAAAAAACTAGTAAAGATGCCAGTCTTATCACATTCTGCTACACAAAAAAAGACTTATTTAGCGTTTTTCTAAGTTTCGTGTATTAAATCGTGCTTGCTCTTTTTCCATGAACTTGGTGTTTTCCAATCCAATGTAATCAACCAACACAACAACTTACCACACCAAAACCATATTCCTTGCCATTCTCGTCTACCCTAATATCTCCATACTCAAGCCAACAAACATCTCGTAAACTGACTGGTCCAGCCTGACCAAATACACCCCATTTTATGGAGTAGAAAGGAACATCAGGATGTTTATAATCTTTAGGAATGAGATGCATCAACACACCATCGTAAAAATGCACGTCTATAACAAGTGATTAACGTTTTTCATATTTATATAGCAACTTCCTTAATACAAACTGAGAAAAAACATTACTAAGAGCACGACAAACACTGACAGTAAAGGAAATATCGAAAAAAATCAGTAAAATTTCGAGCAGTATCTTTCATTCTTTGACATATCAAGGAGAGATGTAAGAAAAATATCTTAGTCGACAGAAACAACTGGGGTTGGAGAAATTCACGCAATTTCCACGCGTTTGGACGTAACAATAAATTCATTAAATACGAACCATATTACCTATCACGTGAAACAATCGTCGGAAAGAGTCGGTAGACGACGATATCATCATTGCTTTCATTTCTTCTTTCGTAGCTCGAATCTTTGATTTTCCGCGAATGAGATGGATCTAAAATTTATGTAATGAAAGATCAACACGGTTAACTACTGTTGACCAGAACTTAATTTAACGCTGATGAGAAGATCCAATTGTAGCGAAAAGCTTAAAGACAACGTTCAGAAGCAGCTATTTTTGTTTCGCAAACACAAAAACGTTCAACAACCCTTTTTTGCCAGAAGAAAAATACGCTGTATACGTTTTGAGTCAGTTGTGCATAGAAACAAGTAAAATACCTTACTCCCTGGTACTTTTCCTTGATAAATTTCAACATTATCTTTTGTGCATACGTAAGAATATCCCTAAAAATCATGTAATTATCCACAATTATTTATGAAAAAATCTAAAATATAAAAGTCGTGTTCACAATAGAAATTTCAAAAATGATTACAGATATCAACTTATTCTACAATACTCCATTTTTCATTTAAGAATGTTCGTTACATTAAACAGTGGCTTCTACAGGATTCTATCTCTGGCAGAAACTAAGGATTTATTTATTTCTTTGTTCTGATATTGTAGAATCAAATGGCAAACTTTCGACAGTATAAACCTCAAACCAAAATTTGGAACTCTGATGCACATTTCACAAATAAAAACTTGCATTAAGAAATTAAATTGAGTAGAGTGACATCTTAATGCAAAGAGCGCTCGATGACGTTCTTCATGACTCTAACCTCAGTTGAATATTCAGCTTCCATAAGACCATCCACCCAAGATTCTGCGAGCTTCTTATATTGTTCAGCTTCTTCAGAAGTGAGGTCGAGATAGTCGCCAAAGAAATCATCTGGAACTGGCAGCTAAAAGCACATGATTATTACAGGTTGTTATGCCTGCATAAATGGTGGCCTAAGGCAGGGGATGTGAAAGGGTGGGGTAGGGGCAGGGCAGGTGATGAGGAAGAGGGTGGGTGGGGCAGATGTTGTGGACAGTGAAAGATTTGGGCAAAGGTTGGGATGAAAAAGAGTGGGAAAGGGGGGTAGGGTTAGGGTGGAATAGGGAAAGGGTGGGAAAGGGGAAGGATGAAGCAAGAAAATTGTCCTTATTTTGAATGTTGCAAGATATACATCAGTTTTATTGCTAAACTTTACATCCCTTTAAAAAATTTTCTCCTCACAATCGCAATTGTTTAAAATCACAACATCTTGGTGAAACAAAAAAGTTTATAAATGTCAAACAAATAACAAATTGGCCATTGTTTTCACTCTCAATCAGCACCAACCATAGTGCCTCTGCAAAATGCCTTTTTAACAATGTAACTTGGAGCCCAGAAGATTCATAAGTGCCCTAAACACCCCTCTTATGATCCTCATATAAAAACGACATTGCACAATGAAACTATAATGAACTAAAACAAACAAAAAAGAGTTACGTGTGTCATTTTCATGGCCTTTTCAGTAATTTCATTAGACATTGACGAGAACTTCCAGTCATACATTTGTCAGTGGTCAGAAAAAATATATGACTATAAGAATTTTTATTGGACATAAATGTGAATTACCAATGTATGTGAAATAAAATTTTTTAAATCATCCACAAACCTTCAGACTGTGCTGTGATGCACATTTCTGGAGACCATAATTTTTATTGAACTTCAATGTTAATGGATACACATCTTTGCTTTTAATCACTTGTTTTTGTAAATCTTCAATGCTTGAATACTCTGCCGCGTGAAAAGGCTCACCATTTATTTCACACAAAACATATTTTTCTTTAAAAAGAAATAAGTTTGTTTTAAATTAGTTCTATTGAAACACAAAACACGAAACATGTAACCATGTCCCATTCATTGCAGAAAACAAAAATAAATTCTATAATTGGCAGAATTTACAGTACAGAGTACAGACAGACATTTCATACAGGGCGGGGTGATTAATGCATGGACGACATTATGCTGTAATGATCTGCAAAATGGAGGCTCATATGTGGATGGGCTTTGAGTTGAGTGTCTTGAACGATCAAGGTTGTCTCCATCATGAGAGGGCTTATGCATGGGGGCAAAACAGTCAGAGGTTTACGGTATATTACAAAAGTTGAGTTGCTGATGTGAAGTTAATCAAACACAAGATAGCTACCTAAAACAAGTATACTTCATCTTCAACATGTAAAATATATTCAGTACTCTGTATCTTGAACCAGTGAGACTCAATTTAGCTCAACAGATCGTGAAACTGAACCATAATGAGTCAGGCAATACATCAGCAAGCTTCATCTTACTGTAGTTTAGAATTTACTAGTTATTTGTCATAAATGAACACTTAATAACTAAGCAAAATTAATCTCAAAATTCTCAAACAAACCTGGTATTTTATGATTTCCTCCACTAAATACGTATATCTCCCCATTTTTTCGTTTTAATTTAATATCAAATTCAACAGATGAATTGAAAGTGGCCTCAAACATACCATTATCTTGCATTGTCAATTTATAAATATCACACGAATTTGTGATGAGTATCTTCAAATTAACAGTTAGGCTGAGCTTGTCAATACAAACGAAATTGAAAAATGTTCATTCGATATATTTTAGTTTCAAAAAATGCAATGATAGTCGAAGAGAGCTAATTGTTTTTGAGTCAACTTCAATTAATTTGTTACTTGATATGAACCACTTCTCGTCATATTTTCATCCTTTTAGCCAAAATGACATCGTAGCAATCATTTGAAAAGTTTTTACGAACGTTTGTAAAAAGTACCCAATTTTAACTCTCCTCTCTAGATTATAAAGTCAATAAACACATGTGTTATGGTCATGTGCCGTTAAAAAAAATTAATGTTATGAAAAAATGAACAAAAAGAGCAATAAAAAGACAAATTGTTTTACACTATTTTATATTATAAACTTTCCCCGCTTGCATGCAAGCCTTTGTAGCTCAGGGGTTAGAGCACTGGTCTAGTAAACCAGGGGTCGAGAGTTCAATTCTCTCCAAAGGCTCCTTTTTTCTTCCCAATTTAACAATTATTAATATCTCTCAAAACAAAACTCGAATACTTGTTACCTTTGAAAAAATGTCTAAACTACCAGTTTTGACGTTAAAAAATCTACATTAGCAATAAAACTGACCGAAAATAATATATTTTTCTTTGGAATTTACAGCCTGCTTATGTAGGAATTTAATGCCTACCTGCGTTAAGGCTAACTATAGTGGTGGAAAAAAAGTGATGTTGAGAGGAAAGATTATATTTACTTAATAAGATGGGTTCGTTGCTATCGTGGGAAGATTTTGTTCGAGGTAGCTTACCTATCATTTTTAATGTTTTTAAAAGTCGACGGTACATTTTAATGTTTAAAAATAATTGACATTGTGTCAGTGGTCACTGGTCACTATCAAACTTTGATGAAGCAAGCAATACACACTTATGACCAACAACATAGTAGTGGTAGTACTTGTAATGTATAATAACATCGCATGTTGTTCCATATATTTCCACTCTACATAATAGTTCACACAACCAACCAAAGCATTTCATAATCACAATAAATAATCAGTCAGTTGTCATAATGCATGTTAATTTGTATCACATTAAAGCTTGCTTGAAAAATGCAAAGTTATGGACAGAAAGCAAGGGGCCAAGAGTGTACAAATTAGTACATTTTGGATATACGTGTGTGCCAGCCCAGCTTTTCTATCAAACACAGACACTACTAAAGTTGATTTCATATAAGAAATAAGATAAACAATTTGTTCCTTTTTTATAAATTTAGATAATCTGCTGAAAATGAATGTACTTGATAGCATCATGTTGATTACAAAGTATGGTGAATTGATTTACTCTTGGGGTGGAATATTGGATAATGTATGTTTTAAAAGAGTGTGAAAACTAGCATTTTTCAACTAGAACTGCCATTTTGGAAAATGGGAGGCATTCTATGATGACTTTGGTATTTTCACCCACTAAAATCAATGGTTATTGGTTGTTTGTTTGATTATAAAACATGTTCAAAGAAAATGGTTTGTACCCTAGAATATTGTTACGTGTTTGTAGATGTAGATTATCCAAGTTAGAGGATTGTTTGTGTTAGTGTTGACAACTGGTGTTTTGACAACCTTAGCGGTAGTCATCTTCTGAAGATTTACATCTACAAACTTGGTTAAAAGACAAAGCCAAAGTAGAAAAACCACATGCTACACATCAGCTAAAAAAGTTTATTTTAACATCATAACAATCAATTGTAATTGACGCATTATGCTAAACAAAGCTCACTCCAACTCTCTTTCCCATAAGTTCCTTGTTTAGTTGTGTCCTTGAGTAAATTTTCCCTTTTGCACAACCAACATCTTTCTTTCCTTTAATCTAGCAACAGTGCCTTCAGTTCAAAGATATTTTTAACACAATCTCTGAAAAACAAGGTGATGAAGACAGTTTTCAAAAATAGATGGCAACTTTTAACTATCTACTGAAAAGCAATAGTCAATGAATATAATGTAAACATTGAAAAGGATAGGGTAGTATTTGAACATTACTAAAAAAAAATTATTGGGTAAAAATTAAGACTATAGTGACAATCATTCATCACAACCACCACCGGGCTCATGGTTTTTCAGAGCATATTTAGGCAATGAAAAATATGTCACTGATGTGAGTATTGGTTGTGATGAATGGAAACGAATAGCCCTTTTCTCTTATTTTATCTAAAATATCTAATAAGACATGAATACATCCATGAATGACCTGAAGAAAATATATGAGCAGTCGTTCAATCTGTGATATAGGAAATAAAATAAGTGTGTGGTGAGTTTTTGTGGAGTTAAACACGACCTAGAAAAGACTGGGTCCAACAGAACCTGAGATACTCAAATTTTAATGTTCCAACTTAAAACATTTTAGAGAACGATGTTTGCCGGAAAGGTTTTACTTTGACGAAAGAAGACAACGTTAAAATACATTACAAGGTTTACAAAAAGACTTTATCTAGGTATGAGTGGTTGGTTATTGGAAGGTATACATGATCTTATATAAGAAAATTCATAGAAATTATGGACCGTTAAAATGAAAAACAAATATTTGTAGAGAAATATTAAGTTCAGCTGTTATCTTATTTCAGCGTGTATGGTATGAGCGAGAAACGACGAAGTGGTTTGATCATGTGCAACCTACCATATGGCATATTGATTACAACGTATAGTGGCTCAACTGACAAGGCGCGGGACGTCATTAAACTTGTTGAAGATGCGTGCACGTTACTCCGAAGTTAGAGACAGAGATTTAATCTCGTAGAACTCTGAAAACTCAGTCCCTAGCTTACACTAGTTGTCGTTACGATACTTAATGGATTGTACAGTGATTACCGTCAACCTAATGTATCAGTGTATTTCTATGATTTCGTAACATGTTATATCACCAATGCAATAAATTAAATATTCCGGAAATTATGCTGTTTTTTAAATTGTTTTTTCATTTCATTTGTTTCATGTATTTTCCTTTAAAGTACGATTAATGGGGGGTGAAAACGTTATTGTAATGGGCACATAATTGTTATAATGGGCACATTTCCCCTTAATACATGGTATATACTGCAATATATAGGATTCTGAATGAACCTAAATTGCACTATTTTGTGTCAAATCGATAATTACGAGATCAATGAAAACACAGATGACAAGAAATTTCTCAAGTATAGTTCTATTTCTTTCGTTTTATCAGAAGTAGTTCAAGAGCTAAGACGACTATAATATCTTTTGTTTTTTTCTTCCACTTTTCTTTTTTCTGCTTCGCTTAGAATTTATAAACGCACGCAACTGTTATAAACTGTACCTTTTATTTGCTATCCTTTGTCTCAAAGAGATCTAATAACTATGAACAAATTACAGTGTACGGCCATATTATAAAATTCATCTCTATACATGCTCTTATGACATTTCAATTTTAATTATTTGAAAAAACAATAACTTCCATTTAACGTTCAAATTGAAAAAAGTTAAATAATTATGAATAACGTAATTGTTTTTATTGTTCTTTTACAACAGCAACGAGAACAAGTTTAATGTATCGACAAATTCAAATATTAAGAACTATTTTTCACAAAAAAAAAACATTCAACCTACGCTTATGCAATTATTTTCATAAAAACGCCAAGCTATTAAAAATAAAATGTTTTGGAACACTACCTGTTGACTAGGCAATTAAAAAGCCGCGCGAGTTCCGGCAAGTAAATATTTCGCACCCCGTGGGGGCTATTCAAGTGCAAATATCGCTGCTATATGTATTGTGTAGAATTCACGTAGGAGACATACCGCTATTGCGTGCAATGAAATCTATACGTTGCAGTCGTCACCTTGATGTAACTCGCAATAACTTGCAACATTGAAACAGGTTGAACAAACAGAAAAGAACCAACAGTTTGAAATAAAATATTGGTGATTTTAATCTAACATGGAATTAACAACACAGGACAATGCTCATCACTGCGATCGAATGACCAGAGGAATAAAGCGACTATTTGAGAAAGAAAACACGATAAAATCACAAGAATTTTATGTTAAATATTCGGAAAACAAACGTGATAATAATGGCGTTGTAAATATAGAAGTTCGACGAGTAAACGGAAGAAAACATGTTCGTGTTTCTCGCAAGAGCAACGACGATAATGTATCTGATAAACAAAACAATGAGACGTCTACGATTCATGATGACACCCTCTCGGATAAAAGTACTGAAAAAACACAGAACACTATTGGGAAAGTTTTCACAAACATTTCATTTCACATAAAGAAAGCGGTTTCTAGGCCAAATGCAAAAGAAGTTCCAACGCCAAGGAAAGTCGAATAAAATGTTTGTATTGCTCTGTGAAACATTCATTGTGGGTAAAGGATTTTTCCTAAATAACAAATTAGCTACAACGTTCCACCGGCAACCGTGCATGAAGTCTAACTGTATCAAACCATTTTCGTTGACTAAGGTATTCACCACTCATAGAGAAAAACTGCAAAACATTTAACAGCTACTCAATATAACTTACAAAAAAGTCTTTGATTGATAGTAAAAGACTACATGATTGGGATTTTAAAAATGCCTCATTTCTAAATTCATTTCATTTTATTATAATCACCAATACTTTCTTTTGAAAGGAATGAGTGAAATTCATAATGTTAGCATTAAATGCATAAAATTTAGCATTTTAGTTATTTGGAGGCAAAAAAATTCCATTGTACAAAATAACGAACCAAAGAGATGTAAGAGTATTTAGAATAGTGAAAAGAGATTTATAAAAACGTTTTATGCTTTAATTTATAGATACAACACCAGTAACTTTAACTTCGTTCGTCAATTTATTGCTTAGAGTTGTTCTACCTTAACAAATACGTTGTTTCATGTAATTAAAATTATCGCATTTTGTAATAAAAAATTATTCTAACTGAAATTTTCATCGAGTGTAAAGTCAAACAGATTTCTCGTAATTTGTGGTATCCTTTTTAGCCTTTACATAGGATAAATTTTTCAGAAGATGAAGTCAAAGAAAAACAAAAGTTATTCATATCTTTCGCCATAGTTCGTAAAAATGCACCAAAGAAGCAATTTCTCATGAAAAATGTGAAGTTATTTTAGTTAACTCCCCAAAGTTTCAACTTTTGTGGTAAAGTTCTAGCTTAAACTCGAATGCTAAATTAAATTCGTGCAAGATTTCGTATTTTTGAGTACGTGCTAATGAAAATATGGACGTTGATTAAGATTATGACGATGCAAAAACACGTGACATGGGGACACGCACTTTCAAGGGAAAACTTTGATAATTTATAATAAAGGAAGGCTATAATCATTTCTAGAATTTTTTCAGTTCCTAAAGGATTTTCTGTAACGTCAAAAGCCGACAATATCTACAGATCAAAGCAAATTTTTCGTAGATTAAACAAATACAATTAATTTCGCAACAATCTCGTCACAAAATTGGCACGTTTTGTTTGAGCCGATTCTTAGTCATTGAACCCATACTTTTCAAAGACTCTTTATAAAATTGTAGCAACTTAGTTAACTTAGACCTATTAAGTAAAACTTGTTTTGACAGCATACATATTTCATCCAATTGCACAATACAGGTGCAATTTATTATGAAATAAACCCTGTCTATATATATGACAACAAATGACCAACTTTCACAAAAAACTTGATAAAATACTAAGTAACATTAACAGTAATCAAGATGAAGATGTACATATGAGGTTAAGAATAAATGTTTCACAAGACACCCGGCCTTCTCAAAACTCATATTCAAACATAGTTGAATAAAATTTCATTCGTACCACTGCTAATATCAACATGAATATTTTCAATCATACTTATCCAACATGCTCAAAGTTTTTATTTCCAATTCCAACTTTCACGCTCTTTCTTTTCAGCCTTGACTTCCTCAAGAATTGGAGAAAGGTACTCAATATCCTGAAATATTAAAAATGAATATTTTTATTAACATGCTCCATGAAATTGTTGAAAGAAAACAAGCATATTGATTAGTTAGTTTAGAGCTTTCTATTTTAATGGTTTGAATATCAAGCATTACAAAAGGCAGAAGTTGTTTGAACCTTTGCAGTATCCTTGGATGTTCTAGTTTCTTTTTTGAGAATTCTTGTACAGAAAACGACAAATTTTGAAAACATGAAAATTCCGTTTTCGGTCCATGCCTCCCGATACCCCGAGATGGTTGAGCACTAGAGCGTCTCGTGCTAATCAAGGGAACCAGATAATTTTGTCTGTCATGAAGCCCATGGATGGTTTGCTCGTGATACACGAGAAACAGTAAATGAGAGAATCAAACCAAAAAAATTGTATAAAACATGTTTAAGGTTGTCTTAAATTATAAGTGTCAGGAAAAGGAACAGTGTCAGAAGAAATTAATTGCATTATTTTGTAAACAAAAAGATAAAATTCGAAAGCAAAAAAACCCGTTTTCGGGCCATGCTTCCCGATACCTTCTTAAGCGTTAGGCACTAGAACGCCGCATGTTAACGTTTCGGTAGGAGATTTCAGCTCCTCCACGCTATCCTACTTGGGAGATGCAATAGCAAGCTTCCGCCCATCAGACCCCGAGATCACCTGCGATAGGCTTTGCTCGGGGTACGCAGGGAGAGTGCGGTCGCCACCGAAGTGTGGGCCCCTAAGCCACTGCATACTATATCACACCCAGCTTCCACTACTAGTTGACATCTGCTATACCTAGTATTGGCTTTATATATATTGCCATGACTATTAACATTTACTCGAGTGGATCGCGCATGCTCGAGCGCATGCGCAGATAATTTCTCTCTTGAATTGTTACAAAGCATGCTATTTACTTCAAAATCGGTGCTAGTAGATGCAGTTGATCATTGCCATGAGCATGACTTGAGTAGCTGGTCAAATCGACTGGGCATGCTCAAGCACACTGCGCATGTGCAAATGATTTATCTGAAAATTTGTGACAGAGCAAGCTAATTATTCCATAATTGCTACTTGTACATACAGTTGGTTGTTGCCATGACCATGAATATTTGAGTAAATCTCAAGTTAACTACTTTAAATATCAAGCATTGTGGGGCAATTTTTCGCTCAAATGTGTAACATCTACATTGTAATTCCGTTGTTATTCCTAGGATATTTATTCTCAGCTAGGGTAACTTTATGTGAAAACATATGGATGAACCACAAAAATTAACATTTTCTATACTTTATTATAACAAGTGCCAGGCTCTGCAAGCATTTACATGATATATAATGAAAAAAAATATAAAATACTTCATCCAATAATTCTTATTTAAACTGAATTAGACATATACTTACTAAGCCCTTAATAAGCAAGCGTGAGGTCTTTATGGAGAAATAACGAACCGAGTACAAAAAGACAGAGGTCCGATATTTCAGAGCTCTGGACCTTGGTCTGTACAAAAAGACAGAGGTCCAGAGCTCAGTAAAGATGGAAAAAACGAGGTTATTAAAAGGATTATTATGTGGCATTATTTGACCTGAAATGAAGCTTGCTTTCTTTCTCATCCTTGCTGTTTGGTACGAATTGGCTTTCACTTTTATAGTTTTTATCAGTAAAAATTAAATCATTTCAAATTGTATTGTCTAGAAAGTTGAACTGTTTTCCCAGTGTTTTTCCCTCAAATCGCATTCGTAAATGGTTTTTTGTTTTGTTTTTCTTGTGTTTGTATTACGAAGTTTGTTTACATTTGACAGTAAAATTATGCATTTTAGTCCGTGGTCAATCGTGGGAAATTAATGGACCGGCAAATGTGTTTTTGAGCCAATCAAAGCAAGCCATTTTGCTGGAAGTGATGCTTGCCATATAATAAATATTAAATAAAACATATCATACAAGTATGCCCGTAGTTTATGGATGTTTCTGTGCAAGCTTTATATCATAGGGTTACGAATGACAAGTTTTCCTTACTTCTTCAGGTTTTGTCCATTCCTCTTTGGCAACAGTTGATGTTTCATAGAGAGATCAAGGGCACGCTTAACACGAAACATTCTCATGTTACGCTCTTCCTCTGACAAACGAACTGCTTCAGTCAACTCAGGTGTGTCTTCATCATTCATTAAATCATCTCTTCGCAAACCTGATGAATAAAGAAGACATTTCATTTAAGACGGGGAGATAATCGGCTAACAATGGTGTTTTTCAACACTTAACAGTCTGGATAGTTGTTGTTATATGTACATAAACAATTCTTGATATTGTAAATTTGAATTAAATTGTTGATTTGGTCACTGAGTAAGCAACCCAAGCAAAATAGATTTAGTATACTATACTTAAGGAGACAATTTTTTTCTATTCATTTATTTCAATTTCTATATTTTTTCTCACAATTTGATACTTGTATAAACACTTAAAGGTACACAAATATCTTCATGACTAGCTTTAAAGTGTCACAATTACAATATCTCAGACTGTACATGTCATTTTAAAAAAGATTCATAACTTCCTCCACTGTGTATAGACACAATAAGGGCAAGTTGCACAGTTCAAAAGAATAAAAAATCAGAGAACTTTAGTCAGAGGATATCCAGAACTTTGAACATCCAAGGAGCTTAGAAGATGCTATCTTTATGGGTTTTAGGGTGAGATGCTAAGGATAGTAGTAATTTATTAAGAGTGTTGGTATTTAAGAAAGTGGAGGTATTATTTTCCTCATCATTCAGAATACCAAGCCTTTCTTTAAGGACTAATGGCGGCGGGGGTCCATTATGTACAGTCTTGAGTCCTCATCAGTCATTACACACATTCAAGAAAAATAAAACTGTATATTGACTAAATTCCAACACAAAACAAACAAAAATATAGGCGAAACACAGCAAATTTCAGGGTTTCTCACACAAGCTGGCAATGGCAGACTGGCAGTTGGTTTCCATACAACTTCCAAGTATCAAAATTTTTAACTGCTGAAATTGAAGCAGTAGAATAGAGGAAGAAATATCCTTCGTGTAAATAACAATTTAAACGTTTGTTTGAATAAAGAGCATTCTTCTACACTTACCTAACTGTCTGTACCCACTTGCATTTAAATACCACTCTCGAAAAGCGTTAAAAACGCGTTGACCTGTACTCAACTGCGAAGAAAAACGCCGGCTGATATACGCCATTTTGACATCAATCGAAACGAAAAAGGGAACCTGATACGTATGTACATATTGGTATGCATAGGAACACTTTCACAGACGAATGGATTTTCTGTGAATCATGATGGAGCATCAGGGATTGAGTGATTGGTAATGCGTTTATAATTCAAATCCCTTTCACTACTGTTGTCCACCAACCAAACGTTGCACCAAACAAAAGACCTGTTATCTGTAGGCAAGAGTATCGTGAACGAAAACATGAAATTAGGGCAAATTTGCCATATTAAGGCAAATTTTCAGACGAAACTTGGATTGTAGATGGCTTACAACATTTTTATAAGCCTGTATGGAAAGCTTTGAAACTTTCCTAGAAGTTTGAAGACGAATTTATGTTTTCATATAAATTCGGTAAAATAAGGAGTTTGGTAGATCAGTAATGAAACTGCTATCTAAGAGTCAAAATGGAGGCAACTTCTTTCTATTTCTCCTTTTTTAATTGACAGAAATTCATCAATTTGACTTATCATCAAGTCTGAAACCTCTCCTCTACTATAAATTTAGCAATTTTAAGAATAAAAAGAAAGCAAAACAAGTTGGAAAATAATTTAACATACTGAAGCAGAGTATACACAGGCAATTAGCCGTACCAAACGTTCTACAATAATTGTCTATTACAGCTTACAATTTGTGAAAAATTTAACGTAGCGAAGACTTTTATGTACATTTGTAAAATTTAGCTAAGTCGTTGGCGAACAAGTTTAATATTAATTTGAAAACTGGTTTAAAAGACGCAGATCACTGTACGGAAAACCTGAAATACAGCTGTAATGACGTCGGGAGCCGTCGCCTTGGGTTCGGAAAAAAGATTTGTGGCTCGATTGAAAAAAGCTTAACGTATCGCGGTTAATAATCTGTAGAGTTGTTCATAACCTTATCTTTAACCGCGATAATAGATATCTGTAACTGGCAATGTCTTGCTGAATGAGTGTTTTCAGTTGATATAAAACACAGTAAAACAATCAATTATTTTTCTACGACGAACGTTTTCAGATAAAACCCTATGAAGACTTGTTGCAGAAATAAATTTTAACTGCATAAGTTAACTTTACTGCTCTTATATTGTCGTGGTTAGTGTTTACTTGAATTTTGTCAAGAATTTTCTCAAAGAGCATGGTTCGCATATACTACAAAAAAAAATATCAAAAATTTCAACATTCGTCTCGATTCAAAAATTCAAAATTCGATTTCCGAACAGTCGCCACATGACTATTTAAAGACAATAGACGTTCATTTTATTAAATACCATTGAAATTATTAAGTCATTTTTTATAGCTACAGTTGGATTTTAAGACTTTCCATATGAAAATTCCTGCCATACTTATTATCAGGAAAGTGGGTATATAGTAAAAAAGAAACTTTTATCTTTCCTACAAGTAATTTGTCTGTAATTAAACGTCGTGCTTTTTAGTCTCCTACAACCAGTGTTAGTTTTCTCCGATGAAAGTATTGCCTTCGTTAACTTCCTGCAGATAATCTTTCATAGTTCATTTTTCACTTCATTCAATGCTAAATTTCATTATCATACATGTAGTAATGAATTTGGTTGTGTTAGACGCAGGTGAGTCGGAAAAAGAGACAGCGTTGGGAAGATAATGAATATACTTGGACAAACATCTGCTCTGGAACAATATGAAAGACCATTTTATAATAAAAAGAGAATATAATAGTAATCTTCAGTCATGCAAATAGTTATATGCATGCTCATAATTTTTACTTTATATGAGCAAGTTACTACATCACCATAGCATGGTGAGGAATCTAAATTTCATCTAACCATAAAACCCTTGGTTCAGTGTTAAAACATTTATCTTCACGAGCTTTTGTGCATTTAGCTTTCCTACAATTTCACATCAAATATCTCAAGTTTATCACAGAAGTCATTTTCATGTTTCAATAAAGACAAATACCGCTTCCATAATTTGGGTAGAAGCACAAAAGTCATTAGACATTTCAAATATACGACAAATTTTTTAAGAGCAAACATGTTTCGGCATACTTCATGCCATTCCTATTTACTTCGCACTGAAGATGGCATAAAGTATGCCTCAACATGTTTGCTCTCAAAAAAGTTTTCGTCTCTTTGAAATGTTTGGAGACAAATAGATACATTTGACACATAAGCTTTGTCGTCTATTTATTTAGCTTTAAAATTACGTATGAACTCAAAAAATACTAAAAATACAACACTTGAATGAATGATGTAAAGATGCAAGAAATTTTATCCTTCAAAAAGTTTCTCTTTAATGAAATAATCCAGCATGCTCACTTCAACTTATCTCTTATGTACCTCAAAATGATAACATCCAGATTGCTTTTTGAGTATGTAGAACCACGAAAACTTACTGAACATTTGATTTAGTCGGTAAAATCTTAATGGTATTTGATACCTGCATTTTTAATCCATTTTTTCTCAGAAAAAAATCTTAGCATCTTAGAAATTTATATACGTTTCAGCTAGTTCGTTATTATATTCCATAACAAATTCTATGTTGTTTTCGATACCCCAAAAGAAAGCAAACAGTTATCGTTTGCATATGATGAAAACTATCAAAACTTTTTAGTATGAAGGATAGGACCAATTTTTTCTGAAAAATCGTTATAATCCTGTTAGGATATTTAAAATGTCTGAGTTTGGCTTCTAGTCGAAAAAAATCACGAAAGAATCAATTCAACGCTCTTCTTTACCTGTAAAACTTTTTTCTCGCTGTAAGAGCTCTTTTGTTTGCGGTTGACCCAGTCATCATGCAAGATTTTTTTCTAATCTGATAATTCAGTACATCCATCTACCAAATGTTGCGTAATTTTCTTTCTTCACGTAATCAATTAGTTAACTTATCTGTCTCCTAAAAAATCTGTACACTTATCCTCATACTCTCTGCTTCCCCTTTATTCTATTCGATTTTCTAAAATCAACAGATTAACTTATTAAGCAAGTTAGAATCGTTTTTGTTTCTCTGCTCTCTTTACTAGATCTTTCTCAATCTGGTTAAAATAAGTTTCTTTGGTCCAAATAGCCGTGCCGAGTACATCTATACATACAAACGTTTATAAATCACAGAGATGATATTTTTAAGTTGGGTATAAGTAAAAGAAAAGGAGAATTCATCCAATATAATGCTCCAGAAATGTACATAATGTATACACTGTGGAATATTTAGAGAATTGTGGTTTATTTTGAAAAACAGAAGATGATTAAACTTGCAAGAAGTTAAATGATTTCATGCTTATAATGATGTGAATTATGCGGATAAAAGATCTTACAATCTCAAATGTAACCACAAAACAAGTGCAAACTTGATACCACGATCCAGTTGGCAAAAGCCTGCCTCTCGTTTTTACAATTATGTGGCATTCATAAAACATTAGGTCAGGAAGTCTTCAACCTATCCCAAATTAAAAAATGTATGCCTCCAAATTGTCTTGTGGCTGAAAACCTGCGAGGTAAGCGATGACAGACAGTATACTTGTCTGGCGACAAAATAAAAACGAACTTACGATATGGTTTGAAGTCATTAGGTTCACCGGCCTCTTGTTGTGGTTGATACGATCAGTCTAGAGAAAACGCAAAAACACAATTCTTGTCAAATGCTCATAGTCCATAAATATAAGCCCAAACTTTAGTCTCCAGCGCTTAGTCATTAACGGAACAATTTAATAGAAGGTTGATAAGAAGACGCAACAAAGAAAGAAATAACAAAGTGAGTAAGCTGTTGTGAGTTTTTTTTATTATCATTATGTTTTATTGTATACACAATTGAGCGTAAAAACAAAAACATCAAAATAAATGATGATGGACTGGATTTTCAATTTTTGTTTTCTACGATGCTTCTTTTTTACAATAAGGCAAAATATGATTAAATTGGCGATACAACAATAACGACAAGACATTACATCGCTTTCTTACATTTACTTTGAGAAGATTAAGTGACTAAAATTGTTCTTTCCATGCCACGCATAGATTCAAGAGATCGCAATATTCTTCACTTATACACGTCCATAATTGTTCTAATATGATCAATAACCAAATGATCTTATTTATGAGAATCATGCCTCGCAAAAAAATAATTAAGAAATTGCAATTTGAGCTTCACGGTATAACTATATATTAATATATGGTTTTATAAAACAGGGTCAAGCAAGTCAAAGTTAAATATCTCTATTTTGGTTCTTTTCTTAATTCTTTTTAAGTATAGCTCTTCTGACTTCTTTTTGGCTTTTCTGTTTAATCTTGCTCTGCTTAAGGAAGATGATCAAAAATCTACTTATGCCATCATTGTTTTTTTTTAACTTTAGCTATATATGTTAGTGTAAAAGTAGCTAACACAGTGTACCATATATTGTCTTTCAAGATATATATTTTAACTTCAACTATAAGAGCTGTGTAGCTAGCTCTATGTATTTTGTGGTTGGCAAAACAAAACATTCAAAAAAGCATGTCCCAGACTGGATTAAAGAAAAAATACATACTTAAATTTTTTAAAAAAAAATTATACTCCTTAGCAAATTTGAGAAAAAAAAAATAATAACTTGGTTTCCATAGTTTTGGATGTTTCTTGACAATTTGTTTCATGGATACTTGTTTTTTTTTGTCGACGTTAGCTCTTATGAAAATTTTAAGTTCATAAGTAGCTATCTATGGTAAAACTATCAAAAATATTTTAATATATTTGTGTAAACAATAATTAGTTTAATCACAAGTCTTTTTTACGAGCAATATAGTGTGAAAAGCCATAATTCCTCCTTGACATTTTCGAAATCAAGTTTTCAAATTTGACGAACGTGACATTTTTTGTTGTCCCTAACAATTTTATGGATGATTATTTTAATGAATATGTTGGTCATTTATTTGTCAAAACGCATACGGTTGTAAATATGATTTGTATTTTATTTTATGTCGAATACCTGTGTGATATCAGAATGAATATATTCCAAATTTTCCAAATTAATGTTTTATTACAAAGGTCGCCAATAATTACAATAGGTCGTGTGCGTATCTTATCAAAAGAAAAACCTCCAATTTTTTTAATTAAATATAGAGAGTGTATAAAAATCGACGATTCGCAAAGTTTACAGCGTACTATTGTGGACAATTTTGCAAAAGATCATAAATTTTATGAAAATGTTTGTATAAACTTTCGTTTATAAAACTCATGACTAAAAAAAAGCCCGAAGGCATGAAATACTCATATAAAACCGTAGACACGTGAGCATTTTATATCAAATGCGATTATTCTTACATCTAAGTTCGATTGTCCCAAAAGACTATCCAAACCAAAATCATAAAATGACTTCACAACCGACAAAAATTTATGGCTGACAAAATTATTAAAACCATTAGATTTGGAAAATGAAAAATAACAGTAAATATTTATTTGGTCGGAAACTATATTGAAATGGTAAACATAGGAAAATCATTTACCAATCATGTGGTACCAAACGATAAGTTGTTGTGCAAAGACGGTAATAAAGATTTTTCTACTTGCAGCGATTTTTTCATATATATACTTCGTCAAATTCCTTACACATTTCTTTTAAAATTTGCTCTAAGATTGAAATAGACTTACGAAAGAATGTTTTCATCACTTTACCCTCGACTGCAAAAGAAGTGACGTCACAGACATGCATCGTAGACAAACAATAAATTAAACTATTTGGATAATGCGATTGCAGTGAAGACGTCAAGGACTATGAAAGTTAATTATATTTTAAAATCCGTGGTAAATAAGTCAACAAATTGCTTTTGATTATACAAAAAGAAATGACTAGTTCTAGAATGTCCCTCATTTTGCACTTTTTTCTTTATACTTGGTACATTAGTATGACTTTTCTTATCATCGACATTCATTGATCAGTTTATGGAGTTGATTCATAAGAACGAAGTAAATTACTCAGGTCTTCAATATGAGTTAAATAAAACCATTTTAACCATTTTCAACTGTAGTCAACAAAACTGTAATTATGAAATCATGTGATGAGCATGCTATCTTCATATACATCATTAATTATTCTTCCTGGGCTAGAGGTACTTCAAGGTTTTACACACGTGTTCTAGTTGGAATGAACGATGCTGCGAATATCCAAATAGGGAGTTTTAATCATCCTTGATAAGATTAAAATATGTTCGAAAATATAGATCTTAAAAATAGCACGATGATTGAAAAGATATAGTATAAAAATAACCATCTTTTCAGAGCTACACAATAGAAAAACCAATAAGTAATTTTTAATACAGTTTTTGGAAACCGTTATAGCACATTTTTACGGCGGGTATTCAACGTCCATTGCGACCACGTTTATACGACAAAAGAAATCGTTCACAATGATTCTGAATAGCATAGTCGTAATGTTATTTGCAAGCTTCAGACGCTATATTTGATTCAAAGAAGTTGAAATCAAAATTTATAATAGAAAGTCGAATAATAGAAAAAATATATACTTCATTTTCAACAAAAACTTACTGCAATGTCTGTTATCACCTGCGGTCATGTTTACCAGTGGAAATTAAAATTGGAAATTGAAACTACTTTGAAAAAAAATTCAAAAATCTTAACAATGCTATTGAAATATCCTGTATGTATTATGTATTAATGCATTATGTAAAAAGTGCTTCCGAATAAAATTTTCTTTGTAAAATAAATTTTTCTTTGAAAAAATGATATTAAAATTATTCCTTTTAAAAGTGTTTGAAACTTCGAGATAGAATATTACATTATGCATCAAGAAATTAGGTCAAAGGTCTTCATTTGCATATAACGCTTCGATCGTAAACACTGGTCTCAAGTTTGTCTGCAGATCATACAAGTGTGTAATTATTACATCATATCTTGCATAAAGTATTTCCATAACGCTTCATTATTTTTGTAAACTAAAAACTTTTCAAATGATAAAAAACAGTTTTGATATTAACTATACCGACACTTTTGTGCTTTTGAAAGTTATGAAATGTAATATTACACAAAATACATGTATTTATACATTCACCAGTGCAATAATCACCCACAGAGAACAAAAAAGGTTAATTCCTCTTAAACGAGTGTGACTTGTCTAGACATTATGGCTTCATAATTGTAAAGTTTCGAGTTTAAAAGAAATTAAAGCTCTGTTTTTTACTCAAAATGTTTGATGAAATGGATAATGAACATTCTGAAATTCTGTGTGATGGCCATTAAACATAAAGAGCACTCAAAATAATTGTACAGTGTTTCAGTGGTTTTTTGAATTTGCAAACTTAGGAGCCAACTCAATTATTCATACATTTTCAGCACAATAACTGTGTTTGAAACTAAGAACACTTATCAGGAAAAGAGGTTTGTCGGCAAAGATTGCAAAATGCTGTCAATGAAAGAAAAAAATCGCCATCTCTGTCGTCTAATTTTGTCGTTTGTATGATAGGGTATTTGCGAAATTCTTGTTAGACAAAACTAACATAGATGGCCTAGATATATGTTATTAGTACCAAATATAGTCATGGAGAAGGAATTTCCATCAGGAACTAAAATCCAAACAAAAAATGTACAAAAAATAAACACAGGGCGTTAGAGAGGGGGGCTTTTAAACTAACCATATTGAGGGAGCGGTGATAACCATACTGAACTTGTTTTGTAAGTTCTTCACAATGATTGTCCTGATTTGAAAGAATCGTAGTCTGGTCAAAGTTTTTTTTATGAATCCGATCTCCATATAATGAAAGTTTTAAGTTAAAAAATGTGTCTAATGGGCGATGTTTGCATTTCCTTTTCTTTGTATAAGAAAATGCTACAAAAAACGAAATTTTGTGATGTTTCGACAGGCAAAGAAACTTTCCACAGACGTTAGGCTTTGGTGAATTGATAAAAGATTTCGACACTTTTGAAGGGTTTGAAACTTTCATCTTTACACACACAACATAACAAGAACATGTCACTTTTTCATCACAAGACGATTAACAGATCAGATGACTTAGCTCCTCCAGTGGACTTTTTCGTTCAGATCATTTCAACAGTAACACGCACAAAATACTCAATACACGATACTGAAGATGTTGTCGATGACAATAAATTTTGCACATTAATGTTGATGCTCTGATTGGATGTTTTGGTTTTACAGATACGAAAAATGGACAAAGGCACGATTTCTGTGTATATTCTTATGCTGGCGACAGTTTCTCCTATGTGGAAAGTGATTGGTTCACAATCTGTGGTCGATTTGCTATTGAGCACAGAACGTACTATGAGCAGTATTTGCCGGCTCACGAAAGAATATGTAAGGATATTTTTAAATACTTTCAGTAATACAAATGAAATGTTTTTCTTTAACAATAAATATATATAGAATGCAAGCGTTTTCACTACTTTTCGTTGCCTAAATTAGAAGTCTCAATCGATGACATTAGGCTATAAACGGCATTTCCGTCTTGATTATTATAAATTTACCAAAAGTGGTAGCTTAGGATAATTGACGGTAAATGCCATCAGCTTTTTAGAACTCAAGAAAATATATTATGAAACATACATATTGAGCTATGATATTCTCGTCTATTTTACGAATTTATAAGGCGCAACTTTGTACTTGTTCTCTTAATTATTTGCATCCTTTTCAACATACTCTGACATAAGCAACGTCAAATTAATGATAGAATTTGTTCATATGTTAGCGTTGAATGGTCTATGTCACATAACTTTCAACAAAAGAGCAAAAATAGCAACAATAATTACGTTTCTTCAGTTATTGCAAAACGTTTTGTGGTATATGTCTCCAAAGCAGTGAAAATTAATATTGTTTTGTTCTTTGTTTACTTCATTGATGAATCTAATGGTCCCAGCTAAAAAATTTTTCATATTATATTCGAGGTTATATAAATAAAATGATACAAATTAGTTTAAACATGGTGCTTTTGCTCCTAGCATGTGTAAGCTTTAAGTACACAGTTTGTCAATGACAATTATAAACGTAGTTAATCTCGGCATAGATACAGGTGCTATTGCACAAATCATCTCAACAAATATTTGGATTAAGCACAATTAAATAAGATTTAGCGACCTACAGTGACCACGATTATAAACAAAAGTGCGTGTGACTGGAGTTTTTTCTCCCAACAGGTTACATCGTTAACATTGCTATGTTTAAAGAATGCCACATTCCATTACTATTCGCCCGTTAAAAATGAATTTTCCAAAGTATATAAAAAAGCAAACGACTACTTACCAGCAATATTCGTGCGTAAGCAGCAAAGAATTCAAAGTGCTCTACATAACATTGGAATTTACTTCCTTCTATGTCATATTGATATTAACACATTATAATGCGTTAAAAAACACGTCTTATAAATCCGTTGAGCAGGCATAATCTTACTTATCGACAAACATATCATCAACAATTGCAAATCCAGACTATTTTACCATGGAAGAAAACTACTTGAGATTACAACAGGTAATCTCTTTTGTTTGTATTGAGAAAGATTTCTATATAAGATCATGCGCAGAACAAGTGCGCAGATTAATCATTCTCTAACATGAGCACATAAGCCGTATAACAATTTAGCTTGCATGCAGACTTTGATAAATCAATTGTAATAACTTATTTGAATTAAGGTGGTTTCAAACACATTTAGCACTATAAACTTCAAGTAAGTTCTATCAGATTTTATAGCAGTTATGACGTACAGCTATAAAACTGTCATTCATCATTCCTAGTCATAATAATCATCTTATTTCTCAGTGGTACTATCTTATTCCCAATGAAATAAATCCCTGTTTTCCTAGGGGGTGGGGGTGGAGGTCAATCTTAGTTCATCTTTTAACGACACTCTAAAATTGAACATATTGTTTATTGTTGATAAAGAGCTCAATCATTAATACTTATATCAACACCGAGAGTATCCAGCATGCAAAATCAAAGTCGTGAAAGTACAGTCAGTAAGGTCGAATCGAGATCAATTTCTTCAATCACATGAAACACAAAATCCCCGCCCTAAATCTCTTATCTCAAATTCACTAGCAGACAGTATTTGGATAAAGTCATTAGAACTCTCTTACTCTAATCCTTTAGAAATCAACAGTTGCATTTAGAAATTTACAATTTGATGTATAACACAGCTTGCCATTCATTACAGCAGCTTTTTGTTTATAAATTAAACTCTCTGCAAGAAACGAACAATTGATCTACAGCAGGGAGCCACACAATAAATTACTGCAAAACGTTTGGGTTTAACTAAATTTTCTAGCAGATTAAGCATATTATCAGATTAATAGAAACTGTTGCTTTCACAAAAAAAAACATACATGTCTATGTCATAGTGAGTTAGGGTAAAACGCGGATACGGACAGACGGATAATAACTGCGGGTGAAAAATTACGGACGGATGACATTCGCGGACGGACGGACGGATGAGCTAATATCATACAAAACGTGTATTTCGAGGCTCTCCCGTGTTTTACCCGGAGGATGTGGTATGAAATGTGACTTTCATGCTATTTCATGGCTTATCCACACGGATGAGCCTCAAAACACACGTTTTGTATGATATTAGCTCGTCCGTCTTTCCGTCCGTCCGTCCTTCCACGAATGTCATCCGTCCGTGATTTTTCATTCGCAGTTATTTACCGTCCGTCCGTATCCGCGTTTTACCCTAACCCATGTTATAGTTAAAGCATTGGTGATTGATGACAGTGGCGTCGTCAGGTTTTTCACACTAGGAGGGACGATGCAACCGTCGAAGATGCGAGAGTTGAAGTGGGGTTCGAATAACCTTAAAAAATATTGGTTGTATCTTCTCAAAAACGTTATTTCTTTCATGCAGGTTTCATCAGCTTTCTGTATTCAAGGGAATCTAATAGATAGCGATGCTTGAAGATTGCTGTTTATTTTACTGAATTTACTGAGGGACCGTTTACAGAATGCAACTATTTTATTGCTGTTTGAAATTGGATTAATTGCACACTCCACTTCATTTCTTTACATATTTTTCAAAATCTTAAAATTGGTGTTTGGAACAACTGAAGGGTGACACGTCCACCCTAAGTTCCCTCCCTGGCAACGCCACTGTTTGATGATGGCTATTTTATGTCATGATAAAAAAGAGGTTTTCGGTGCAACCACTGAATAAATGGTGTTGCTTTTTCTCAACTTTTAAGTTACATGTTGTAATGGTGAGCAAAACTGACAAATAGTTTGTTTTTTGTTTTCAAAGACCTGAGAAAGCCATATTAGACAGTGCTAATTTTCACGTCTCGACTATGAAAATTGTTCGTTAATTGGCTGATGAAATGAAATAGTTGTGATATGTCATCGTAATTATCTACGAATAATCTAATATAGATAAAATGAAAATTCATGTGGCGCCTCGAGTATTAACTTAACGAAAATGCATTATACTTAATTTGCTAATGTATAATATTACTTTAATTGAATCAGTATGTTGTGTTTGAACAAACACAATTGAAAATTTTTATGTTATCTGTTCAAACTTATGTAGCTCTTGTACCATGTGATCTGGTGATTTCAGCTGCAATGAACTAACAATCTTTTACCTTTATACAGGGCAAATTATGTCAATGTCGGCTAAACGTTTCTCGACCTTTAACACCACAAAAGATCAACAAACCAGAAGTAAGTCTGTGTGTTGAGACGATTTAAATGTTGACTATTTCGCCAAATAATTGAAGCAACAAGTCAAACTTTTCACAAGAGAAAATCCTTTTGACAATAACGATAAACAGATTTTTTTCGAACGCCAAAATACACATGGAATAGTTTAGATATTCGAGTTATATGCAACTAAGACGTTACACAATAACGACTCCTTCAGTAACACCTCCTGAGAAAACCATAACTCGTGATTTTCCTTATGGCATTTGAAATACCTCAGGACTTTGTGCATGGTATGAGGTCAATAGTACATGTTCCAAGTTCTAACTTAGGCTTTTCACATATATATACAGGCATATATTCTAAATAAGAGCTATACTATAAATTTTTACGCCAATTAAACGAAATGAAAAATTAAGTTCTCTTTTTGAGAGACAAAAGCTTGCAAGCTCAGCTGTAAGATCATTCGTAGTTAAGTTTGAAAGAAATGCAAGGCTTTCATCTTCTGATTTATATAAAATGCGTTACCGCATTCACCAGTGATAGGCTGGTCTTAAAACTTCTTCACTTTGTGTTTACTCAGATTGAAATATATACCGAAATGCAACAGACAGTAGTGAAATTACTGACTGAGTTCAAACCCTTGGCCATTGCGGAGAAAAGGCAGAATCTATCTGTCGACGTTGGAAATATCATGACTTGGCTGAAAAGTATTCAAACCTTTGTTGATAAATGGGTAAACTATTTTTTGTAAATTTTCGATAAGATTGATTTTTCTTTACTATCAACAAATAGTGGTGAATGTCTAGTTTCCACAAGTTTTAAATTATGAGAATATTTAAATGTAACTGGCTGAGCACACCATAGAAAAATGAACAAAATTCAACGATTTGTTTTTGTAGATGGTAGACAATAACATCAGTGGAAACATAACAAAATCTTCGATCACACCAACATCTACTTCGGTAATAAGCAAAGTATATTAACTTTGCCAGAAACTATTTGACAAAATCGTTTTGTAGAATCATCTTACAACGTCTATAATTTGTGGATATTAATGGTTTCATGAAATTTCTAACTATATGTTTTAATATGTTCTTCACAACTGTCAGATTTACTGAAATTAAACTCAGAAAACGTTCTGATTATGCTTTGATAAAGAACACTTAAAACACACTTCAATTGAATTGTTTTAGTTAGTCACTTCTTCACAGTAATATCCACAATACGTGCAGGGTGAGAATGTTAGAAGAGCTTGTTACTCACAAATAAAAGATTGTCTAAAATTTGCTTGTGATGGATGTAAAGAAATCTCAGATCTGTCTTGATAATGAAATAGCCCACGACAAGACATGTAGCACATTGCTTTTTTTCTACAGCGAATTCAATGAATTAAAATTGCTTCTCTAGGTCTTCCAAAGCAGACAGCACGACCGACTCATGTTAAAGGCAATGTTGAATTTAAGATACGAAATCATCAAGATACGTCTTGCGTTGAATGAAATAAGAAGTAATAGAAACGATTTTTATAGCACTTAAAAACTTTTAACTCTTTATGAAAACTTGAAATATGAATAAAATCAATTTTTCTCTGTAGAAAACGTGGCAAAGAGTGGCTCGTTTATGAGCACTTGGACTAAAAAAGCTGACGGTTAGTGAAACGATTTCCTTTTCTTTACACAACAGATAAATGTAATAAAACATAATTTCATCTCTCCAAATTTGCTCTTGCTATGCAAATATTTTGGTGTTCACTCAATGTAAAAACAATACATTTCTAAAGAAATGAATAATACTAGTGATCTGAAATTTACATAGCAAAACCAAAACTTGCCGTCTGACTACGCTACTGTCTTTCTGTTGACATAGGGTTAGTTAGGATATTAGATGAGGGGGTAGGGAGGAGGGGAGCTTGCATTTTAGAACACATTGAAAACAATGCATTTAGATATCATGAATAAATGAACATGAGCCCTCCACCCCATTTATCGATCTTCTTACGCCTATGCTTGGTGATGAAGTCAAAAATACAGTAACTGAAACTCTATTTTCATCTCTTTAAAATGACGCTGTTGACATGCTACACGTAACAGAAGAAATTTGGCTTCTCTTTGTTTTTGTAGTTCTAAACTTCACATCTCCTCACAAAATACATGTTTCTTCTTATGACTATAAAACAGGTGAGATATATGATTACTACTCAAGGTAGTAGTATCATTATTAATGATGAAAGGTGCATCAACAAATATCTAGTTGCAAAACTAGCTCTAACATGCAGTTATACTATTATCTCACAGCTACGAATGCCAGTTCTTGCAGTAGTACTAGTATCAAGTAGCTATGACAGTTGTAGCAGTAGTACTAGTATCAAGTAGCTATGACAGTTGTAGCTGTAGTACTAGTATCAAGTAGCTATGGTAAATTTGGCAGTAGAAACAGTATCTAATAACAATAACAATAAAGCAAGTTTTGTACTTTTGGTATTTAGGACTAATGAAAAATTACATTTGCACTCATTCATTTTTGATGCCATTTTTCAGATGATTGTTTCTTGTCAGATGTTAACACTACAGGTAAAAATGAGATTCAAAACAATTTATCAATAAATATTCTTTGTAAATATTCTTTTATTTGGGGGGGGGAGGGTGCTTAAAATTTCGCCTTGATTACGTAAATGCTATCTGGACAAAGCAACATTTTTAACCGAGGTTTATCCCTCTTCATAGACGCACAATTGAAAAAAATTGTTTTTCGCTGTGTTTGTTATTTACAAGTATTGTTTCAGGTACAAAAGGCTGACAAGACCTTAAATGAAAACAAGTGGCGATAAATCTTCATTTATTGCAAAAAAGGAAATTAATGTTTCATAGCTGAAAGCTAAATTAATTATAGCGTAACGTTTGAAATAGTGCATCCCATTAATTGACGAACATAGACTTAGTGTAAAACGCAACCTGATTGCAAGTAATATGGCTGCTTAATTTGTTTTGTGATATCAAAAAGGTAGAGATGTATGGAAAAATCATGAGACAACATTATTTTTGATAATTCAGCAAATTTCCATATTAAGTTAAAACAATTATCTGACTCAGCATGTGACCAACAAGTGCTTCAAATTTCAATGATCAATTCTTTAGCTAAACATCTAAAACATAAAAATGTTGTTGACAAAACTATAGAAACTAACATTTTCAGATGTTTTACTGTACAATGAGATGTTTTGCATATAAAGACTGACTTTGTGAGAATTGAGTTGTTTTAATCATAGGCAGATAATATCTACAAAACTTTAACAGCCATTTATTATTATTGCATAGGGTGAATGAAGCTGCTTAGAATTTTCGAATGTATGCAGCTTAAAAATCTATAAACTTATATTGGTATTAAAGTATAATAAAAGAAAAAATATTTGGTAAAGTTCAGCTCAACGTTGGTTAATCTATGTACTAAACGCAGCGATTTTTTTCCAACTTGCAAAATAAGAAATTATAAACAAATTATATTGAAGATAGCCAAATGTTTCACGTATTGCAACCCAATTAAACTGAAATTGAAAGTATTTGAAAGTTCTTATGATTATTGAATGATTTGAATCCAATAAAAACGAAACTGAAATCTTCAATAACCGAAACAAAATAGATGACCAACGTTAGGAGCTTGATCATTTACTAAATTTTTATTTCTATTTATAAATGCTACAATGTGATAGAAACTGACGAAGTCATTAATTTAGGAATTGATTATAATTTAATTTTATTCAACGTGTAATGCTTTGAACATTTGAACACTTCTTACATCAAAAAGCTTCATAGAATGCCATAATGGAAAATCAAACAATCAGTACACTTAGGTATTTTAAATCATGGCCAAAAATTATCCATTACAATATTGCTTCTATTTAAGATCCAGCATCCAATTCCTCAGGGCTTTTTGGTAAATGAATGTGTTTCTTGGTTTATTATAAGCATTTTGAAGCATGTGTACATAGGCTGTAATTCCAAGAAAATAGCTTGTGCATGTGTAGTGAAAAAAAAGTTTAAACAATTCCAAATTGAGATTAAACTTTATATAATTACTAATTAATTGCTGTATAAATGGCAATTTTGAATAGAAAGTCATGTAATGACCAGTAAATATAATAAATGATATAAAATCCAAGAGTAGACGTTAAAATCATTCAAAAATCCTTGAAACATCCCATTTTAAATGGAAAAAAAATTTGACACCTTAATGTTGTCCAAAATATGCACAATTCATTAACACACAACCTTTTGTTCTTATGCTACACAAAACAATCTCCATCTTACTTCGACAGCCTATAGAGGTATCCCCTTATTGTTGCATGGCAACGCCACTTCCGGTGAAACAACGCGCTTTGATTGGCTTAGAAACATTTGTAGCAGCCATTGCTTTCACGTAATAGAACACGGTCCATAGTGAAAAATATTAAATAAATTTCTTAAAGTAATTTGCAGTACATTGTGTACATACTAGCTATTGCATATTTACAATATAAATAAAAATATTTTTTAAAGATAATATAATTTAAGATTAAAGGTACTTAAATGATACATTTCAAAAATAAAGGTAAAATCTGAAAAACGGAAAAGGTAGTAAGATTCTAAGAACTGGATGGTAGCAAGATTCTAAGAACTGGTAATTTCCAATTTTTATTTGCAGACAGAAAAATATGACATTCTCTAATCTTAACCGTTCCGAAAAAGCGACGTTTCTCTTCTAGCAGTTACTTTGCATTTTTTGCTCAATCAAATGTGAAATTTTACTTTATGAATGATCACATGAATATTGATGTATGAACATGACAAAACTAAAATATTGTTTCGTTCGTTTTTCACAATAATTTTAATATCATAACTTTAACAATCTGACGATGACAAAAGTCCAATAAACATGAAATTAACAAAAAAACATAACGTCTCCATACACCACGCACATACCCTGAAAACGTGACATATTAACACCTTGAATCAACAGAGATCCCACTCAAACATCCACATTAGACTGCTGTACAGCAATGAGTTGATGAGCAACGACTAAATCAGCCGGAAGAACTATTTCTTGGCCGTCTTGACCACCAGCTACTGCTGTGATTGTAATCGCTCCTCCTTGCTCGTTCTCACCAGAATCTGTCATGTAGCTAAGTAAATAATAAATAGGCGATTTTAATTGAACTATAGTCCACCCAAAAGGTTTTGAGGTGAGCATACAAGGCAATTTTGACAAGACTTTAAAACTTGAACATTTGATTATATATATATGGCTAAAGAAACAAAAAACTCTAAAAAAATTTCAACAAGTTTCAAAGATATACTTCCTTACGTGTGTTCTAGACTTCTTTCTGCAGCAACCTGTTCGCCATTTTCTTCCGACTTGTTTTCGTCAACGACATGTTGCATCATTTGCTCGTTATCAACCATTGTTTGTTTAACGTCTTCATTGTCCATCATTTCTTCCACTATTGTATGACCATTACCTGAAACTATATATAAAAAAATCCTTTAATAAGCAGTTTGTTACTTAATATAAAAAGCAATGGGCGGATTTTGATGGAGTCTAAGAATTTGGTTCCTTAAACAAAAATACAATCAACACAACGAGAGATATTTCAAAAATATTAACCCTTAACATTCATGATAGCTGAGTAAACCTAAACATTATACAACTGTATTTTATTTGTATCATCAAAGATTACTTTAATATTTTTTCACAACAGGTCAATATGCGCATATAACAACAGTTATATGCGCACATTGTTTCACAGGTTATTGAAAAACAACCTACAGTTTCACAGGTTATTGAAATGCGTTCTGATGTACCTTTAAAGTGAGCTGAATAAGTAAAAGAAAAAAATAAAAACTCTGAATATCAACCTTGGTCAGTCACACTATGATCGTTATCTCGTTGTTGCATGTCCATTCCATTGCTACCTTCTGCGTCCTCTTTCTTTAAATCATCTAACGTAACCGTCTTATGATGGACATTGTTCATATGAAGTATGTAAGGCTCGTCTTCACAGAATGACATGTAACATACATCACAACGATGTCGGATATTGATATTGTGACGTTGACGCATGTGAATGATTAAAGGTGCGGTCTGCCTGAATGCACGCGGACAATAAGGACATGGGCGTGGTCTTTCACCAGTGTGTGTCATCGTGTGACGTCTCAAGGCCGAGCGATCACTGAAAGGTTTGCCACACGTCTCGCATTTGAATGGCTTTTCCCCGGTGTGTGTGCGCATGTGGACTTTGAGATCGGTGGAGCCTCGAAAAGCACGATTACAGACGAGGCAAAAGCGGGGCTTTATCGCACCTAAATATAAGCAAATGATTTATAAGTAGGTAAATTTTTTTCATTTCATATATAATGCAAAATCAAAAGGAACGAGATTCGAAATAAAATAATTAAATCTTTTCGCGATAGTAATGTAATGGATGATAGACCCAGGGTAAGTGTGACTGTGTCCCTCCACAACATCACAAAGCCTGGGGTGGGGATAATCTTTCTCAACATCACAAAGCATGGAGTGGGGGATTATCTTGGATGGAAAATTTAGAAAATTCTTAATGTGAATTGAATAAGAGTCATCGGAACTTCAGCTAAACTACAATCAACTCATGGTTTTCAAAGCAATCGTGCTGAAATTTGAAAACGAGGAATGATGTTGGTTCAACTTCATATAAATACAACAAAACTCAAAGAAATCTCAAAAAAAGTATTAAAAAAACTAACCAATCTTTCATTTCACTAAACTTTGTTATTTCGGGCTTCATTTCACCATAAATTACCGCAATTTTAAAAAAACGCAGCACTATAATAACATCTTTAGTAGACTAACCATTGTGAATCTTAGCATGCCGTTTAAGCTGCCATTCTGATATAAATGTCGCTGCGCACTTGTCACACTCATATTTCTTCATTTCCTCGCGTCTCGCGTGGGCAATCAAATGCTGACGTAGTCTCCAGGCTGTCTTGAATTTCTTTGGGCATTGATCACAAGGAAAGTCTTTCTTTTCTCCATCTTTGTTGTCAGACTCATCTTCACCTTCATCGTCCAACATATCATCAACGTTATTTACTTCATGAAAAAAATGGAAAAAACTTCAAATCTGATTTTAAAGCTAAAAGATGACATGAAAAATTGCTAATTTGAGAAAAATCGCAGAAGTGATTTGATGTTGAACTCCAAGCTAGTGTATTCTGTAAGGAAGATCTGATGTTGAAATTAGACTCCTTATAAGCCCTAGTTTAACGTTTGCATCATAAGTTATATTAAAACTTACATATTTTCCTCTCAAGTCTAGATATGCTCAAATCTAATGTCTTCCACCAGTCAAGTGTTTTTATCAAAAGTGAACTAAAGCAACATGTCCTCCCAGTCAATAATACATGATCTTGTACGTATAAGCCATTGTGATACTAATGCTTTGATGCCAAAAATGCTTCAATAAACACGACTTAGAGATACTGTCACAATTAACACACATATGTACCTTGTGTTGGTTGAGATAATTGTGATGCATGGCTTGTGTTGGTGAAATCAGCCATTGTTGGGGAAACCATACCAGGTTGTTGTTGATTCATACTTTGTTGTAACATTCCCATGAGGGCATTAATGAACACTGGAGATAGATTGCTCACATTAAAACTCTGACTGACTGCTTGAGAATTTGCTACTGTTGCATCTGTTGACTGGCTGCCATCGTTGTTAAGCAAGGCGAGAACAACTTGACCATTACTAGTATTTATTAACGGTAATTGTGTTTGTAGAGGTTCTTCCAGAACAGCTGTAAACTACAGGAGAAGAGATGACATTAAACTAACCTCAAATATTATTTTTTTGAAAAGAGAAGGACAACAGTTTTACTAACATATTCAAAACTGTCAGACGAAAATGTAAATTAAACTTTACAAAGTTTAGTGTACCAAGCAATAATACAGAAAGAAAACAAACTTACGATTTCTTTATCCTCAGCAACATTGCTAACTTTATCATCAGGATCCACCATTGCTCCTTCTGGTTGCGTTTTGAGATGAGCAATTTTGATGTCATCATCAGGATTCTAAAATTCAACAATAAACAAGAAATTAATTCGAGAGAGTTTTAAGGGGAAAACAGTTTTTGTTGAAATTTTAAGCAAAAGTTGTTGAATAAAATTTATGCTGAAAAAGTAAAGGCTCAAAACATTTTTTATTCAAACAGATTATTTTACAACAAATTTTAAAGTGTATTGATGGTGTAAATTAGCATTGACATAGGATGATAAATGATCAAGTAATTACAATTCACACTATTTTCAAAATAACAGCTTTTATGGTGATAAGAAATATTTATTTGTACTTAAATAATTACTGATATACTAAGGCAACAAAAAAACACAGTCTGTCTTTCAGAAAATGAAAATATGATTGCTTCCTCTTGCCAATTAAACCCGGTGTAACCATGTAAGTTCCACCAGATGTAGCCTGGCTAAATATGGTTGCTCTCACTTGGCTGTACTACTGTTTGCAGCCTGTTTATAAATAATTTGACCTAGATCCTCTTCTATATCTTACATCCAGCTTACAATAACAGCCAAAAAAATTTTTGCCCCAAAACTTTGCTATCATCCATTTCAATAGATATGTAGAATTATATGATGTGTCCACATGCTCAGAAGCCAGGTAGGAACTTCAAAAAAAAAATGCCCAACAGTATGAAACTTTAACTTTTAAAACCTGACCCAAACCCTAACCCTAAACGGCTAAACCAAAGATTATTCTTGTATTCTATTTTTTTCGCTATTAAGCACGAAAGAGTAAATTGAAATCAAAAACGTAAATCTACCTTTCACACGCTGAAATAAAATACATAAAAGTGACATCTAAAATGTTGCTCTCAGGAAATGACAAAATATTTAATTATTGTAGCAAGAAGATTCAAGTGTCAAGATATTGATGTCAAAAGCTTTTTAGACTAACCTGTCTTTTGGTATAACAGTATAACAAAACGTATCGTTCAAAAACATAAAACAGAATATCAGTAAATGACTTAAATCACAGTCAAATTATTTAATTTAAAAAATTAATGTGGTAAAATCATGAGAGAATACAAAAAAAAGGAAAGTTGAGTCTTACATGAAATTTGAATATTTAAAACTTCTTCGTCAATTTATCGAAATAAATAAATCGCTTTTTTTGCAATATTTCCTTGCACATTCCGTATTTGAATACATGTGTTTACCGCGGCAATTTCATCTTTTCAAAATTACATAAAAAGCTCTAACCATGATAAAGGATAGTCAAGGTACTTTGAGAGAAAATGTGAGGTTTCAGTGGGATATATTAGTGACGCATACCTTGTTGGTCATTCGCTTGTATTTTAAAGCCGCTTTTTCGCAAAGTTCTTTTACCGTTATATCTTCATTATCGTCGCAAGGGACTAAAATCCGCGTTTCGCCAATACATACAATGACTTTCATGACCAAATCCAGCAAATAAATTAGAAAAATCAAGCTCTTTTGCAAGCAAAATTCACCTCCTTCCAGGGACAAAAGGGAAGATCGTGAGCACGCGCTTCATCAACTCGGGTAGCATCATGGGTATTCTTTGGATAGTATATAAGCTGTATTGGGTCATTATGAGATCAGTTTCTGCGAATCCCACGTGCGTTCAACAACAACATAATAACACATTGTAAACATAATTTCCTTCACTTGTTTGACAGTGTGAACGTAAATTTGAAAATTAATTTGAGTCGTCAAAAAATGAAACAGTGCGGAGTTTGTAAATTAACCGAAAGCAAATACAGATGTCCTGCTTGTCGAATTTTATAGTAAGTGTGGCTGTATAAATTTGTACTTCATCGAAATTTTGAAATGTTTTTGACAATTGACAAATTAAACTTGACTATTTTTTTACAGTTGCTCTGTTGGTTGTTACAAGACACATAAAGGTAGGTGAAAATATTTCAGCATATAAGACGTATTTCACACTTAAACAAAACAGCATAATGGTATTGCTACTTAAAAAATCTCATGTTTTTATGGAGTGAACCAGATTTTTAAAGAGAAGTTTGAAGGTGCAATTTGTACTTTGAATTTCGTTTCAGATTTGTGTTGTAAACAAGAGTTTGAGGAAGTTGTTTCATGTGTTGAAGTGGAAGCAAAGAGACCTTTAGGTCCAGGTAAATTATATAATAGGAAACAAATGGATTCATTAATTTATATATAATATAAATATGAGTCTTCATTGGACTTTAGCACATGTAATGTATTATTAAGTTGGTGGCTGAACAAAATCTACCATGCATAATGGACCATGAAAACATATTAAAGACAAATTTGTGTGCTCTTACTTGCTTCTTATAGATTTGAAGAACAATCTATAATCATGTATATTTTACTTACCAAGATTTAGAACCGGGAGAATTGTGTGATGATGAATCAAAGTATGATGAAGATAGGATTAGTGAAGAAAAGTTAGCATTGTTAGGTAATGATATTTATCACTAGATAATATTTGGGATTCTTTTTTTAGTATTTTAATGTATGTAGAGTACGTACCTATGTGTATGGCTTCACAACTTTGCTAATATGTTTGTCATTTTGAAAAATTAAAGCCCACATGACTACATTGTTAGCTACATTGTATTCTTTATTATTTATAGATAAATCTCAAGAGGTGAAAGACATGCTACAGAATAAGCATTTACGACAACTTATCATGAATATAAATGAGCAAAGTGATGTTGCAGATCAGTTAGATGCGGCAATGAAACTTCCAGTGTTTGCAGAATTTGCAAATGTTTGCTTGAAATTGGTGGATGATAGACTATGATTTTTGGAATGATTATTCTCAGCAAGTACTCCTGCTCGGTTCTTACATGCCCTATTGTATTTTCACATCTATCATATTCCATTGGTACATTCAAACCCAAAGGCAATAATGTTGATTGTATCTTAGTTGGACTCAGAGCTCAATAATGTTAAGACATATTATGAATGACACTATAAAATAATTGACTATGTATATGTACACCAAATGACTTACATTCTGTATTTCATAACTTGTAACCATATGCTTTTTCTTTTGCTTCAAATAATTTCAAAGACAATTTCTTATAATAGTAAGCCCCCATTCTTGAGTAATTTGGGGGTGAATAGGGGCATGGCTCTCTAATCATTCCATATTTCATGTGTCAAAATAAGATATAATGCATGTGCAATTTTTCCATGTTTAGAGGATTGTGGCTAGTGGTAATCCACCAATGACACAAGTTTAAAAAACAGTTGTAATATTTATGTACACATCTATTCTTGCATACTGAATCATTTTTTCCTTAATTCAATTGAGGATAAAAAATTATCCAATAGAAATGGGTAACGTCAAAACATTTTATATAAATGCCACACAACTAACACTCATAAGTTAAGAAAAAAAAATTGTTGAATACTAAGTGTCATACACTTATATATCCTTAATGAATTTTATCTTGGAAAATATTTACAAAGTAAAGTTGAATGGAATAGCTCTCATGCTCATGCTGAAACGAGAAAATTTCCAAAATTAATCAACGACAAGTCAATGAAATTCTCGTCCAGAGATATGGGTAATTGAGTTTGCACATCATGGTGAGTTTTTACATGTCTTGTCAAATAACTTTTGTCCGAGAAACTTTTCTGACATATATCGCATTCAAAAGAATTTAAATCGCTATGAATACCCTTGTGACGTCGTAAATTATCTCTTTTGGAAAAAGCCATACCACAAATGTCGCATTTAAATGGTTTCTCTCGCGTGTGGATTTTTTTATGTTCCATCAATGCACCAGATTGTTTAAACCGCTTGTTACATTCGTCGCACCCGTAAGGACGTTCATCTGAATGTACTCTCTTATGTCGATTACGATCACTTGAGGTCACGAAACGTTTTTCACAAACATCGCATTCATAAGGTCTCTCGCCCGTGTGCGTGCGCTTGTGTCGATTTAACATGTGGGAACTTCTGAACTTTTTGGGGCATTCATCACATGCGTGAGGGTTGTCATCTGAATGACTTTTCTTGTGTTTTTCCAAGTAGCTTTTTAGTGCAAATGTTTTTTTGCAAACATCACACTCAAAAGGCTTCTCCTTGCCATGCGTCAATTTATGTCGTTTCAAATTACGAGCCAAGGAAAACGCCTTATTACAAATGTCACAAATAAATGATTTTTCACCTGTGTGTGTGGTCATATGATCTTTTAAACGATTCGACTCAGTAAACTTTTTCTGACAAACTTCGCATTCCAGTTGTTTACCTACGTCATGTGACTTCATGTGTTTGACCAAGTAACTTTTTTCGGCAAACTTCTTACCACACACTTCACAATCAAAAGGTTTTTCATTGCTGTGCGTCACTTTGTGTCTTTTTAAATTCACACCTTTTCCAAATCTTTTCCCACAAACATCGCAAGCGAAAGGCTTCTCGCCTGTGTGTGTTCGTTTGTGACAGATTAAGACGCTCGACTGACGAAAGGATTTTTGGCAAATATCACATTGGTAAGGTCTTTCCCCCGTATGTATTCGCTTATGACGATTCAAATCATTCGAAGCGACAAATCTTCGTTTACATACATCACATTCATACTTCCTCGGTGGTTTCTCCCGGTAGCGCTATCCACGTGGGTACTTTTGTGGCGCTTCAAACCTGTTGTGTCGTAAAATCTCATTTGACACACGTCACACTGATGAGGTTTGTCGCCAGTATGGAGTCTTCGATGTTTATGCAAGTTGGAGGATTGAACAAAAGTCTTCTTGCAAAATTCACATTCAAACGGTCGTTCTCCTGTATGTTGTAGTCTATGTTTTAATAAAGTATTCTTTGATAAAAATCGTTTTTCACAAATGTCGCATTTGAATGGCTTTCCTTCATTTGTATGTACTTTTTGATGCAGTTTGAGATAACTGGAAGAGGAGTACGCCTTTCCACAGATATCACATTTGAACTGATTACCATAAATATGCGTATATTTATGCCTTTCCAAAGCACTTTTATGTGCAAAAGCTTTATTACAAAACTCACACGTATGCGGCTTTGGATTTTCGTGACGTCTCATATGTTTGGAGTAAATGTAGTTGTGGCTAAATTTCTTGTGGCAAATGCCACACTCGAAGCGCTTTTCACCTTTATGGACTCTCTTGTGGGCAACAAGCAGGCGTCGAAGACGATAAGACTTAGTGCAGAAGTCACATTTATACTTATTCATACCTTTGAGAGCAACTTTCAATTTTTCTACGTTTCTTGAAGCGACTTTCAGCTTTCTTGAAACTCTTTCCGTTGACTGTGGGGTAGAACTTATCGGAATAACTTCATTTGTCAAAACTGCATCCTCTGTACAAATATTATTGTTCCTGATCATATGATTGAGAGCGGCAAATGAATTACCATTTGATTTACTGTTGTTATCAAAATTCTCTTCATTTTCGCAGTCGTCAACAGAGAATTCGTTATCAATATCATCACCATTGGAACCTGATAAAAAAAGAAGGATGAGTTCTAGAACATGGCTATACTTAAAAAATCATTGATTTTAAAACAAGCAAGGATATCTTCTCCAAAATTAAAACAAATTTAGATATTTGAAAATTGCTTATAATAAAACACAAAAAGGTAGCTAATTGTTTTCTATATTTTCATAGAGCACAAAATTGTTGGCGTTTTCAAATTAGCTACACACTGACATTCGTTGGTTCAAACGTATGTTTTTTCTGTTTTCTATCGACAAACGTAAAACGACCAAAATAAACGAAAGTCAGACCAAGTTGAGAGTTATAAAAAATGTTTAGAGTGAAATAAACTTAATGAATATTTTAGTTGATTGGAACGAATATTCTTTGGTTCATTTATATTTGCCTAACAATACAATACATCTACATTTACTACCTTGGGTCGAGTCACCAACTCCAACTGTATCCAATTTAGGGCTACTTTTTTCCATCTCTTTTTCTACCCCACTTTGTTCCCTAAGGCCTCTACTCAAAGCTCCCACTTCAGGTACGTGTGCTTCTGCTCGCCTCGCTAAACCAAAAGATTCCAAAAATTTGCTTTTCGACACTGTTGGATCTTTTACTCGCCCTTTTTCGTGCTTCTTTTTATGCCGTGTTAAAACGATCTTATTTGAAAACTTTTTCCCACAAATTTCACACTCCAAGTTGGCTTTTGGTCGTCTAACAGTTTTCTTACTGAACAGGTTTCTCGGAATTGTACGCACATCTGCAGCTGTTAAAGCATTATACGAGACACCTCGTTCAGTTGTACTCTGTTCTTTGGAAAGGCGTTTTATTTTCGTTTTTTCAATAATGCTAGTGAATCTAGGTTTTTTCTTTGATTGGATGTTTCTTGATCTAATTTCATTAGTTTTTGCTGACAAAGTATTCGGACAACATACACTGGTATGTCTTTGAAGATTAGTTTCGCTCAAAAACCGTTTATTACACACCTGACAAGCTAATGAATTTCCGCGTGCTTTATCTGAGCTCGTATTTGACAAATTTCCCTCGCGATTCAATTCGGCTGTGGACAATTCATTACTTTTGATTGATTCTTCCTTTTCTGAGTTTATTTTAAGTTCTTCTGACATTTCACGAGAACATAAGCTCTGATGCTTTTCAAGTTCGCTTGTATTGAAAAATGATTTCCTGCATACGATGCATTTTAGAGCCTGTTCTTTCACTCTTTCGCTCCTCCGTATCGACAATGCTTGCAAACTTTCCTCTTTGTGAACACTATCACCACATTCTATAGACTTAGAGCAAGTTTCTTTATGTTTTTTTAGTTGACTAACATTCGCAAATCGTGTATCACAATCACCACATGGCAGATTGCTAGACTTTTTCTTTATATTTCCACTTTGCTTTTTTGGTTGTGCTTTGGGTTGCGTCTGTTCACCCGTGCATGTCTTCTTGTGATTGGCCAAATAGTCTGACCGAGCAAACTGCCGCTTGCAAATATCACAATCAAATCTTACACCAGCATGCATATTTTTGTGCCGTTTTAGTGTGATGGACTGGAGAAACTGCTGACCACAAACGTCGCATTTGTGAGGTTTCTGGTTGGTATGTCTTTTTCTGTGTCTGTTCATTGTACTTGATTGTCGAAACCTTTGGTGACATATGTCACATTCGTAGGGTTTCTCCCCTGTATGAGTCATTCTATGTTTCGTCAGTATAGTGTTAAGGGTAAAACGCCTATGGCATATATCGCATTCATAAAGTTTCTCGCCTGTGTGCAATCGCTTGTGTACAGCTAAAGAACGAAGTTTGTCAAATGTTTTCTCACAAATATCACATTTGATACGAAAACCAGACGCCTCGTGTTCCTTCTTATGCGTTGTGTAGACACCAAAATTTGTAAAGCTTTCATTACAAAAGCAACACACGTAAACTTTGTCGGATCTATTTTCGTGCGTCTTCATGTGTTTCTTCAAACCGTTTTGCTGTGAGAAACATCGACTGCAAATGTCACAACTATAAGGTTTCTCTCCCGTGTGTATTCGTGTGTGAACAAGTAAGGTTCTCGCTTTAGCAAATTTTTTTTGGCAAACAATACATTCATAAGGAAGCTCCTTCAAATGCGTCGCTTTTTTATGACTAGCTAAGGTACTTGCTTGAGTATACCGTTTATGACAGGTATCACATTCATAAGGTTTCTCTCCAGTGTGAGTTATTTTATGTCGCATTAAGCTACCCTTGGTTGAAAAGCATTTTCCACAGATATCACAAGTGGGTTTTTCTGAAACAACTACGACTTCTTCATTCACATTGTTTTCCGACTCAATCAAAGGAATTTCTAACTCTCGCAGAATATCCCACGGGTCAACCATTTCGTTGCTCGAAGCGTACAGTTCCACTCACTCAATGGACAATAATTCCTTAAAATAAAACAAGTTACATCACTTGCACGCATATATCAGTGAAATTGTTGTTAACATTTCAAGTTGTCAATGAAGCTAACTGAACTAAAGTTCCATAAAATATAAATTGCAAGAGTGGAAAAGGGGTTATAAATATACCAACAAACAACAATATAAAATTGACAATCAATTTTATGGTCTGTTTATAAACTATAACAAAGATGTAACTTCATCATGTTCTTAAGGCCAATTCACATGACCCAATTTGTCGGATCCGATTTTATTGCATCCTAAAAGATGGATCGTGTAAACACATATAGAGTTTGCCTCCAACAGTCGGATCCTTCAATCTAAAAAATCGGATGGAAATAGAACTTGTTCCAATTTCATCCAACAATATCAGAGGAAGCCGACTGATCTCAGACTTTTTACTTCCATACTTCCCAATTTGATTTAGAGCGAGAAATTAGATTTGAAAAAGATTTGAAAACAAGAATAAAAATACACAAAATATATATCGATAAATGTACTGGATAAACAAAAGGCTGCTCTTAAGACTACAGGCATCTAAATGAATTGAATTGTCAACAAAATATCAGACCATCTGAACAAGCAACCAAAAGTTGGAACCAAAACAATCAGATCCCAGAATCTGATTCCCAGCATAAAAATTGTTCAAGAGTTATTTAATATAAATGTTATTAGTGGACATTTTCATATCACATACCTCCTGTTGATATTCCTATGCCACTTCCTTTCTTTAAATAAAGATGGGTAGATGTTGGAGTACTAGTAAATATCAAACCAGCATAAATGTAAAGATGTCATACATTAACATTTCAACATATGCATGAAATATAGTCACCAAATCAATGGCATATTTTTCTATAGTCCACTCGTCAAAAAGGTCAATCTATATGCCACCATAAATTGACGTTTTCTGCCTTTATATATTTATAGCTCAGAATATTAAGGTATAGAACAAGATTACTTTTGTAAGCAAAATGTGCCACTGACTTGCCACACAATCTGGAGCAGGAGACAGAGACAACACACGCTCTATATATTCAAAATGGCAGAATTTTTAAACTAAAATTCATCCACAGGGGACAGCTGCCTCAGTTTCTTGCACTGAATGGACAAGCAAATCAATGGTCAATAATATTGACACAAAAATCACAGTACATGATTTACTGGTCTGGTCACAACTTTAGTATTCTGTGATGAAAGTCAAACTCAAATAACTTACAGTGAAAATTCTCTCCTTTCTTCTATTAAATAATATTGTATATCATAAAAATTAATCACTATAAACGCTCAATAATAAATTATATAATACGATCATTACGACTTCGCACAATTTGTACAAAAGAAGCGCTTGCCCATATCAAATTTTCAAATCAAGGCTTTATTGAATTAGCGGAGCACTTTGTGGTTTTATTATAAGTTTCTTATACAACAAGCGTATGTCATATGGTGGTTTGACCAGATTTATCACGAATTTCCTTTTCTCAATCTCAAAATTATAATCTGATTCTGATTGTAAATTTTAAACTTTACCGGCAGCAATAGGCAGCTTCGAGGTAAGCTAGTTTCATAGTAACATTTCCATTGAAATAAATGTCATTGAAAGGTAGTGAGTTTATATTTAAAAACAGCACTACAACACAATGTAATTATAACTTTTACCAGCATGAAAATGACTGAATTTGTAAATTTCAAAATCGTGCACCGCCCAAAACTCCATGTTGCTTGCACGTTGTCTGAAGTCCGAATGACTGGGAAGAGGAATAAAATTCCAATGGTGTTTCCATTGTCTATTGAAATTTCATTTCTTTAAAATTTATATGCAGGGAGTGACCAATGGGAGTGACCGACATGATGTAAAAAAGTGCCTCATTGCAGTACCTAAATATCTCACCTAGCGAATAACCCTAAAATTTCTATAAAACAAAAACAGTGGATGGGTAAGCCTGCAAGTTTCGTTACGTTATGTAATGAAGGTGTCTATAAGAGATGGGCATTTTATTAGAGAGAGGAGTCTAATAGAAACTCACACTTGAAGGAACGGGTGTGTTTATTATATTTGATAGGGCTTTTACGGTAATAAACCTTTCTTTACGACTATATATATTTACATTTGATTTAATTATAATTATTAAAATGTTGTTAGATATATTTATATGTTAGCAAAAGCCATACATCGCAAAAACAAACTAGATAAATTGAGCTACAGAAGCTCGGATGGTTATTTTAGTCGGTGGGTAATATGTGGGTACATTCTTCAACATTGTCGATATATTTAATTTTAAAAAGTCACCAAATCAATTGGCCATGTGTTCGTTTTAGACCGGAGACTTCCATATCATTTTACGTCGATACGATAAGGAATATCTTACTCACCAAGATTGCTGAATCTTCCGATTTTCAAAATATCCTCCATGCTCTACAGTCGTTCCAAGCAATCTTTTGCAGTTATTCTTTCTTTATGATCAGTTGGCCAACAATCTTCCATGATTTTTGAGCTTTAGGATGAATGACCTCATGCTCTATATTTTTGGGACGATAACCTTCCCATATTTTTGTTCTAAAGTTTTCCCGTATAATCGGCATAAGTTCCTGGAAAGCTCGAACACCATACCACATTTCCCAAAGCATGATACCAAAACTGTAAATATCTCCAGCTTTTATTCTATGCTCTAAATTTTTTAACACTTCCGGTGCAAGGTAGATTAAACTTTTTTCAGTTTCTCGAAAATGACCGACAATTCCTATATCAGATATTGCTACTTTGTCGTCATCTTTTACCTAAAATAGCAATGAAAATTTTATAAGACCTTTTAAATCTCTAAGACTGGCTATAGTTTAAAAAAAGTTATGGAAAAAGTTATGAATCAATAACTTTTAATTATTCTCAATCTGTGAGCAGTGAATGTTTACAACACAACTTCCGATGATCCCCACAGCAAACAACAAATTATGAATACAAACCAAAATATTTTCCATTTTTAGATGTCGGTGAACAAGCCGTCTTTCGTGAATATAATTTAACCCATCAGCAATTTGTTTTGCGTATTTGAAATACTTAGTGATTGCTTCTCTGGTGTCATTTGATTTGGTCGGGAAAGCGTTACAGTTGAAAAGATGTTCACGTAAATTTTTCTTGCAAATTGGCATCACAAAAACGTAACGACATTTTGATCTGCCAGAAACTTCTATCTTGGTTGCACCCAAAAATTTAAGAACATTTTCATGTTTGAGATGCCTAGAGAGGGAAATAAAGATAATTTAATGCCCCAGACTGATGAACACAAATTTGACAAAAACAAATTTGCAGGATTTCTGTACTATATTGTCTATTTGACTGTTAGATTGTTTACTTAATTGTTTATACCATAACTGTTTATCTGATCTTAAGATGGATCTGATTAATTCAATAACAATTAAACAGGTAATGTACATTTATGACAATGTTGAGAAAAGTGGCATGAAAAATGTATGAGAAGGGTGATTCGTGGCGTACAAATGTCTTTGTATTTACCTTATCTTTACTTCCTCATTGAAATAAAATCTTGCATTGACATCATCAAATGGCTTGTTGAAAACTTTTACAGCAACATTTGCCATCTCGTATAGCGGAACTATTTTTAGGTGACCACGATATACCTGAGTGAACTCTCCCTCACCAATGAAATAGTTTTCTGTATTTCTCCATGTAAGATCACGTCGGTCCAACGATTCTGGAAATAGTTCTCTTCCCAAATCAATCATTTCTTCTCTCACACTTTTGGTTGTATCACCAATCTTCTCGTATTGGCTGTACATTTCATCATAATCGCGTGTTTCATCTTTTAACTTCTCAATAATATCCCTATCTGCTTTCATCAGGCGAGGTAGAAGGTTGTGATAGGAAAACACTATCTCTTTAGTTTTTGATATGAGTTGAGCAGCCTCTTCTATGACATCTTCTTCTCTTTTTGCCTGCAAAAACCTTTCAGACCGATGTTTCATGTACTTCACCGGATTTTCTAAGTACTTTTCATAGCGCATTCTATCGTCAATCACTCTAGCCAAAGCCATCACACCCATAATAGGTGCACCAAGGAATATTCCTGCTGCAGCAACAGGCAGCCAAATCGGCAAAGTTACTCCAAAAAAAACTTTGGTTGGCACAGTAGGAGTTCGGTTTCTGTAGTAATTGGCCTGGTCTTCTATGCTGTCGTCGTGACCAGATTCAAAGCGTTCAAGATCTTTTTTCAACAAGTTAAAACTTAAAAAAATAAATCACAATTAAGTTATATGCACAACGAAATAGCGTTTTTCACCAGTTTTCAATTGAAGTTTTGAAAAATGAAAGTATAAAATATCAGAATAAATAGCGTCATGTGAATATTAGCAATTCAATATTTAAGTTACTTTGAATGTAAAGATTTTAGCGTGCACATAAATCTAATCATCAGATTTATTAATTTGCCATTTTCAAAAACTGCAAATGTAAGCGAAGAGTCTCAGGTTTCAAAAAAACAAACCTTGTCAAATATTCATCAACAATTGTAGAATGGATTTTGGCATACACATGTTCTTTTTTTTCCCAAGCACACAACAAACTTAAATATTTTTTAACAATTGCCTTGTTGACATTTTCTTTTGTATCTTCCCATTTTTTCCTGCGAAGAGAATTTGCATAATTGAAATCCCAGGAGAAGAGCTGTTCTTCAAATTCTCTTGAATAAGTATGTTTTTTTAGATGGTCAGATAAAACTATTTCTTGACGTTGTAAGTTGTTCAGCAGTATCTCTGTATGTTCTTCATATGTTTGCTGAATTTTGTCAGCACGTTCACTTAATCGTTTCGCTTGATCACGTTTTCCCTGCAGATTACTAATATTCTTGTCAAAGAAGATGCTCGCCAGCTGGACAATTTTTGACATTATCATATCCAACCATCTGTAAAAGTATTAAAGAAAATATGTATTCGTTAGATCCTTGTAAACTACGAGAAAGTATTTATTCTTCTTTCTGTCAAAAACAGCACATGGGGTTAAAACAAAATATATTGTTTTCTTGTGTGAAAAACACACGTTGTTGTTTAATAGATAGTTTGAATATCCGAACAAAAACAGACATAAGCTTTTCGTATTTTTGCTTATTATTTAAGAAACATTGCATTCGCATGTTGTCGATAAGAAGAATACAATGAAAGATTACAGGGCATTAACTTTACAATGCAAAAAAGATAATGAACTGTAAACTTACTGCCAATGGTTGTAGAGTCTCAAATTTATTGATCTGAAAATCAGTTGATTGATACTTTCCAACAAGATATTGAATTCTGGTGTTATTCCACCATAATCTTGCACTTTGATAGCATCAGTTGCTGACATGAATATCACGTGTTTCTCTATATTCGCTATTCCCCAACATTTTCTTAGCTCATCGTACATATTTTGTTTCACCTTATTTTTTTCTACTTCATTTTTTCGTTTTATTATGTCCCATTTGTTACCAATAAACAGAGTACATTCAGTGAGGCGACTCACATAACCACCCTCACTGAAGTTAATTCGGTTGATTTTTCTAGCCATATCTTTCATCTAAAGAAAAAAGACGACAAGAACAAGAAACTGGATCTATAGATAAGACATAGCCAACGTTTAATTTATGACATCACATTGCAAATTTCTCTTGTTCATGAATAGCTTTCTTATATCAGATAAGTTGAATTACACAAGGTAAATTAAACCTTTTTATTTATCACATTTTCTCAACGTAAAAACGTGTAACATAAAGAGCTCTTTGATGTATTTGTTGAAATACACTACTGCTTTTTTATTTAAAAGGATTAAAGTTTCACCATAAAATCCCCCCTTTCGGATCATCATGTTTCCAGTATTTTCATCTGCTACTTCATGTAAACAGTAACAAGTAAATTCAAGTGCATTTGTTACTTTAAGTGCAGCTATATTTGTAAGCTAATGAAAATGGTACAAAAATTTCACTTTATGCAAAATTTAACGTGTTGATTTCAACAAATACCTTTATTTTTAAGTGTTGTTCAAGACCACCAGCACGAGCAATATCAATAACGTAAATATAAGCAAAGGCTTTTGGGAGATACGTCATCAGGATTGCATCCATTTCTTCAGAATGACCAACGCCTGGACTATCGACAATTATAACTCCTTGCTGTAAAAAAATTGCTCAAATTGAAATCTTCCGTATGCTAAAAAGTTGAATATAAATATACACGCTGGTGTGTGCTAATTTTTACATTATCTCTCGCCTGAAAATATTAAAGAAAAGGACAAAAAACTCTAAAGATCTCAGGACGAAAATATACATTATCTACTCTCATTTTTAATAATTTGCTTCAGTCATGGGTACAATTATCTGAAGTAATTTGTACAGCTGAATGCAAATACTTTAATCATAACTTTGCTGGCATTATATTGAATGAATCAAATTCAATTTAAATCGCACACTTTACCAAGATGGTTTATTTTTTTATAAACCCTTTAGACACATACCTTCAACAAATCATGAGGCAAATAAATCTCAAATTTATCAATTTTATCCATGTCTTTATTGGCTAGGAATGACTCAAGTTGCTCAGAAAGACTTTTTCCACAGTCTTCCTTGTTTTCAACAGGAATTGGCTCAGGTAGTGGACGACGCTTTTCATTATTAATACGTTTGTAGTGAATTGTGATTTGTGTTTGTTCTCCATAAGAAACTTCCCATATGTGTGAGGTGTTATGCAGAATATGACATGGTAGTATATCATCATTTAAAATCAAGTTTATCATTGTACTTTTGCCAGAACTTGTTTCTCCTGCACGAAAAGGGTAAAGTTGTTTATATTTATAGTTACATGATAGCAGTTATCATGTGCATGTGTACTAGCTCTATTTACGATTTTAACGGAATGTAGAGATTTTCCTTGTCATTGCCAATAGGAAATAATAAATGAACTTATTTGCAAGCGTAAGCATAAACTGTATAGTACCACAGCTGACGCAATATTTTCATTCTTTATGTTTTGCTTTGTCGTACTGTGTTGCGTAGTACACAAAATAGGTCGAGAAATTGGTGCAAAATCAACATACTTTCTATTGATTTTATATGAAGATAAGTAGCTGCGTGCAATCTTGCTTCGAAGCATCAAAAATCGAGCCTTTTTCAACAACTCAACAATTCAAAATCCAATAATTATTGTTTTTAAAAGTTGTCAAATAATTTGCTTTAAAACACGATGTTTTGCTACACATTTAGAATCAAAAAACGGTGCAAAACGATGCAAACGTATTTTTCTTACACCTTGAATTCATGCACCAATTAAGTTCAAAAACAACACGATTCAAAGATATAGGAACAACATAGTTTCACAATATGTTTACGCTAAAATGGTTTAGCTACGCATTAGTGACTTTACTTTTGAATAATCCAAATATGTCAAAAGATTTTATGACTTACCGGCAATCAGAAGATAATACTGAGTTTCAACTAATTTTGATCTCATATGAGAAAGAATGCCGTTCACTGTTTCATCTTTAGTGTCGAGGCCAAGAAGACCTTCCAAGATTGACAAGTCTACATTTGCAAGTTTTTCCAAACAATACTCCAATCTTGTGTAGAAATGATCCAACTTTTGCCTTTTCTCCAAGTCATTACACTTTGCGTCACAAATGATCTTAAGACCCTACACAGAATTGCTTATATTATTAATGCAGTTTGAAAAATGTTTTTAATTTTTATTTGCTCATTGCGCAAGAAATTTATAAAGTTACCTCTCTCTATCAAATGCTCCTATGGTAAAAACACATCTGTATTATTTAAAAAATTTTTGGTTGCTAATTAAAACGAATGGTATGATCTAGTTCTTTATGACTATAAATCTGTTTCTGTATAGTATTGACAATCCCATTTACAGTAATGGAAATTATGTTTAACGGCACCTCTTGGAAGGTCTGAAAAAAATGTCGCCCACCCAGTATGATACAACAAATAAAAAATATAACAATCAGCAGTTGCAAACGTGATTACAACAAAAAGATATGACAATCGAGCAGTTTGTAACAAGATGGATATTGTTGATAAATAGATACAATTATAGAGCCAAATTATTGATTCAATGTGCTAACTTCCGAGAGAAAGAGAAGGATGAACGTGAACATGCGTATTTGTCGTATTTTTAAAATATTCTGCAATTCACCGTCAGGTTACTCATGAAAGTTGCCTTTACTGCTAATTTTCTAACTTAAGAAGGTCTGGATGTCATCTCGAGATTCTGGGACTTTTTAAAGCTGTTTTTCATTTTAAAAAATCAATCTTCGGGATTTTGTATTTTGATCATATTCAAAAAGATTTCCATAATTTTTACGTATAAACTATAACTATTTACCGAGATTCCAGTAGAATAATGTCCGCTACCAGAGCTTTGATGTTCAAGAATTTTTCGAAGTAGTTCTTTTAACTGAGTCTTGTTGAGATCTTCGTCATATTTTTCGTTTAAGATTTCAAAGACCTCCAAAACTTCCGCCAAGGTTTTCAAGTCATCGACATTTTTTCGTGGCATATTTGATGACAAAACTGCTCTTCTTTGTTAGAATTGCGATAACAACAAACAAAACCAAGCTCTTCCTGACGATAGAAAAGAGCAAAGTAGGTGATTAAATTGTGTATGCTACGTACTGTCCTAAATTATAATAATGCAATTTTCTTAATGTACATTACTTAATATCGTAATTCCATCAAATAAAAGCGTTTGTTGAGCGCGAATGAGATACAGCTTTAAGCTTTTCATTCGTGCAACTTTAAAAAATAACAAATCACATTCATACTGGAGCAAAGAGGAAATAGTGGAATCATATTTTATTTATACTTAAATTAGCTAATATCAAATATTCTTTACCAATTGTATTCGTCAATCAAGTTCAACTTTCAAATTAGCCTCAAGTTCTTCATGTTATACAGGTCAGAGAGTATTTACAAATGAAAATTTATCCGCATGCTTCAAATGCTCTCAGCTTTCCTAATTATTTGATTATAAAACAGATGTAATGTGTAATGTCTTCCGGTTCAGAATTCCTCAATTTATTTGTGTAAATTCAAGCATTGCAATCAAATTTCACAAGGTTTAAAAAAACAATGCAGCGCACCCACGTTAACTGATGCCCACAAAAGCATTGGTAAAATATTTTCGTGGCCGTCATGGGCGCAAGACCGCCCACAGTACAAGCTATTGTTATTAGCTTTCTTGCTAGCTTGCAGAAATGGCAAAACTTTCATAGCTGCATGATTGTCAAAAATGGAAATAAAAGAGTGATGTTCACTTTTTAAAATTTCGTAGTCTCGTTATTGTTGAAACTTTGCATATTAAAACATTTAGTTTGAACGTAAAAAACGTAACTGCACGAGCTGCCGTTTTCCACTTAAAGATTATGTAAAATTTCTTGAGGAAATCTTTGCACCGTTTTTTCCTGTTCAAACAACCGTCGATATCCCGAGAATGTAATTGTGCCACTACATGTAATCTTCGTCACTGACCATACTTTGTGATTGGGAAAGTCCCTACAAGTATACTATGACGTAGCCTAATGACGGACTACACAGAGTAGCGCAATTTCTCTTCTTCGTTTGTAAAAGAATACTCTTAATCACAGTGGTAATAAATGATTAAATCTTAACAATCGACAAAATTTATTCTAGCCAAGTTCAATAGACTTGCGAAAGACGATTGATAGATTGTCTCATGCACTAAGAGTATTGTATGGTGTTATTAAACTATGGACCAAAAATGTATAAAGATGTAATAAAATCATTGTCCACTTGGATGTGAGGCCAAATTTTTGTCAGGGAAACTTGCAGCAATATCGGATCGAGATAATAAGATAATTGACGAATAGTGACGATCCAGGAAATTTTACAGTAAAAATTTTGATAAATTTTCTACATCAAATTGAAATTCTTTCAAGCAAGTGACTCGTTTGATTAAACCTCGTACTTTAAATGATGGGTATTATCAAGAAAATTTAGTATTAATTTTTTGGAATATGTTTGACGTTATATGTGTATTAGCTACAACGGCAAAGAAACTAAATAAAAGTCTTCATTGTTGTACTTACCAATAAAGTATGTATAGTTCTTCAGCCAAATTTTAGCTTCTGTATTATGTAGCTATAATTCCACAATCAAAGTTGTTCCTGCTATGATATGAGCGCATTTAGGATTATGCTTTGACATAAATTTTTGTCAGGTTTAGTGCGATGAGTTCCGCTATCATGCAATTTCTTGGTACAAATTCTCAAGGTTTTGATCCTGTTATTATTCAAGAATGTTTGCGTATAGAAAATTATCTGCATGATGAAGTGACACCCCGCTGTCATAATTTTCGAGTCATAGCTACAGATTGTGTAATGTCTTCTGTTTAGCGCAATTATTTTTGTTAAAACTAATACTAAAATATATATTTTATTGCAATCTCGGGAGTTTTCATGGTTATGAAATGGGCCAAACGGTGGCAACGTTGGCAATGTTAAAGTCAATCAAAATGAATAACTTTTCGAACTATATAGTTTGAATAGCTTTATAACTGAAACAACTCCGATCATGGAGTTCGACGTATGTACCTTACCTAGTTTATCATTACTTACCAAAGTATTTTTACAAATAAAAGCCACTCGCGGTCTATACGTATGTAAGTTTGGTTTAAAACACATATTTATTGCTGTGTGATACACTTGTTACAAAGAGCTTTGTCTAGCAACAAAATTCTTGTATTGCAAATAAATGTTAAATGTCATTGAAAGAATGAAAATTTGATCTTTCAATCATAGTTGAAACCTAAGGAAAGCTTGAAATTTTTCATGTTACAACGCAAAATATGTTTTAAATCAAAAATTGACAGGTGTTCTTTATTAAAAGTCTTGTTAGAAGTTCTCGCATTTTGAATTTTTATGATTCGAAAATGCCCTAGATAAAAAAACAAGATGCATCAAAGAACACTTATTCTTTTTATGCTTAGGAATTTAATAAATAAATATAATAAAATGAATAGATTTTGGTTTGCTACAACTATGGTTTTAAAGAAAACTTTATAAAGTATAGCAACGTGATACGGGGCGCTGTTAAGACAAAGTTACGGAAAGCCATTTTTCGTCAATATTCAATCGCTCGTATTGTTTTCAACAACATAAACGGTTCTGAAGTAGATACATTTAACAGTCCAGAAAAGATAAAAATTAAAACTAATCATTTCTAGATACCACGGGCCTCTCGAAAGCCGGACCCCATCCAATTTTTAACGGATCAATCTTTAGCTTTAGCATTTACTCTAAATTCTCACTTAAGTAACACAGCATAAATATTTTGTCTAACTCACTAGATTTCCTGTAATTACTATAGTAAAGACCACAAGTTTTTAGTCTTTGCTTGTCAGTAATACGTGTTTTACCTTCTATAGATAAAGCTGCTACTGCTTCCAACATTACAAATAGAATACAAGAGAAATTTACCGTAATTATGAAGAATACAATTTAATAAACCGTCCAAAAAAATAAAAGTTCTTGGCCTTTTAAGGCTCATAAATTTTAACTTTTGGAGCAATGCACGTTAACGGTCATGTGATCACCAAAGAAATGATTTCCACCAATAAGAGAAATTGACTTTTGCAATGATGGAACTAAAAACAATAATGATCGTTAAGTTTAAATATTGATAGAAAAACTGCCCATTTCTGTGATTTTATAAAATATTAAGAGCGTTGTGTTCAATAAGTATCTTCAGGTTCAAACAAGTAAAAAGTATTGAAGAACCCCCTTGACAATGGATAAACTCGAAATGGAAATCTAGTCTGCCTCATTGCAAAAGCAAAACAAAATATTTTAAACTTGCGCAGTGGATCTAGAAAAAGTTTATGAAACATAGAGCTTGAGTCATTGGTAATATACTTAATTTAATTAAACAATGAAAGTTTATACTTTCAGTTTCTTCTTTCATTAGATCGGAAACACTCTCCCACTTCTTCTTTCGAGATGGAGTCTCTGATTGACGTTTGTGCTGTGAATGTTTTGGAAAAGTTAACATTGTAAAGACATGCAAGGAGACAAATACTATAGACAATCAATTTCTAATGCTCAACGCTTAGGTTGCATTGGCCGGATGCACGAAGCTTAGGTAGCTCTATGTAATGGATAGAAAATTTTTTAAACTTGCGAAAAAGATGTTTGTATTTTCGTTACGATAGAAAAGTTTTGTAATCTTAGAAGCAATATTTTATTTCAGTGATTGCTCAGGTCAAGCAAATTTTTAACCGTTTAAAAATTTGCTATGCAATAGATAACGTTATCCATGCTTCATGCAACTAGCCTCAGTTAAACATTTAGGTATTAAACAGAATTTTCTTTAATTTTTGCTTTTTTCATTACTCAAATCTCCCAGTATTCAAAATGCTTTTTGACAGATTTTGTCGTTCCTTCATCACAACAGAATTCACACACTTTTGATCAAAATAATTCAAAATTTTGGGACTGAGTTTAAACAACTTAATTACTGGTTTGAATCATAACTAATCAATTTTTGGTTTGTTTGAGTTTAGTCGGTTAATTGAGTTCACTTTGAACTTCTGGCCATTTCGTATAAATTTTCTTGATTACAGTTGAATCAAAATGTTATAAAACTAGCAAAACTATGGCAATTTGAAAAAGATCAACTATTACACGAACGAAGCATACAATTAAAACAATATACTAAAACTTCTGCTTTGTTGAACAACTAGTTAATAAGCTTACCTCGAAAGCACGCAATTCATCTTTCAATCGTTCCAAGCAATCTTGAGCTGTAATTCTTTTTGTGATCTGTCAACCAACAATCGCTCATAATTTCTTGTGCCTTTGCTGGAATGACTGTACCGGGAATTCCTTTAGGACGATAACCATTAATGATCTTCGGTTTGAATTCCTCTTTTACAATCGGCATAAGTTCTTGAAAAGCCACGACACCATACCACATTTCCCAAAGCATGATACCAAAACTGTAAATATCAGCTGCTCTTGTCAAATTTTCCAAGTTCTCTAGTACTTCTGGTGCATGGTAAATTATACTTCTTTCAGTTTCCTTGAACTGACCCACAATTCCAATGTCTGATATCGCTACCTCACCATTTTCTTTAATCTAATAATTTTGCACAAAAACAGAAAACTTAACTATGTATTGCTGGCGTTTTGATAGAACAGGTCTATTAGTTTAAGTGAACAACACAAAGAACTTGAATTAGAATTATTGAAAAAATCCTGTCTGAAGAGACAGTTTGCTGTCTATCCATCGATACACTATAAATGCGATTACGATGAATGAAACTTTATTTAGGCACAATTGTCTTTCACTCTATTAAAATAGTCAAATTAAATGATCAAATATGAAAAGTTAAATTTATAAAAAATTTCATATTTGAACTCGCATGTTGTTTTGGGTTGTCATGCTGTGTATCATACAAACCATTATATTTTCCAACTTTAAATGACGATGTACAAGTCCTCTATCATGGATGTAATTTAGTCCATCAGCAATTTGCTTAGCCCATTTGAAATACATCATGGTTGCATCATTGTTTGATTTGGTTGAGTTCTTTTCATTATCTTCAAAAATAATCTTTCGAAGATTTCCTTTACACCGTGGCATTACAAAAACATATTTATAGTCGTATCGAGGAAGTTTTTTCTTGATTGCACCCAAAAGCTCAAGAACATGTTTATGTTTCAAATGCCTTCAACAAGAAAACGTTTGTTCAGAAATTATTCATCTCATTGAACGTAACCTAAATGGCAGCTCTCTCATATTTTTAATGCACAAATTTCTACATATTACTTCAACACTGAATAGCTATGATCTATTAACGATAATTTCTTTGGGAGAGATTCTTTTTTGTCCACCCAGGGCAGGTACTGCCGTGTATTTATTATGAGAATTCAGATTAATAAATACCTTATGTTTATTTCTTCATTAAAATAGAATCTTGCATTTATGTCATCAAAAGGCTTGTTGAACACCTTTACAGCAACAGTGAAAGTTGATTTTGAGACAGTTGTTAATTCTCCCTCGTAAACTTCAGCAAATTCACCACCACCAATGTGAGAATCTTTTTGAGATCTCCACTTGAGATCACGTTGATCCAATGTCTCTGGAAACAGTTCTTTTCCTAAAGGAATAATTTCTTTTCTCATTTCTTCGCTCTTGTCACGTATTGGATTATATCGCACCAACAGTTTCTCCTGCTCTTGTATTCTATTGTCCAATTGATCAACAATTTTTCTGTCAGCATTAATGATAAGTGGAATTAGTTTGGAATATGTATCCACAACCTCTTTGGTGTTCATTACAAGCTCCCTAGCTTCGTCTAGAACTCTACTATTTGCAATTGATATTTTTGCGTTCAAAAACTTTTCTGATTGATCTTGGAAATACGTCAATAGATTGATCTGTTTAAACATCCTCAATGCATATCGTGATGTGCGGCGTTTTCTAAACGCAAATATCTTGCGCACCCCCTTTTCACCCAAGGGCTTTGCGTCTAATGTACCATTTGGAGTCCAAATTGCAGCGGATGATCCCATTAGAACAGTAGCTGGCAACGGCTGACTGCGATTTTTAAGATATGCGACCTGCCTTTCGATATTGATTCCATCACATACGATGCGTTCAAACTCTTCTTCCAACAAATTCAATCTTTAAAAATAGTCAAAATTTAAAAAAAAATAGTAATGAATAAAATTTCGTCTAACTTTAATGCTCGATGCCATTTAACAGTGACACCATGTAACTTTGATACCAATTTTCTAAGGCCAACATATACGTTCATAAACGTATCAACAAAAAAGTTATGGGAATCAGAAATCACTAATAACCTTTTGGCAATTAATTTTTGAAATCTTCACACAGCTAGTCATAGCAGTGTGTAGTTGGGTGTTGATATTTTACAAAAACAACACAAAAAAGGATTATTTGTTTACAGTTTGCAGAAGTTCAAAGAAAAAGAACAACCTTTTTAAGTAGTCATCAACAATCTTGCTGTGAATATCTGCATAAATTTGATTCCTTTTTTCCCATTCATTCAGCAAACGTGAAAATCTTCTGACAATTGCGTTTTCCACTTTCTCTTGTTATATCGAAATTATTTCCGTAGAAATGAAAGATCATTTCTATCTCAGCCTTTTCCCACATAACAAACTGCATCATAAAGTTCTCAGATTTAATATGTTCTTTCATTTCCATAGAAAGTCGTTTCATTTGACTTTGTAACTCAAACTTCATCGTTGCTCGTTCTCTTTTATCTTTCGCTTGAAGTTTATTTGATCGTTCTTTGATTGTTTGAGTCCGTGCAAAAATCTCCCTTGTTGTTTATTTGCAGTGATGATAAAGGAATCTGCATGTTTGAAGATTTTTGATAGTATGAAATCCAACCACCTAAACAGTTTATGGGATATAGAATATGAGTAATTGCTAATACTGAACATCATAATCAGTTTCATATAAAATGAAAATTAAAATTTCAAAGCAATGTTGGAACTTACTGCCAATGGTTGTAGAGTCTCAAATCAATTGACCTAAGAATCAATTGATTGATACTTTCAACAATAATTTAAACTTTGGGGTAATTAATCCATAGCGCTGTACTTTTATAGCATCTGTTGCCGACATGAGTAGCAAATGTTTGTTGATATTTGCTATATCCCAGCATTCACTGAGCTCTTTGGCAACATATCTTTCACCGAAGGTTTCTCTTTCTCGTCTATGCGATCCCATTTATTTCCAATAAAAAGTGTGCACTCAGTGAGACGGCTGATATTTTGACCAGCACCACAACGTAACGTATAAATTTTTGATGCCATATTTTTCATCTATAAAAAATGTATGACAAATTGTTACTGTTTATATGGAAGAGATGAAAAGCTAATGTTAAAAAATAACTGAATTCGCTCGTTTATGCACCTACAGGATTGAAAACAGTTTAAAGCGAAATTTCTAACTAAACCAGATCCACCTGTCAAAGCCAAATTATCATATGATCTTCCCAACTCAATTCCAAAAATAGCTTAATGAAGATTTTTTTAGATTGTTATACTCTAGTATGTTTGCTGACAAAGATACAAAATGCCGGGATTTCTTAGTAAAATATAGCTTGTTTTACATACCTTAAGTTTTAATGGTTTGGTAGACCACCAGCATGAGTAACATCAATGACATAGATATAAGCAAAAGCATTTGGTAAATAATTCATCAACAATGAATCCAACTGATTAGATTCACCCAATCCAGGACTGTCGACAATAACAAGACCTTCCTTAAAGAAGTTCAGTACAAATGAATATATGCATGAGAAAGGTTTCAATCAGTTCTCTTTAAAAAACCTTCTTGAAAGGTCTATTAATTATTATTTCATTAATAGTGAAAAGCAGAGCAGAAACTCTCTGGTTTTTAAACACAAGCGATAAAAGTTATGAAGTCTTTGCTACATACAAGAGGCTGTTTTCTAGGCAACAACTTGGCATTATCACACAAATTAAACATTTCATTTCATGTCCCACATTTCTAACCTTGAGTAATGGATGTGGCAAATAAATTTCCACTCTTTCGATTTTATCATTTCTCTATCGTCCTCTTCCTTTAAAGCTACATGGCTTTAACTGTTCAGCAAAACTCATGCCGCACTCTTCCTTGCTCAGCAGAGGAATTTTTTGAGATCCTTGATTCTTTTTATGGACAACACACTCTTTATTGTCACCATATTTGACTTCACATATTGTTGAGGTCTCTTTTAGAATGTTGTGTGGTAGTACATCATCTCCGAGAATTAAATTCAACACGGTGCTTTTCCAGAACTAGTTTCACCTAAATATGGTAATTAACCTTTGATTTTGTACATTGAGCAAGCTCTATAAATTAAACTTCTTAATTTGATTCCATGAATGAAACAACGGCAATACATTTTTCAAAAGCATTGCTTTATATTAATTTAAGGTTTGTGTGACACCACTTACGACTTTTTCTTACAAATAAAGATTTCTCTCACCAGATATCAAAAGATAATACTCCTTTTTTTGTAAACTTAATTCCATGTCTTTTAGATTGTCAATGACTTCTGTATCGAGGCAAATTCTTTCTTTTAAATTCGATAGATCGTCTTGATTAAAACCTTTTAGACAAGATATCACCTTTTCGTAGAACTGAAGAAGCTTTTTCCTTTTTTTTTCATCATTAGATTTTGCATTTGATAAGACTTTAACTCCCTTAAAATTGGATTTTAAACAAAGCAAAAGAATTTTCATAATTTTATCAATTGCATATAAATTTATCACAATGTGAAAAATATGCTAGCCACAGCTATCTTTTCTAAAAATGGTAAATGAAATAAAAATAAAAACTAGGAATTCATTATCAATACTCACAGTGATGCCAGTTGAATATTGTCCGCTACCAGAATTTTGCTCTTCTTGCAAATCTTTCAGCATTTGCAGTAATTCTGTTTTATTCGCGTTCTGGTCATATTCTTTTCCTAAGATACGCAAAATCAACTATGTCCTTCAATTTTAGGTCATCAACACTCCTTGTCGACATTTTTTGTTCTTCGAGGTGTTTTCTTGCCCAAACTGCAAATATCAGCTACCTAAAATGATGCAAGATAAAAACATACGTTCCCTTAATTATAAATGTCAGTCAAATTTTTTCTTTTACAAACTGATAGAAAATATTTATTCTCGTAGAAAATTCAACAAAACAAACAAACTATATAGTCTGCTTGGTAAGATTTTATAGAAACGGTTTTATTGGAAAGAGCTCATTTGGAGGAAACAAATAGCATACGCTTTGACAGCAATGATAAAAATAATTGAGTCCTCTTTAAGAATTGCGAGAATTCAATGAATAATATCATATGAATAAAATACTTCAACATTTTATAGATGAGTCATTTCCATAATCTTAATTTGCAACAAGATGCTCAAGATTTTAGGCTCTTGTTAAAGAAAAAAACCCACTATTATAGCGATCTTTAAAAAATAGATTCAAATTTATAGATGAATCAAAAATATATCATAAGAGATTATCAACAAAGTTAGAAAATCAACCACGACAATGGATCATGAAATTACAATTAATATATGCTGCACATATCTTTAAAGATGCTGCACATTTTTTCATATAGCTTATTTTCATCAAACATTATGTATCGTGCTTAGTCAAAACATGAAATTTCCATGAAAGGAATATTTGCAAGAATAGGAAAATAAAAACAGCTAGAAATATGTAGTTAAAAGACACCTTTCGTCTTTTGACCAAGCGTTACGAAGAGCACGCGAGTGCATGGTGTTGGTAATTTTTTGATATTTGCAGTCATTATCGTAATTTATAAAAAATTTAATCGACCCGTTTATTTAGATGTAGTCTTTTTATAGTCGACCGTATAGTGAAATTGCATCATATTATTTATTTGCACAATCCACAGGCACAATCTCATGCAAGCAGGTTTGTTATATTTAGCAACAATGATCTAATTACATGTTTGTAGATGTAGATCGTCCAGGATAGTATAGTCCTGAGAAGGACTGTTTTTGTTGTTGACTGACGTTTCGACAACCTTAGAGGTAGTCATCAAAAACAGTCCTTCTCAGGACTATACTAACCTGGACGATCTACATCTACAAACATGTAACGATACTCCCGGGTTCAAATAATTTACTTTATAATGATCTAATTATAATTCTCCAGATAATGGGTTGAAATGTCAGCAAATTTTTAAGTCTCTTAGAGCTCACATAGCAAGTGTTTAGTAAATATGAAAACTTTATTTAAAAAAAAACAAAACTTTATTTTCTATACACGTTAAGATTTTGATGGAGACCGGCTCGAAATAAGAATACTGTAAAGTTTAAACATTAAATTTTTGTTTCAAAAGGATCAAATAAAATAGGATCAAAAAAGGATCAAATTTTTGTTTTAAAAAGGATCACCAAAAGTAATCACCAAAAAACATTAGTTAAAGGTTGAGCACAACTTTTCTGCTCAAATACCATGCACATATCACATTTCCAATAATTTCTATATTTGTAAATTAAGTTGTTAGAATTGTTAAACAAATAAAAATATGACGTTCTATATAATAAATGACATTGAATAAATAAAAATAGGAGTTGTTTTCTTTAACGTTACAAGCCAGGTCTTGACACTGATTCAATTACCGGTTTCTGTGACTTTATCGATGGACAAGATATTTCAAAAGATATTTCATAAACAGTCTAAGCAACGAATATAATTTTGTCCATTCGTTTGTTTATAAGCGGAACTTTACCGGTGCATCATCTAATTCTAGTTATTCTCGCAATCCCTATGACCAGGATATATTGATCGAAAAATGGTGATTTGCCATCCATGAGTATATAATTCGACTTAAACCTTTGCACATTGCATCTGATACAACAAACAAACATTGAATTGCCATGTCTTCTACATGAAAACAAACGACATTAAAAAATTTTAAATATGTTTTAATGATTTAAATCATTTATGAATCAAAAGGTATATTAGTAAACCATTAATGTAAACTGCTCAGCTATATAACTTACTTGTTATGAGGTAAATGAATCACGAACTTACCAACCCACACAAGGCAATGCATTTGAGTGATGGCGAAGTTATTTATTTATTCCACGCATCACGAATATATAGCAATAATTTATGCAACACAATCATTTGTTAAAGCTGCAGACAAAAACGTTTATGGTATTTCATTAGTACGGCATTATAAGCAAACTATAAGCAAAAAAACCTGTCAATTGTCAAAACAATTTTTACTGATAAATTGTGGTAAAGCTAGAGCTTGTCAGATAAAGAATTAAGTAAGTGAAGCGTAAGCTATGATTGTTAAAGGATCGTGTTTATCATAATGATAGCTAAATTGTTGTCTTTGTCTTGTTCTTATCTTGAAGAGGCCCTATTTGAAGCTTTCAACAGCAATTACTAGACTAAAAATCATATACTAAATCAATTAGCATTCTGAATGGATTTTGATGTAGGGCTAGTTTTCATTTCAACAATTTTTCATATTGAAGATTCTTATCAAATTAAACGTTTTTGTGTTGATAGCAACCTTTATATTAATCTTTATGAAACACACAACGCACACCAGGAGATCCTCACTCCCCCACCAGCAACAGGTTTTGGTATGAGTGGAATTTTGACACTTCTCCATTGAAAACCAAGTGAGCGCATCATAATTGTCTAAATATATCACTCCGACTCCGAAGAAGCTGATATCAACTGCAAATAACAACAAGATTTTAGGCTTTATGAAATTATAAGTTTTTACCGACAAGTAATTTACCTCAAAGAAGACATGCCTACCATCACAACACTATTATATATATGGTTAAATTGGATGGAAGACAGCTATAAATAAACTATAATAATACGTGTCAGGTAATTTGTAATGCATTTTGGTAAATACAGTCTTATACTTGCATTTAGTTGTACGATTCGCCAAGTGTGGAATATGTGAATTTCTGTTTAAGTAGAAATTATTGTGAAAGAATATGTCAGCCTTGATAAAAAGAAATCGTTGATAATGAACCTTTAAGTTAAACGTCGAAAACAATATTATTTTACATAAAGACAGAATCAAATTATTCAATTTCTAAAAGAAGAATAATAAGCTAAAATTACGTCCTCATAGTTAAGGTGTAAACGAAGACAATTCTCACTGTAGCTTTTAGGAAAGGACAAATAACTTAATATCCAGCGGTCCAAGCATTAGAAGGAAAGTAAAAAGGACGATCACTAAAACGAGTTGTATCATGAGTTTCAAACAACACAATTTCAGAGAATTTACATTTTACAGACCAAAACAAGGAAGTGAAGGCGAACTTTTGCAAAACAGCAAAAGAAAGTTTCGTTTCATGTCGAATAATGCCATTTATAGTTTTTTTTACCAACCTCTCGCTTGGTTTAAATAGAGTTAATGATAACTGTTGTTATATGTTCCATACCAATAATTTCATCCTTATGACAATTTAGACAGTCAGAAAATGGCAAAAAGAAATATAGACAATTTAAACCTCAATGACATCCTTGAAATATTCAATATTCTGAAACTTGAATACGATGAAAATGACACCCTACCAGTATTCAAGGAAATTCTTAAAAAGAAAATAGAAGAGCAGGGCTTTGACAATGGAGTACATCCGGTAAGGATGCATGACAAAACGTACCATCAGTTATATATGAGCGTACTTTGATAATAAGTTTCCATTTGATGTTTACAATGAGAGTAGTGGCTGCATTTAAAACGAGGTTTTTTACACATATATTGGTTAAGTTACATGCATTTACTAAACTTATTTAATTGGTTTACATGAAAAATTTTTTGAATGACAATAAAGGGTGCATTTCATTCTCTAAACTTTCATGTAGAACATGTATGTAAAAAAGAGAAAATATGAATAATGGATCGGATTTTGGAATCTGTTTAGCCAAAAACCCTACAGTCTACTCTCATAGTTGAAAATTTTGAAAGAAAAAACAAGAAAACAGAATGCTTTTACATTTTTAGGCAATTTTGCAGTAAGAGAAGCAAAGTTGAAAGATATTTCAAAGAGTGAAGCTCTATTAAAATACAACTATGAGGTCATTCAGTGTTTGAAAAATCTTGACGCTGAGGACCGTAATATAATAAAAAGTGCAGTTCTTGACACCAATCAAGAAATGCTGGAATACATGGACGAAGCTAAATGTTTATTGAAACAGAAAGACTTCTACCTTCTGATTGCTGGTAAGATTATCCAAGAAAAGATAAAGTGATTAAACCAAAACGACAGTTTGAATTTTGTATAAAATTCTTTCGTCACTGAAAGAAGGTTTACTGGTTCACTTACAGATTTTATTGGAAAACTTTTCACGGTTAGCCGATTTTCTGCATGAATGAAGACTTTGAAACTTTTGAATATTCTAAGAAAGTATTTTTTATAAAAATTTCCAATACCCCAGTACCTGATGCACGCTCATTTGTGTTACAGAAATTAATTAGCAAAATATATCCATACGTATGTAGATAGACTCGAATATAGAGTTTATTATTATAATCTTTCATAAGATTTTACTGAAGTTTAACGCTTTCTAAAATTGTATTGTCTAAATATTATAGCTGCATGTATCGCTATTAATTTTCATTAAGGTGAAACTAGTTCAGGAAAGAGTACCATATTAAATTTAATTCTCGGTGAAGATGCAGTTCCACATCACACGCTTTGCTCGACTTCAACTATCTGTGAGGTAAAATATGGTGAAGTAAGAACTGTTGTTTTGCACGAAAAGCCCAAGAGTTGCGTTGATAGTCGACCAACGCCTAAAACAATCCAGTTACACGAGAGTTTCTGTAAAAGTTACGCTGAACAAATGGAGTCATATGTTTGTCTGCAAGAAAATGAAAGGAAAATGGGAAAGTACGAAAAAGTGGAGATTTTTTGGCCTCATGACTTTCTCAAGGTGAATTTCTTTTCAATATTCCCTGAAAGGAAACTCAAATATTAGGCATGTGCTAAAGCACTATTCATATATTATAGCAAGGAGTTGTTATTGTGGACAGTCCAGGTCTTGGTGAATCAGAACAAATGGACGAAGTATTAATGAATTATCTTCCAAATGCTTTTGCTTTCATTTACATCCTTGATGTTTCACGAGCTGGTGGTCTACAGAAAGAATCTACTATTAAGGTACTCGGTGGTGTTTTATCACGCGGGGTTTTTAATTTAAGTTAATACGAGGCACAGCAATATTGAAAAAATTCAAAGAAACTTTAAGCAAATGAAAATACACATACCGTAACCAATATAAAATATTCGAGTTGTTGAATATGACATCATATTAGATTGTTTGATCAATAAATCTACTTAATAAATGAAAGCTGTGCTATATATCAAAAATAGCTGATAAAAATGCATTCGTGCGATGTATCATGTATGTGAGTTTGGTATCATGTAATGGTATATTCCATAAAATACCATTTCATTGTCTTTCATTGCACCTGAAATTTAGGAAACAGAACGGATATAAAAAGCCATTAACTATTGTGTTATCTCTCGTAAATTCTCTGGGAAAACTCACATCTAAGTAATTCTATTTTCATATAAATTCCAATAGATGAAAAAAATAGCCGAAAAATTGCTTGACTTCAACGACGGCCTCCATAAAGGCTCAAGTCTTCAAGAATCCACGCTTTTTATTGCCAATAAGTGGGATCAAGTTGGTGAAGACAAGAAAGAGTCCGTAAGAAGCCACATAGCAAAAGTGCTCAGTAAATGCTTGGATAAATCTAACGTAGAAAAGCACATCATTACTATGTCTGCAACAAATTCTTTAAAAGTGCAACAATGTGGTGGTATTACACCAGAGTTTAATATCTTGCTTGACAGCATTGGGCAGTTGATTGTTCGAGCCGTTAACCTTAAATTATACAGCAGTTGGCGGTAGGTTGAATCAGATAGATCAACTTTTATTTTGCACAATGAACATTGAGGATCGTATAATGTCTACATATTGCAAAGTAGCGAATGCGTAAATCTGAGTAAGTTCTTTGTGCTACTTGACATACATAATAAATTATTATCATTATATCATAAAACTATGACCTAAAAATTCTATAGAAAAAATGGATTTATGTGAAAACGATATGCATTCCTATTTTTACAGTTGTCAGCTAGTCAGATCTTATATCAAACATTTTTATCTTCTGCGAATCAATTTTTGCTCTGTTTCTTTCTTTGCTGTCAAATATCATACATACTAACAGAGCATTAATATACGATGCAGTTTTGCAAAATATTTTGTTAATGTGAGCAATTGGTAACTTTTCCTCAACTAACAATTGAAACATGGTAGAACAATTGAAAAAACAGGTAATTAAAAATGATGAATGAAAAACAAAAACCTTTTATCATTAGAGTTGTCAAAATCGATAAACAGAATCAACTTATTTAAAAAACAAGATAGTTATACATATAAAATTTCCCATTTCATTCTAGCAACTGACGTCATTGTAGCATAATTTGTAGATGCCTATTTCAAAATAGTGTACGACTATTTAAAATTGCTAAAAATATATTTACATACTTCTATACCACAGGACTTTAGATATGATCATCTGGCAAGTCATTAGGCTGGCAGATTACTTTAAACATCAAGCTAAAGATTCGATACGAAGATATAGCATTATTGAATCTCGTATTAAGGATATTCAGGATCAAGAGAAGAATGAACGAAAATTACTAGAAATAGATTTGGATCCTGCAACGGAGACTGTATCTAATAAGATGAAAGACTACATTAAAACGGAAGACTTTAAAAACAGTTTCTTGACTTGGAATACCATTGGAGTAGAGAAGCTTCGTGGTAAAAATTGGGAAACAACCAGAGAGAATGTTGAAGAAGCCATTTCTGAGAAATTTTCGCTGTTATTAAGAGACTGGGAAATCAACGAACAAGTATACGAAAAAACTCATTGGATGATCGTCAACAATTACCTCAAAAAGTTTGTAAATCGACTTTAATTGGTTTTCAATCAGTCAAAAAAGTATAATCAATGAATAAAGAGGTGGTCACTAATGTAATAGAAATATGAACTAAGATATGATAATCATTGACATGAGAGCTGTATATAGGGTATAATGAAGGCTATAGAAATTGACGATATATTTTGGCCTTTTTTCATACCCATGTATTTATATGAAAACCATGTAATAAATTTACGTGAGATTATCGAATTTTATCTTTCAGATTCAGTCTTTTAAAAGAGGAGCTTGATAAAATGAGCACTTGTATTGATGACAAGATGGAGGAGAATGAACAAAGTGATTTGTCCCTTTCAACTAAAATTCTTTTCGGGCTTTCTTTTCCCCTCTGGTTACCATTTGCTGCAGCTGGAGTATTGATAAGTGCGCCAATTCTGGCCCCAATTGTAGTTACCAGAAGACTTTCTACCAACAACAACATGAAAGAGTTACTGAATTATGTAAAACGTCGATCGGAAAAGTTCCTGAACGAAAAATTAGCCGAAGAAGTTTTGGAAGAAGCAAAACAACTCACACAGAAAACCAGAAAAAAACTGAATCCTTACTCAAGCCTTATTCCACGCGTAATTGAAGCAGACAAGAAAATGGTGGTCAAGTTACGCAATGAGACACGAAGCAATCAGGAATTGGCAGAAAAATACACTCCAATTCAAAAAGAAGGTGGTGAGTTGAGAAAAAGGATGATCTCCTTAGGCTGGGAACTTTTACCAGCAACAATAAATCGCCGTGATGTAAGATGGGACAATACCTACAGAGCTGAAATCGGTGAGGGAGATTTCTCTCGCGTTTATCGTGGCATGATTAACACGAGCACAGCTGAGCCACATCTTTCAAAAGTTGCTGTGAAAGTTTTCAAACATTTATTCGATGATCTGAATGTAAGATTTTACATAGACGAGGAAGCTCTTTTAAGGTAATAGTCAAGCCGAGTGCGACTAAAAGTTTCAACCTCAAATAATAAAAATGCAGTTTTTATTACTCTAAAAATACATTTCTGTTTATCATTTATGTTATCTTGAAATTTTGATAACGTTTTTGTGATTTCCATTTTTATTTAGCACATTTTTGAATTTTTCATGAAAACTCAGATATATAAAATAATCTTCAATAATTCATTTCATACAATTTATGTAAAAAATTTTTAACAGGTGTTTAAAGCATGAAAATGTTCTTCCTTTTATTGGAGCAGTAAAGGAAGAAATTATAAAGGACGATGGTTCAAAACATTTGATACATGCTTTTGTGTTACCGTTGTGCAAGAAAAATTTCAGGAAAGTGGTGATGGATGACAATGACGTAATTCCAGCAAATTCAAATAATGTCAATGCAGCAATCGAGAAATTTGTGAGCTGGATTAAAGGGATTGCTAATGGATTGCAGTATATACATGAAATGGGTCTTGTACACCGTCATCTTAAACTTGAAAATATTTTGGTTTGTATTTAAATGCCGAAAAATCATAAAATATGTTTCTAAATATGTTAGTCAATCATTTTGTCACTAACAATTACTAATTACTCGACTATTACTCTTAGTAAAGAATTTTTAGTTTGAGGAACGAAGATTAAATTACAAAGTTTGTTTAAGGATCTCACATGCGAATATAGTTGGTCACATAACAATCATCATTTTATTTCAATATATTTTGAATGGCATTAGTTTTGAAATTTTCAAAATCAACTTTTTGGATAATCTTTTAATAAACGGTTACAACAAATTGATATTTGAAAAAATTGCAGTTGGTTGACATTATTTTTCAACTTTTTTTAGAAATATGCTTGTATAGTTTCCTTATAAATCGACTTTCGGAATTGTGATAGCATGTATATTAAAATGATAGAAATTCATATTTTGATGAGCATATATACCATAGCTTTTATTTGTTTGTACCGTCTTCCATCTCTCTGAAAGGCTTGTTATTTTAATTTACTATATTGTTCATTTAGCAATCACGGAATTTTTATTGTTTCAAAGATATGATTTAATCTCAATTATCATGCACCACTTTCTACAGATCAACGAAAACGGTGAACCAGCGATATCAGACATTGGAATTTCAGGACAATTTTACGTAACCGAGAGAAGTATGATCTACCTTGCTCCAGAAGTTTTGAAGAGCTTTGATAACATGAAGAAAGAAGCAGATATCTATAGTTTTTCAATCTTACTTTGGGAAATGTGGCATGGTGTTAAAGTCTTCGAAGAGCTTACACCTATTATAAAAGATGATTTCAAATCAAAGATCATCAACGGTTATCGACCAAAACTAGATAAGGTCATGAACTATCCACATATAAAGAGCATGATTGAGACGTGTTGGCACCATAATCCTCATCAAAGACCAATCATTCAACAATGTTTGAAGAGACTCCAAGAGAAGACCTTTATGTCAACAAATTTATAGTTTTCCTTTTATGTAGATTTCATAATGAATGAATTTCTTTCATATCAGTGATAATTTCAGTCTCTTTTCTATTGAATGCCTCTAAAATTTAATGACTGGTTGAAGACGGAAGTTTAAGAGAATTCAAGAGCCATTTGGTGCACAAAAGCAAGATGGAGTACTTAAGAAATGTTTTCAATTCTAATATGGTATAGCAAATACAATCTTGCTTTCTAACTGGAAATTGTCAATCTTATTCCTAACCTTACGTCAACAATTGGGTTCTTGTGGAACTTACTTTTCAAGTTATTTTAAGAATTTTGCTTGCTTCTAATGCACAAGTACACAAGAATTAATGATTAAACACAGCTAAACGTAGTTAAGTGAATCAAAGAAAGTGGCACAGAAAATGAAAATAGAAAAAAGAATGTTCTAAGCGACATTGTAATAGTGTTTCTGTGCAGATGATACACTGATAGCGTCGCAGCGATTATACAACACTAATCTTTGTAAGTATTCAACTGGTTATGAGAAGAAGCAGGACATATATACAAATTTCTTCATTTAATATTTTTATTTTTGCTTTCGTTCCTTTGGCAAAATCTTATTCTCTTCAGTTATGAAAACTGTAAACATCTAAACATTTTTGAAAATCTTTCGATTCAAACATTAGTTTCGATTGCAACATCGCATTTCTATAATAGCTATGTTTTGTTGAAAATATTTGATTGTTTGACAAGTGCCTATAGAATGAAAAAACAAAAAGAAGCTCGAGTTTGTTTTGTTTACAAAACGTTTGTCATTCCGATAGGTTTTCACGCGCCAACGCGATCTTATCAGCTCACGCACATTCTATGACAAAACTTTATTTAATAATCTCCACAAACAAGCAGGAACAAAGAATATTCGTTCACAAATTGAATCCAATCATTCTATGATTAGATAAAGTTGAATGTATATAATAAATGCACAACCTACTAAGAAAATCTCATGAACTTTGCTCAAAGAAAAGTTAAGAATTTTTATGCAATTCATGCTGTCTTTAAAATCAATACGCACACTTAAATCTTCAATTTTCAGGCATCAACATTTGTCAGGCATAACAACTAATATTGAAGATTATTGTTAAATGCTGACGTACTTTAAGTGAATTACTGTAGAAGAATTCTTCGCATAAGTGCATTATTTATTTCATCCGCTGCATAGAATGTTTTCAAAGAACTCAACGGTGCATATATCCTTCATATCAAAGTATGATAACGTTGAGCAACTGACTCTGCTTTTATATTAGTTGGTCAAATATGTCCTCGCTGTTGTTGGTGTGTTAACTTTTTCCGAAGCAGGTTAGTTGAAAAATGTTGAACATTGATTGTATAAGCAAACATAAGCAAACTTATATTTGGCCTTCAAACATTCTTTTATTAGATTAAAACAATTTCCTTGTAATATCTTAGTTGCCAAATCCTTCTTCCTTAATTTAAGTAACCATCAAAATTTTCATTGCATTGTAAAATTTATATATTTAAGATAATGATTTTATCATCGCTTCAGTTAAGTTTTTTTCTTTAAATTAACGCAGCACATATAGATTTATGATTTGACAGCATCTTTAAAGACGACTGGTGTTTTGACAAGCTCAATATAATAACTTAATGTTGCTGACATTTATTTCGCTTATTTTTAATGAGACATCCAAAGGCTACTGCCAAGAACATGTATCAGTAAACAACAAGCCTAAAAAATGAAGTCATTGTTGAAGAGAAAGTGACGTTTGCTTATATTGACATAACTTTGATCAATTAATTAATGATCAAATACTTAGAATGCTACAAGTTTCCTCAATTCATTATGGAAACCTGTGAAAGTTTCCGTGCTTACATGCAACATGTTTACATAGATACACAGATGAAAGCCAACTAGTAAATATCATTGATTCCTAACTTCCTCGTTCATGTATGCATGCTGAGATTGGCTGCATGCAAATTAAAAAACATACAAACACATAGCTCATCCATTAAACTCTATGCATTAAACTCTGTATATATGGGTTATTTTTGTAGCAGTCACTTTGATTGAAACTGGGAATCTCATTAAACTATGTTCAAAGCAAGTCATATCTGTACCTATCATCAAACGAAAATTACCTAGCACAAAGAAAAAATCCATTAAAATATTACTATTGTTCACGACACGTAATGTAATTTTTTATATTAAAAGTATTACACAAAACAAAGTATTACATAAAACAAAGTAAACTTTTACAAAAGCCATTAAACTAAAATACATGGTGGAACACTATATGAAGCAAATAATTGAAGCCAAATCTTAAACCCAGACACGCGAAATTACACCCAGACACGCGTGTGTAGTGTTTCGAGATTTTCTCGCGGAGTGAATATTGATTGAACTACATGCGCGTGTCTGGGTATAATCATGCGTGTCTGGGTGTAAGATTTGGCTTCAACAAATTATCACGATTTTCTATTACAGATAGCGTTCCATGTATTTTAGTTCAATGACAAAAACATGCAAAGATTGTACCATCACCAATTCTACATTTTGACCATTAATTTTTAAAACAAAACAATTATAGATAAAAGAAATTTGCAAAATGCCACGAAAGAGCGTTGACAGTCTACAACTTCACGAGATCCTAGAGATAGTTCGCATTTTGAACATTAAATACGACGACGAGACTGCGTCTCTAAGCAGTTTGAAGTCAATACTAAAAGAGAGAATTCGTGATCAAACTTCCAGAAGTGGAATATACGCGAATGGAATTTCGGTACAAACAATGAATATTAGAATTGTGTGATGGCTTAAGTTTATGAAGAAAGCATTTACATTAATTAGGGTGCTGAAGTTGTGGAGAAAGCAAAGTCAAGAGACAACCGAAATAGAGCTGCTTTGTTACACTACAACGAAAAAATCAATGAGTGTTTACACCGTCTTGGGGATGTAGATTTTCCAATATTAAACGACCTTCTTAATATCAAAGTTGATGTTCGACAGTACATTAACGACATTCAAAAATCATTGGAAAAAAAGAAATATTATCTTCTAATTGCAGGTAAAAAACCTCAGCAGACTATGCGATAAAAATTGAATAATTTGAATAATTTGTTAATTTGAATCTGGGTTGAGCTCATCAAACTCAGCGCATTCTAAACTTTTAATTTATATATGGAATGACATATGTACTATGGTTAAATTCCATTTCATAATATTCACAAGAAATCTTTCCTTACTTTACTTTTACAAAGAAGCCCCACCTGAAGTTTTTAGTAAAACTACACGTGCAATATCATGTGTTTTGATTCTTTCGTGAAGGTGAAACAAGTGCTGGAAAAAGCACTATACTAAATTTGATTCTTGGTGAAGATGCAGTGCCGCATCATACTCTTCATTCGACTTCAACAATATGCGAGGTTAAATTTGGCAAAGACAAAGAAATGATTGTACACTATAAATATGAAAACGTACAAAAAAGACGACGTGCTCCCAAAGTCGTTAGTCTGGAAAGAAATGAAGAATCTGAGCAGAGTTATGCTGAGCGAATCGGTTCATATGTTAACCCCGAGAACACGAGGGAAACACGAGAAATTGAAAGAGTAGAAATATTTTGGCCACATGATTTACTGAAGGTTTACAACTACACATTTTTACTCTTTGATAGGCCAGTGCGTAACGTTAGAATTTTCTTCAATTTCCTTAAGCTTTCATTTGTAATTTGCAGCAAGGAATTGTTATTGTGGACAGTCCAGGTCTTGGTGAATCAGAAAAAATGGACGAAATTTTAATGAACTATCTTCCAAATGCTTTTGCATATATTTATATTCTTGATGTTGCACGAGCTGGTGGTGTGCAAAGAGAATCTACAATGAAGGTACTTCAAAACTTTTGCAGCATTTTTTTGCAACAAAATCTCTACTTTCCATGATTGACTTAAGATTCATTCACAAATAAATGTAAATTGAGGTAGCCAAATTGCTAATGTCTGATGCATTTTATGAACTACAACTAAGCAAATTACTATTTGTTATAAATGTTTTCAATAATGATTTTATTTATACTTGATATTTTCGGCTTCGATATTTTGAACTTAAAGATGCGCCAACAGTTATTGTCTTTTTTCAAGTTTTTAAGCATGAATATTGAAAACATTTCTGAAAAATGTAAATGAAAAATGTCAAAAACACAGAATTTAATTCAACCAATTCAAACACGTGGTAATCATAAGATGTTTATCTCTTCAGATGAAAAAAATGGCCGAGAAACATGAAACGTCTAATGCTGGCCGTCATTGTATTAACCTTCTCGCAGAATGCACACTTTTTGTAGCAAATAAATGGGATCAAGTAGAAAAGAAAGAGCAAGATTCCGTAAGAAAACACCTTGAAAAACAGCTAGCTGAATGCTGGGAAGTTGCCAATACAAAGAAGCACATTCTAACAATATCTGCAAAAAATGCCATTAAAGTGCAAGAATGTGGCGGCATTTCTCCAGAGTTTCAAAGATTACTAGACAGTATTAGGCAACTAATACTACGTGCGATTGACATTCGACTGTACGACAATTGGCAGTAAGTTGGTCACAAGATTCGGTATATCACAAGCTTTTTATCTACAGGCAGCATGGAACAGCTTAAATCAAATAGATTTTTATCTGCAGTAAGGGATTTCCATAAGTGGATATTTCCATGTTCTCCTCCAGAATATTAATAAACTAAGATAAAAGAATGATTTAGTTGTTGCGAGAAAAAATGATTTGTGCTCAGCTATATTCATGATGGCTGAAAAGTAATATTAGCTTTTTTGCCAATCATGCAGTTCATAGTTATAGTTTTAGTTATAGCTTTTTTCTTTGAACTTGATTTTCAGTATCTGATTGTGTTGTTTCAGGAAATTAGATACGATTCTGTCTCAGATTTTCAAGTTGGCAAATTTCTTTAAAGTCCAGGCTAATTTAGTACAAGGAAATAATCGCAAAAGAATAGATTCACTCGAATGTCGAATTAAAAAAATCCAAAGTCAAAATGAGGATGAAAGCGAAAAAATAAGAACGGAGTTACAATCTAAAACAAAACCTTTTTCTGATATGATGAAAGAATACATAAAAATGAGTGAATTTGAAGAAAAATTCTATTCCTGGAACACCGATGATGTGGATCAAATGCTCGAGCACAAATGGAAATTGACAAAAGGAAATATCGATAAATCAATTGCTGAAAAGTTTTTGCAACTTATAAATGAATGGGAAATGAAAGAACAAATTCATGAAAACATCCACTGGGAAACTATTGATCGTTACTTGAAAAGGTTGTTTTGATCGTGATTGATCAAAGTACAGTAATTATGAATAATGAAAGCCTACTTTTATTTTTAATTGATAACCTAAAAACATAACCTAACAAAGTTAAACTTAAATCGTATACGACTGGGATTGGCTTTCCCCTGTGTGTTTGCGACGACTTCATTCACCCAAGCTTTAATCTCAACAAAAATTGAATCTTCTCTTTAGCTTACACGTCTTTAAAGAAGAACTTGACCGTTTGGGAAACGATGGCAATAGCCTGAAGTGGCAAGCTGAAAATTTGACACGCCGAAGCCAGCAATCCCTCCCGACAAAAGTTTTTGTTGGAGCCATGCTGCCCATATGGTTACCCGTTGCTGCTGCGGGTGTTCTTATTGGTGCACCAGTACTGGGTACAGTTGTATTTGCAAAGGAAGTTAATTCCCATAAAGCATTGCGTAAATTTGAAGAAAACCCTTATCAATATTTGCGACATCGCTCGAAAAAATTTTTGGAGGAAAAAAAAGCCCAACCAATTCTTGAAGAGGCGCAAGCACTAATAAATAAAACTGAAGAGATTGTGTCGATTTATTCAAATCTCATTCCACATGTAGTAGAAGGTGATAAGAAAATGGTGAAGAAGTTGAGTGATGATTCACGTAGTAATCAGGAGATGGAACATCATTATGCTCCTATTCAGGAAAAGAGCGAAGAACTGAGAGATAAGATAACACCGTTGGGACTGAAGTTGTTTCCATCGACAATAGACAAACGTGATTTAACATGGGAACCTAAACTTCTGTCTCATATTGGAGAAGGAGAGTTTGCTCAAGTTTATCGCGGAAAAAAAAATTGTGAAGCGGTCTGAATCGTCCATACCATTACTAGAAAACATTGCCTTGAAAGTTTTCAAAAATCCATTTGACCAAATGAATGGAAGATTTTATTTGAATGAGCAACTTGATGTAAGGTAATTGTATTTTATGCTTGTCTTTTAAATTTCATTCAACTTTCATTGAATTGGTTAACTTTCTTGGGGAATTTTATTTGCTTCCCCATCCTAAGGTTTTTCAGATACATTGCGTTGTATTTTAGGAATTCATTGTCAAATTTACCCTAACAAGTAGGTTATCTACCAAAATCAATAATTTCGTAACTACCTGTCCAAGAGCATCTGCGAGTAAATGTTTCAATTTACATTTCCTTGACCACTTTAGAGTGAATCATTTTTCTATTTTAATTCTAGCAAACATTGTAATTTCAAATAATTTCAATGCAAACATGTACAATAGCATTGCAAAAATTAAACTATCAACTGTTTTGAAATCATGGCAGTGGTAGATATAGTTTGTTCTTAATTGCACACAAAATTATAGTATTGCCCTTACTAATCTATCAAAATTACGTATACTTAGACATTTGAAACATGACAACGTTCTTCAACTTATTGGAGTGATGAAGCAAGATGACCCACAGAAGTATATTTTCATAATGCCACTTTGCAAGAAAAGCCTTCGGAGAGTCATTTTTGACAATCCAAAAAATGTCCCAGCTCAATCCCACAACACAAAATTGGCAACATTGAATTATAAGAGATGGGCAAAAGAAATTGCAAACGGGCTAAACTACGTCCATGAGAGGGGTCTCGTACATCGACATCTTAAATTGGAAAATGTTCTGGTTCGTATGCTTTTCATTTTACATATCAAGAAATTAGCAACAACACTTTGAGTAAAGAATGCCAGAAGCAGTTGACAAGTCAATGATGGGGATGATATTACATAATGTCAATGTTACACATGTTGGGCAATAATTCTTTTTTTAAAGAACTAAATAATTGAGACTGTAGCATATATTGCAGCGTTTACGAATGATTCAATTAATCACTTGGCTTTTTTAAATTGCTTTCCTTGAGGTCTTGAATGGTTTTGTTATAAATAAATACATAAATTTTAGTAGAATTATTATCTAATTTTAACGACCCTATGATAACACATTGAAACCAGCTAAAATAAACCAAACGTAATTATCCATGAGAGAAGTACCTTTTTGTTTAGAACGAACGAATAACAGCATTAAAAATTTTAACAATAACAGTATTCCCACCATCAATGCTAAGATAACTAATAAAGTTAAACAACAAATTACAGATCTACGAAAACTTTCAGAAATTTATCATTTAATCCAGTGAAGGAATAAAGTATAATGATTGAATATAATTACAATTGAATAAATAAATTCAGAGTTGCTGGACCTTTTTCAAGACATATTCTCTCTGTGATTTTTCCACAAATGGCAAATGTAAGAAGTGCTGCTGTCACAAATAGTGTTGCAATAAAAATACTTAAAAAACTAAGGAAACTGTGTTTTGAATTATCAAAATGTAGCTGTGGAATATAGCAATTTTTGTTTCAAAATTTAGATAAAAAAAACTTAACACTTTTTGTAAATTACACAATCGCCTAGATTACTACGTTTTACAACATTCAAAAAGAGCAGGCAGCTTACACGGTTGATGTACTACATTATAAAGATGGATTTTAACACATTGACATTTTCTAGATAAAAGACAACGACGTAGCAGCGATATCTGATGTTGGAATTGTTGGTGAATTCAAGGAAACTGAAAAAAGTATCATTTACCATGCACCAGAAGTACTGGAAAACTTGCATCATATGACAAAAGCTGCAGATATTTACAGTTTTGGTATCATGCTTTGGGAGATGTGGTATGGTGTCGTGGCTTTCGAGGAACTCATGCCAATTGTGAAAGAGGAATTCAAATCAAAGGTCATCAAAGGTCACAGACCAAAAAATGACGAAAATAAAATTACCATTCCCATGATGCAAAATTTGATGACGTTTTGCTGGTTGCATAAACATGATCAAAGACCGACAAGTAAAATGTGTTTTCAAATGTTAGAAAATTAAAAAGTTGGAAGAACATCACGAGGTCCTAGGAAGTTTTCATTTACAAACTATATGATGTGTTATCCATTTGCGCATGAAATAAATCACGAGGTCCTAGGAAGTTTTCATTTACAAACTATATGACGTGCTATCCATTTGCGCATGAAATAAATCACGAGGTCCTAGGAAGTTTTCATTTACAAACGATATGACGTGTTAGCCATATGCGTTAGCCATACGTGTTAGCCATATGACATAAATAAGCGTTTTAATGCTTTATTAATATTAGATTTTAATTGTCGTGTTAAAAATATGTAGACGTTTTTATGGCTGATAATGTGTTAATAAATGCCATAGAAACGCATTAGATAGAGTTTGAGATGGCCATACTGTTTCTAAATTTCAGAAAATAAATATATGGATTAAGCATAGCTACTTCGTAAATTTTGCTAAACTACATATGATATCAACTTTGTGAACCAATAATATGTTTAAAAAACCTATTGCTTAAGAATTATCATATAATTGCCTTAAAACGCAATAATTTCGTAATATGAGTCAAATAGATCGATACTGCATATAAATCAAAACGTTTACAGACTTTATATGGTACCGTTTTCAAGGAAATCTAATTACGTGAACAGAGATTTCAGACAACAATCCACGTAAAAAAACTATGTGCAGACTGCAGTGGTCAAATAATTCTTTCAAAATATAAAAGTTTTTGGTCATTTGTAGAAACAGTGTTTCTTCTCTTAGTGGGCGTGGAGGGAAAACCTCTGGATCCGGTAAAAAAATCTTTCTGGCAAACAAAACAATCAAAAGAGCAAAAAGTGTTTTGTTTTAGTTTTTCGTGTTTCTTAGAATTCGTTGATCCTGACGCTGTGATAAAATATTTTAATAGGTAATAGTTCGTATTAAATTGAGCTGGTAACAAACGTTACTGTTTGTTTTCAGTAACATTCATTCAGCTGTAAACTTTCTCTTGAAGGTTATGTAAGCGGTAAAATTTAATTACAGTTTACTCACTTCAGCTGACTTATAAGCACAGCATGACTTTCCCTTTCCTCAACTGGTAAGTTATTTAGCGTTTCATATTTTCTATAAATAAACAAAGCAAAAATATAAAAATCGGAGTTAAAGCACAGCAATCTGTCGTACAAAATCTAATTTTACTCACGCCTTATTTTTTCCTTTTCGTGAATTCTCCTGCGAGCCACTCGCTTGTGTTGCTTGCTTTAAGTTATCATCATACTAGACGTAAATTTGCGAAGAATTCGCGACAAATTCTCATAATGCAAGAGCAGCACAACGACAATTTACGGCTTAGTAAGAACTTCTTCGTACAGGATACAACTTTTGAAAATCCTTCTTACTAAGTTTCTTCCAATTGTGTGGTTGAAAAGCTCCTGGGGAGCTAATTTCACGTGCTAGGAATCAAAAATCATCTCTGAAATAAGAATGAAGTGTTTCTAAATCAGTCGGAATGTATAAGCTAAAATTGTTGTTCAATTAAATCAATGACGAAACTTGGCAGCTTTCCTTAAAAAAACTGCATTTGTTTTTCTTTGTTGTCATGGTAATTATAGGTATCTGATTCCAGAATACGAAATTTTAAACTCTTGTTTCTTCGTATAGATTGCGAATCTAACCCTACTGCAGAAGACATGGCCACCCTTTTTTTGTTATTCTTTAGAGCAATTCTCTAAAGATGAGGGAAACCAGCGTTTTGCCGCTCAAAGATCTACGAAAACCAGTCAGTAGATGCACATTACATGGGATTTCATTTTTATGGCCTTAAATTATGTTTACTAAGTTTATTAGACTGTCTTTATCTTTACATGGTTGTTGGAATAGGTGACTATGGCAATATGCACGTATCCTTGTAAAAAACCGAAAACTTCATGTAAGCCATTTTTGACCACTTTCAACTTCGCCATTTTTTTCCTATGCGCGTCGACTCTATATTCAACTTAAACCTTTGCACATTGCATCTGATACAAAAAACAAACATTGAATTGCCATGTCTTCTTCATGAAAACAAACGACATTAAAAAATTTTAAATATGTTTTAATGATTTAAAACGTTTATGAATCAAAAGGTATATTAGTAAACCATTAATGTAAACTGCTCAGCTTTATAACTTACTTGTCATGAGGTAAACGAATCACGAACTTACCAACCCACACAAGACAATGCATTTGAGTGATGGCGAAGTTATTTATTTATTCAACGCATCACGAATATATAGCAATAATATATGCAACACAATCAATTGTTAAAGCTGCAGACAAAAACGTTTATGGTATTTCATTAGTACGGCATTATAAGCAAACTGTAAGCAAGAAAACCTGTCAATTGTCAAAACAATTTTTACTGATAAATTATGGTAAAGCTAGAGCTTGTCAGATAAAGAATTAAGTAAGTGAAGCGTAAGCTATGATTGTTAAAGGATCCTGTTTATCATAATGATAGCTAAATTGTTGTCTTTGTCTTTTTCTTATCTTGAAGAGGCCCTATTTGAAGCCTTCGACAGCAATTACTAGACTAAAAATCATATACTAAACAATTAGCATTCTGAATGGATTTTGATGTAAGGCTAGTTTTTCATTTCAACAATTTTTCGTATTGAAGATTCTTATCAAATTAAACGTTTTCGTGTTGATAGCAACCTTTATATGAATTTTTATGAAACACACAATGCACACCAGGAGACCTCACTCCCCCACCAGCAACAAGTTTTGGTATGAGTGGAATTTTGACACTTCTCCATTGAAAACCAAGTGAGCGAATCATAATTATCTAAATATATAACTCCGACTCCGAAGAAGCTGATATCAACTGCAAATAACAACAAGATTTTAGGCTTTATGAAATTATAAGTTTTCACCGACAAGTAATTTACCTCAAAGACGACATGCCTACCATCACAACACTATTATATATATAATGGCTAAATTGGACGGAAGACAGCTATAAATAAACTATAATAATACGTGTCAGGTAATGTGTAATGCATTTTGGTAAATACAGTCTTATACTTGCATTTAGTTGTACGATTCACCAAGTGTGGAATATGTGAATGTTTGTTTAAATAGAAATTATTGTGAAAGAATATGTCAGCATTGATAAAAAGAAATCGTTGTAATGAACCTTACAGTTCAGCTTCGAAAACAATATTATTTTACATAAAGACAGAATCAAATTATTCAATTTCTCAAAGAAGAATAATAAGCTAAAATTACGTCCTCATACTTAAGGTGTAAACGAAGACAATTCTCACTGTAGCTTTTAGGAAAGGACAAATAACTAAATACCCAGCGGTCCAAGCATTAGAAGGAAAGTAAAAAGGACGAACACTCAAACGAGTTGTATCATGAGTTTCAAACAACACAATTTCAGAGGATTTACTTTTTACAGACGAAAACAAGGAAGTGAAGGCCAACTTTTGCAAAACAGCAAAAGAAAGATTCGTTTCATGTCGAATAATGCCATATATAGTTTTTTTTGTTAAATTATTCGCGATTCTGCAATAACGCTCGGAAAATGTATGAAATATTAGGATTTTTATTCTTGAACAAAATAACAAGTTGAGTATCTGCGAACAACAAAATTACCATAACAAGTTCTGTATGTCACTTAATATGACATGTGTCAAATCTACTTAATACTATATTGTTTATATCTTTTCGGTTAATGTTCGTATCTTAACACTCCCTTTCGAAAAATATAAACTAATCACTATTCCTTTAAATGTTTGTTACTCCCATATTAGATCTCATTCGTTGAAATACAGTTTTTCCTAATGGTTTCGTTAACATATCAGCAACCATTTGTTGTGACGTACAATACTCAAGTGCAATTTCTTTCTTCAGTACTTTGTCGCGAATGAAATGATATTTTATGTCAATGTGTTTCGTTCTTGGATGGTATTTCGGATTTTTCGACAAACTTATTGCTCCTTGATTATCCTCTTTTATGATAGTTGGTTTCTTTTGAGTGAAGTTTAAATCACGTAGTAATCCTCTTAACCATATTGCTTCTTGACATGCTTGTGATGCTGCAACATACTCAGCTTCAGTAGATGAGAGAGCTACAATACTTTGCTTTTTGCTTGCCCAACTTACCAATCCACCACAAATCATGAATAGGTATCCTGAATGTGATTTTCGATTATTTGGATCACATCCCCAATCAGCATCAACAAATCCACTTAATTTGACTTCAGATTCCTTATGTCCATCAAAGCAAATGCCGTAGTTAATCGTACCTTTAATGTAACGTAAAATACGTTTGGCAGCATTCCAATGGTTTTGGCTAGGGTTAGCACAGAATTGATTAACTGTTGAAAGTGCTTGTGCCAGGTCTGGTCTTGTCGCTGTAACTGCATACGTTAATGCACCAATTAATGCTTGATATTTTGTTATGTTCGTTGGCTCTCCTTCATTATTCAACAACTTGGTTCCGAGCTCAACGGGGGTTGCAACAGGTTTGCAGTCTTGCATTCCAAATCTCTTCAATAAATTCGTCAAATACTTTGATTGATGAAGTCGCATTTGTTTCTTTTCCCTGTCTCGTTGAATTTGAATGCCAAGACAGAAATGAATTTCACCTCGATCTTTCATTTCAAAGCGTTTCTTTAAAATACCTTTCTCCTCTTCTAGCATTTTCTTGTTGTTACTTGCAAGAATCAAATCATCGACGTATAACGCTAAAAGCATGATATTATCTCTCTTTCGTTTAATGTACGGGCACGGATCAGAATTGGATTGAACGTAAGCGGATTTCTTTAAGAACTGATCAATGGTATCAAACCAGCATCTCGAAGATTGCTTCAAGCCATATATGCTTTTGTTTAATTTACAGACCTTCTGTTCTTGTCCCTTTTTCTCATATCCTTCAGGTTGCTTCATGTATATTTCCTCTTTGAGTTCGCCGTTCAGAAATGCCGTCGAAACATCCATTTGGTGTACGTCCAAATCTAACTGATTAGCAATTGCCAAGAGAGAGCGAATCGATGTATATTTTGCTACTGGAGAAAATGTTTCTTCATAATCTAAACCATATTCTTGTAAGTATCCTTTAGCAACTAACCGAGCTTTATGCCGTTCAATTGAACCGTCTGCTTTGTACTTTAATTTTCTTGTTAGTGAGATTGGTCACTATTGCTTCAAACTCTTTAAATTTCTCAAAAGCTTCATCCTTACTCTTCATAAAGTAGACTGTTGTATACCTTGATTTATCATCAATAAATGTTATGAAATATTTATTTCCACCAAGACTTGTTTCTTCCATCGGTCCACAAACATCGCTATGGACAAGATCAAGTACATCTTTAGCACGCGTTGCAGGTTCTCGAGGAAAGGTTGCTCGTATCTGCTTTCCTTGTGCACATCCTTCACAAACTTCAAAGTGATCATCGGATTGAAAATTAAGACCTTTAACCAACTTTTGATCTCGAAGTAGACGTAAATTCTTCAGGCTTAGATGGCCATAACGTTGATGCCATATTTCTTCGCTAGTATCACTTGTAGAAACATTCGCATGCTTTGAATCATCCTGTTCTTCTTTAACATCAAGAACATACAGGTTATTTATCATTCTTCCTGATCCAGATATAGATCCATTTTGATCAAGTATCAAGCAAGTATGTTGATTAAATTCAACTGAGTATCCTCGTTTTGCCGTAGCACTAACTGAGAAGAGATTTTTTCCTAAATCTGGAACATATAGAACATCAACCAATCTTCTTGGTTCATACTTCTTCTTAGACTTAATCTCAATGTGTACATTTCCTTTTCCCAGTGCTTGAACTATTCTGTCATCTCCTAGCTTTACCTTTTCAGAGAATTTGAATGGGATGAAATCAACCATGATGTCCTTATTATATGACATATGAGATGATGCACCTGAATCAATGTACCATGCAGATTCTTTGCTATCTGTAAACAATGATGAATTCTGAACTGTGGCTCCGTAAGATGCATCTTCCCTTTTATTTCTATTGTCACTTTGCTGATTTTGTTTGGGTTTGCGACATTCTCTAGCCCAATGTCCAGGTAGCCCGCAGTTATGGCATTTACCTTTTCTTTTGAATTTGGTATTCTTAAATTTGTCGTGTTTGGACTTTTGACATAGTAGTGCTTTCTCACCAATATCCTTACTTTCGTTGGATTCTTTACGTTTCTGTTCTTCGTGAAGAAGTCTAGCAGTAACGAATTCTAATGATAAGTCATCCGCTCTAGATTCCAATGCTGTTATTAAGCCACTGTACGAATCGGGTAAACTACAAAGGAGTGTCGCCACTTGATCTTCCTCAGAAACAGACGCACCCAATGCTTCTAATTGACTTGCAATATCCTTCATCTTGTTGAGATGTTCGGTCATGGAATCATCAGGACCCATACTTGTAGTGAAGTATTTCTTTCGCAAGAATAACTTATTGGCCAAAGATTTGACTTCATAATGACTTTCTAATTTCGCCCAAGCATCTTTTGCAGTACGCGCTGATCGAACGAGAGATAGCTGTTCATCGCCGAGAGACAAACATATTGTTGCAAATGCCTTCCTTTCCCGCCTTTGATATTGTCGACGTTGAGTATCAGTAGTTCCTTCACCATTAGGTTCTACCTCATCGCCGATAACTATTTGCCAGAGATCCTTCTCTTCAAGTATCATCTGCATCTTAAACTTCCAAAGGTGAAAGTTTTGGCCATTGAACTTTTCGATCCGTGTAAATGCTTCGTCATTTCCCGAAGTCGCCATATTCAATATTTCGCACTTATGTAAGTTATATTCTCATGAAATCGCGATATCTCATATACTTTCCGTATTTGCCGTCATAAACAGAAACTCAAACGCTCCTGGGCCCATAACCTGTTAAATTATTCGCGATTCTGCAATAACGCTCGGAAAATGTATGAAATATTAGGATTTTTATTCTTGAACAAAATAACAAGTTGAGTATCTGCGAACAACAAAATTACCATAACAAGTCTGTATGTCACTTAATATGACATGTGTCAAATCTACTTAATACTATATTGTTTATATCTTTTCGGTTAATGTTCGTATCTTAACATTTTTTACCAACCTTTCGCTTGGTTTAAATAGAGTTAATGATAATATAATTGTTGTTATATGTTCCATACCAATAATTTCATCCTTATGACAATTTAGACTGTCAGAAGATGGCAAAACGAAATATAGACATTTTAAACCTCAATGAAATCCTTAAAATATTCAATATTCTGAAAATTGAATACGATGAAAATAACACCCTACCAGTATTCAAGGGAATTCTTAAAAAGAAAATGGAAGAGCAGGGCTTTGACAATGGAGTACATCCGGTAAGGATGCATGACAAAACGTACCATCGGTTATATATGAGCGTACTTCGACGATAAGTTTCCATTTGATATTTACAATGAGAGTAGTGGCTGCATTTAAAACGAGGTTTTTCATGCACATATATTGGTTAAGTTACATGCATTTACTAAACTTATTTAATTGGTTTACATGAAAAAAATTTTTGAGTAACGATAAAGGGTGCATTTCATTCTCTAAACGCTCAAGTAGAACATGTATGTAGAAAAGAGAAAATATAAATAATGGATGGGAGTTTGGAATCTGTTTAGCCAAAAACTCTACAGCTTACTCTCATAGTTGAAAATTTTGAAAGAAAAAAACAAGAAAACAGAATACTTCTATATTTTTAGGCAGTTTTTGCAGTAAGAGAAGCAAAGTTGAAAGATATTTCAAAGAGTGAAGCTCCATTAAAATATATCCATACGTATGTAAATAGACTCGAATATAGAGTTTATTATTATAATCTTTCATAAGACTTTACTGAAGTTTAACGCTGTCTAAAATTGTATTGTCTAAATATTGTAGCTGCATGTATCGCTATTAATTTTCATTAAGGTGAAATTAGTTCAGGAAGTAGTACCATGCCAAATTTAATTCTCGGTGAAGATGCAGTTCCACATCACACTCTTTGTTCGACTTCAACTATCTGTGAGGTTAAATATGGTGAAGTAAGAACGGTTGTTTTACACGAAAAGCTCAAGAGTTGCGTTGATAGTCGACAAACGCCTACAACAATCCAGTTACAACACGAGAGTTTCTGTAAAAGTTACGCTAAACAAATGGAGTCATATGTTTGTCTGCAAGAAAATGAAAGGAAAATGGGAAAGTACGAAAAAGTGGAGATTTTTTGGCCTCATGACTTTCTCAAGGTGAATTTCTTTTCAATATTCCCTGACAGGAAACTCGCATGTGAGATCCTTAAACAAACTTTGTAATTTAATCTTCGTTCCTCAAACTAAAAATTATTTAATAAGAGTAATAGTCGAGAAATTAGTAATTAAATGAAAATATGATCTTCGCACTTTGCTGGACAATTTAAGCAATTGTCTCATGAACCTGAAAAATTTAGGTGACTCAACGGGATTCGAACCCATGACCTCTGTGGTGCCGGTGCAGTGCTCTGACCAACTGAGCTATGTGTGACTTCATAGCTCAGTTGGTCAGAGCCATTTGGTGCACAAAAGCGAAATGGAGAAATGTTTTCAATTCTAATATGGTATAGCAAATGCAATCTTGCTTTCTAACTGGAAATTGTCAATCTTACTCCTAACCTTACGTCAACAATTGGGTTCTTGTGGAACTTACTTTTCAAATTATTTTAAGAATTTTGTTTGCTTCTAATGCACAAGTGCACAACAATTAATGACAAAACACAGCTAAATGTAGGTAAGCGAATCAAAGAAAGTGGCACAGAAAATGGAAATAGAAACAAGAATGTTATAAGCGACACTGTAATAGTGTTTCTGTGCCGATGATGATACACTGATAGCGTCGCAGCGATTATGCAACACTAATCATAGTAAGTAGTCAACTGGTTATGACAAAGAAGCAGGAAATATATACATTTTGATTTCGTTTCTTTGGCAAAATCTTATTCTCTTCAGTTTTGAAAACTGTAAACATCTGAACATTTTTAAAAATCTTTCGATTCAAACACTAGTTTCGATTGCAACATCGCATTTATATAATAACTATGTTTTTGTTGAAAATATTTGATTGTTTGACAAGTGCCTATAGAATGAAAAAACAAAAAGAAGCTCGAGTTTGTTTTGTTTACAAAACTTTTGTCATTCCGATAGGTTTTCACGCGCCAACGCGATCTTATCAGCTCACGCACATTCTATGACAAAACTTTATTTAATAATCTCCACAAACAAGCAAGAACAAAGAATATTCGTTCACAAATTGAATCCAATCATTCTATGATTAGATAAAGTTGAATGTATATAATAAATGTACAACCTACTAAGAAAATCTCATGAACTTTGCTCAAAGAAAAATTAAGAATTGTAGAAAAGAAATTTTATGCAATTCATGCTGTCTTTAAAATCAATACGCACACTTAAATCTTCAATTTTCAGGCATCAACATTTGTCAGGCATAACAACTAATATTGAAGAGTATTGTTTAATGTTGACGTACTTTAAGTGAATTACTGTAGAAGAATTCTTCGCATAAGTGCATTATTTATTTCATCCGCTGCATAGAATGTTTTCAAAGAACTCAACGGTGCATATATCCTTCATATCAAAGTATGATAACGTTGAGCAACTGACTCTGCTTTTATATTAGTTGGTCAAATAGGTCCTCGCTGTTGTTGGTGTGTTAACTTTTGCCGAAGCAGGTTAGTTGAAAAATGTTGAACATTGATTGTATAAGCAAACATAAGCAAACTTATATTTGGCCTTCAAACATTCTTTTATTAGATTAAAACAATTTCCTTGTAATATCTTAGTTGCCAAATCCTTCTTCCTTAATTTAAGTAACCATCAAAATTTCCATTGCATTGTAAAATTATAATATATTTAAGATAATGATTTTATCATCGCTTCAGTTAAGTTTTTTTCTTGAAAATAACGCAGCACATATAGATTTATGATTCGAGAGCATCTTTAAAGACGACTGGTGTTTTGACAAGCTCAATAAAATAACATAATGAAAGAATCTTCATTCAAAATAACTTAATGTTGCTTACATTTATTTCGCTTATTGTTAATGAGACATCCGAAGGCTGCTGCCAAGAACGTGTATCAGTAAACAACAAGCTTAAAAAATGAAGTCATTGTTGAAGAGAAAATGACGTTTGCTTATATTGACATTACTTTGATCAATTAATTAATGATCAAATACTTAGAATGCTACAAGTTTCCTCAATTCATTATGGAAACCTGTGAAAGTTTCCGTGCTTACATGCAACATGTTTACATAGATACACAGATGAAAGCCAACTAGTAAATATCATTGATTCCTAACTTCCTAGTTCATGCATGCATGCTGAGATTGGCTGCATACAAATTAAAAAACATACAATCACATAGCTCATCCATTAAACTCTGTGCATTAAACTCTGTATATATGGGTTATTTTTTGTAGCAGTCACTTTGATTGAAACTGGGAATCTCTTGAAACAATGTTCAAAGCAAGTCATATCTGTACCTTTCATCAAACGAAAATTACCTAGCACATAGAAAAAACCATTAAAATATTACTATTGCTCACGACACGTTGATATAATTTTTTATATTAAAAATATTACACAAAACAAAGTAAACTTTTACAAAAACCATTAAACTAAAATCCAAGGTGGAACGCTACATGAAGCATACAATTGAAGCCAAATCATAAACCCAGACACGCGAAATTACACCCAGACACGCGTGTGTAGTGTTTCGAGATTTTCTCGCGGATTGAATATAGATTGAACTACATACGCGTGTCTGGGTATAATCTTGCGTGTCTGGGTGTGGCATCAAAAAATTATCACGCTTTTTCTATTACAGGTAGCGTTCCATGTATTTTAGTTCAATGACAAAAACATGCAAAGATTTTACCATGACCAATTCTACATTTTGACCATTAATTTTTAAAACAAAACAATTATAGATAAAAGAAATTTGCAAAATGCCACGAAAGAGCGTTGACAGTCTACACCTTAAAGAGATCCTAGAGATAGTTGACATTTTGAAAATTGACTACGTCGAAGAGACAGCGTCTCTAAGCAGTTTGAAGTCAATACTAAAAGAGAGAATTCGTGATCAAACTTCCAGAAGTGGAATATACGCAAATGGAATTTCGGTATAATTAATGAATATTAGGTTTGTGTGATGGCTTAAGTTTATGAAGAAATCATTTACATTAATTAGGGTGCTGAAGTTGTGGAGAAAGCAAAGTCAAGAGACAACCTAAATAGAGATGATTTGTTAGACTACAACGAAAAAATCGACGAGTGTTTAAACCGTCTTGGGGATGTAGATTTTCCAATATTAAAAGACCTTCTTAATATCAAAGTTGATGTTCGACAGTACATTAACGACATTCAAAAATCCTTAGAAAAAAAGAAATATTATCTTCTAATTGCAGGTAAGAAACCTCAGCAGACTTTGCGATGAAAATCGAGCAATTTTTGCACAGGTACATGCAGCTACAAAGCCCAATTCACACGACATAAACTAAAATGGGTTCAGCCCAGGTTCAAATTAACCGAAGTTAGTTCTTTCCCCTGTAAACAGTACTAACCTAAGTTTAACCTGGGTTTAGTTTAACCTTTCTCTTGAGATGAGTTATACCTGGATTAGAAGTGTTTACACCCAAAAAAATTAACCTGGTTAATTTGAATCTGGGTTGAGCTCATCAAACTCAGCGCATTCTGAACGTTTAATTCATATATCGAATGACATATGTACTATGGTGAAATTTTATTTGCTAATATTTATAAAAAATATTTCCTTTACTTTATTTTTGCAAAGAAATCCCACCTGAAGTTTTTAGTAAAACTACACGTGCGACATCATGTGTTTTGATTCTTTCATGAAGGTGAAACAAGTGCTGGAAAAAGCACTATACTAAATTTGATTCTTGGTGAAGAGGTAGTGCCGCATCATACTCTTCATACGACTTCAACAATATGCGAGGTTAAATTTGGCAAAGACAAGGAAATGATTGTACACTATAAATATGAAAACGTACAAGACAGACGACATGCTCCCCAAGTCGTTAATCTGGAAAGAAATGAAGAATCTGAGCTGAGTTATGCGGAGCTAATCGGTTTATATGTTAACCCCGAGGACACGAGGGAAACAGGAGAAACTGAAAGAGTAGAAATATTTTGGCCACATGATTTACTGAAGGTTTACAACTACACATTTTTACTCTTTGATAGGCCAGTGCGTAACTTTAGAATTTTCTTCAATTTCGTTAAGCTTTCATTTGTATTTTGCAGCAAGGAATTGTTATTGTGGACAGTCCAGGTCTTGGTGAATCAGAAAAAATGGACGAAATTTTAATGAACTATCTTCCTAATGCTTTTGCATATATTTATATTCTTGATGTTGCACGAGCTGGTGGTGTGCAAAGAGAATCTACAATGAAGGTACTTTTTTACAATAAAATCTCTACTTTCCAAGATTGACTTAAGATTCATTCACAAATAAATATAAATTGAGGTAGCCAAATTGCTAATGTCTAATGCATTTTATGAACTACAACTAAGCAAATTACTATTTGTTATAAATGTTTTCAATGATTTTATTTATACTTGATACTTTCGGCTTTGATATTTTGAACTTAAAGATGCGCCAACAGTTATTGTCTTTTTTCAAGTTTTAAAGCATGAAGATTAAAAACATTTCTGAAACATGTAAATTGAAAAAACACAGACTTTAATTTAACCAATTCAAACACGCCGTAATAATAAGATGTTTATCTCTTCAGATGAAAAAAATGGCCGAGAAACTTGAAACGTCTAATGCTGGCCGTCATTGTATTAACCTTCTCGCAGAGTGCACACTTTTTGTAGCAAATAAATGGGATCAAGTAGAAAAGGTAGAGCAAGATGCCGTAGGAAAACATCTTGAAAAACAGCTGGCTGAATGCTGGGAAGTTGCAAATGCAAAGAAGCACATTCTAACAATATCTGCAAAAAATGCCATTAAAGTGCAAGAATGTGGCGGGATTTGTCCAGAGTTTCAAAGATTACTAGACAGTATTAGGCAACTAATATTACGTGGGATTGACATTCGACTGTACGACAATTGGCAGTAAGTTGGTCACAAGATTCAGTATATCGCAAGCTTTTTATCTACAGGCAGCCTGGAACAGCTTAAATCAAATAGATCTTTATCTGCAGTAGGTGATTTCCATAAGTGGAAACTTCCATGTTCTCCTCCAAAATATTAAATAACTGAGATAAAAGAATGATTTAGTTGTGGCGAGAAAAAATTATTTGTGCTCAGCTTATTCATGATGGCTGAAAAGTAATATTTACCTTTTTGCCAATCATGCAGTTCATAGTTTTTTTATTTA